AATAGAACACCTAGACTAAATTCCTTTGGAACAATAATCAATCAGAGTGTCTTAATACTCATTGTACAGTTAATAATGTTCTACCATCGAAATATAGTCTTTAATTTAACCGATCAAAATGAGATACGGGACAACGGACACTGTAATTACATACAATATGCTGTTGTCTTTCTAAATTACTCAAATTCAGATTCCATTGTCATTGATGATATCGAAGATGCTATATTGTGGTGATTTATGACCCAATTTGATTGAAATTGGGATTTCATTTGAAACATCATCACAAGAGCTTAATACATTCACAGAATTAGCGACATTAAAATCCCATGAACTGAGGACCAAGTGATTAAACAGTTGAAGCGACGGTTATGTTCGCCATCTGTGACAACCTTCGATTCAACTGTTTAATCACTTGGTCCTCATTTCATGGGATTTTATTGTCGCTAATTCTGTACATGCATTAAGCTCTTGTGATGATGTTTCATATGAAATCCCAATTTCAATCAAATTGGGTCATGAATCGCCACAATATAGCGTCTTTGATATTGTCAATGACAATGGAATCTGAATTTGAGTAATTTAGAAAGACAACAGCATATGGTAATTACCGTGTCCATTGTCCCGTATCTCATTTTGATCGGTTAAATTAAATACTTTATTTCGATGGTAGAAGATTATTAACTGTACAATGAGTATTAGGACACTTTGATTGATTGTTGTTCCAAAGGAATTTAGTCTAGGTGCTCTATTAAACATGCAGTTCATGAAAATCTAATCGAAACGACAGTTATGTCTGCCATTTGTGACAACGGTATCTGACTTTACCGTTGTCAGGCTATTCCGGTGTATTAGGATATTATCCATTAGGATAGCATGATACCATAGGGAGCTTAAAGTCATATTCAACATTCATCTTTACCTATAAAATACTAGTCTCGGTTTGGAGAATGAAGTTCATCAGTCTGCTCACTGTTACGCCTGCTTTGGACAATTTTGATATTTTTACATATTGTAGATTCAAATGTCCTCTTTTGAGTATTCATTATTAATTTTGGATGATATTTCTATATTTTTCATCAAAAAAAATATTAGCGCAGTACACTGATGAACTTCTTTCTTCAAATCAAGACTTGTCTTTTATTGAATCGGTCTACTACACAATATGCCTGCTTCGGACAATTTTGATAATTTTACATCTTGTAGATTTAAATGTCTTCTTTTAAATAATCATAATTTAATTTGGGTGATGTTTCTATATTTTTCATGAAAATAATGATTAGCCCAGGAGACTGTTCTCCAAACCGAGACTTGTCCTTTCACCTTTCTGACCTAAGTAGATTCACAAATGACACAGGTTGAAAGATACAGTATATGAAAATCAGAATTTCAATGTCTCACATTTGACCTTTTGGTGAAATTCATCTGTTAATGACCTTGACCTTCCATAACCTTGTGACCCTTACTACTCTGACCTCACAGTTAATGTTACTCTAGTTGGATAATGTGGGTGATTTCTGATGTGTTATATAAATAAAGGTCATTGGCTCCATGCTTAAAGGGTTCCGATGAGCATCCCGTATAAAAACAATATGGCGGCTCCAGGCGAATTAACTGGATCAGTCCATTTTTAAGAAATAAGGGGAGTTCTGTAAAATCCAGTTTATTGAAATTGTCTTTGAGATAAAGTAATCCGTTTATAGTGATTTTGAAAACGTTATCCAAAGAGTGATTGCGTTCAAAGAATACATGTACAACAGCCAATATAAATCCTTGTATTAGAAACCGGTTTGTCTTGCTTTGTTTCATTTGTAGGATATTTCATATGCCAAGCTGTGTGCTATAACGTTATGGGGAAATTTAGATGCCAATTTTTCCTTATTATACACAAATAGAAATTCCTGAAACTTCATCCATAAATGTGGAATTGATTTGTCAAAATAAAATCACCCTTTTATAAATGTGTGACGATCTATAATATACTTATGCTATATAACAGTTAGAGGTGTTGACACAACGATCTCGAACCTGTGAACCCTTGAGTATTATTCCGGGATCGGGCCTTTTATACTAAACGGTGAGCAACACCAGAAACGAGCGTTCGATTTGCTAAACGATATGCGTCACCCTTTAACTCTACATTGCCAAGGAGAAGTCCTTAGATACAAACATGGAGACATTAGTATATATTCCTCCTATATAATGCTGATACCAGTGATAAGTAGATAGCTCAATTCTGGAATTAACATACTAAAGTAATCATCACAGAGAAATCTGACCAAATGACTTGAATGTATAATATGAGATAAAAATTCTAATATTTACATGTTCAACCAATGCTTAAGGATATTTAAAAAACGTGTGCCAATTTAAACAATAATTTAAGAGCTGATCGTTTACAAAAGAGGAATATTTTCAAGTTTGCCAGTAGGATTACACCCTATGCTTAGTGAGCGGAGCTAATTTCAAGGGTGATGGTAAAGACGAGGCATGGCGCCCAAACCTGGCCTGTAACTAGGTGCACTGATGCTTTCTTCGCAAATTACATCGCCATTGCTCGTCATCGAAATTCTGATCGCCGAATAGACACTCTCGTAAACATTTATTTTGTATTGGATGTACATAACCAGAGACCGCCTTATTTCGCATATATGAAAAAATAAAACATATCTAGGTACATATATCTTTATATGTGACATCGATCAGGAATTATTGACATATTGACAATATTAGGTTGTAATTTCTTGCGGTAAATTCAAATTGTATCTTTAAACGACTGTTTCATCTTAAATATTCGTTTTATTGGATGTAAAACAAACGGTATGCATAGTTTAACATCTTACACTTCTAAAACAGCATAAAATATCACAACATCACCACCTTATGCTGCAATAATACGACTTAAAAGATTATGGTACTAATATTCTTTGGTTTTTGGGCGCCATGCCTCGTCTTACTATCACCCTTGAAATTAGCTCCGCTCACTAAGCATAGGGTGGATTAGGGTTTGGGGGAATATATACCCTTCTAGGGTAAATCAGGGATCGAATGAGATTAAGAAAATATTTTGATTCAAATATAATTAAAAATATCACTTGTCAGGTAAAATTCTGAATCGATGTAGAAAAAAAAATTGGGTTGATTTTAAAATATTCATTCTGGTTTCACCGCTGATGTTTGAAGCACAAATCACTCCAGTTATCTTAGTGATGTAAAAGAATAGTTTTTTTTGTTTTTTTACATAATTCACATTTATTTCTAAAAATCAATCAGTTACATATATACAAATTGCCATTGTTGACAGGACAACATTATTGGCAATTGAAATTGTAAATGAATAGTAAAGATTCCATTACAGATAATTTCAGAAATGTTTTGAGTGCCTGATAGAAAAGATATAATGAGATATCATTATCACATTATTGAAAGCTGTGGCATGATTAAACACAAAAAAGGCACTGAAAATGTTGCTGAAGAATTAGTACATCAAGCCCTTGACCCCTGCGAAATGCTAAATGGGGGAATTTATGCACTCTATGAGTGCTTTAAGCAAATTGTCATTTAAAATGTATCTTATTTCAAAAATGTGTCAGATTTAAAAAAAATATTGGTAATTCTGTAATTTCTGATGGTTTATTATTATGTCACCACCAAAAAGTGGTGACATATTGTTATGTGTCCAGTTTTTTTTGACGGCGGTTGGTGGTTGGCGATCGGCGTCTGTAACAAATTCTTACAACTTCCAATAACAGAACAAATACTGTTTAGACTGACTTCAATTTTTCAGAATCATCTACATGTTTCCAGAAATTCAAATCTGACTTTATCTGACTTTATATTTAAGATGTGACCTTTAATGACCCTTTCAAGGTCAAAAAAGGTCAAAAAGGTATTTTTCAACTTGCTTCAAATTGACCAATTATCATCTACAAATTACCAGAAGTTCAAATCTGACTTTAGATTTGATATTTGACCTTCAATGACCTTCTCAAGGTAAAAAAGGTCTTTATTTAACTTGCTTCAAATTGACCACTCATTCAAATCTGACTATTATTTGACCTTCAATGACCTTCTCAAGGTCAAAAAAGATTTGACCTTCAATGACATTCTCAAGGTCGAAAAGGTCTTTTTTCATCTTGCTTCAAATTGACCAATTTTTTTCAAAATCATCTACAAGTTCTCAGAAATTCAAATCTGACTAAGATTTTCTTCATATTTAGTGGAAAGATGTATATTGGTGAATAGTTTTACGCTTTAAAAATGACGGGACTTTTTCGCAAAAATCATAAATTTTTCATTCTGAACCAAAGTAATTAATATTATTGTTTGAAATTTTGGTAGTATATTCACAACATTTATCTATTTCACATATATTCCGTGTTTTTCATCCTGACCCCCAGGGGCCGTGTATGGGGGGACAGGAAAACAGAAATTTTCGCTAATTTTTAGATCTTTCTAAAGTATACTGCTTTATTATACTCAAATGAAAGGCAATTAAGAGTAGATTGCAAATATTGTATCTTTTTTATGATTCGAGCCTCGTAAAATTCAAAATGGCCGTCTAATGTACGATTTCGCAATAATTTTTCGATCCCTTCAAAGTATGGCTATATTATACTCAAATTGAAGGACTTTTGGAGTAGATCACAATTATGGTATTATTTTTCAGATTTGTATCTCAGAAAATTCAAAATGGCTGCTTTGCAGGAATTCGCAATTCTAAAATCTAATTTTTTCAATTTTAACCAAAGTAATGAGTATAATTGATTGGAATTCGCTAATTGATATTTTGTTCGTTGGGATTTGCTACTCAGCGGAGTTGCCGTTATCTAGTTAATATTTTTCATATATTTATTCATTTTTCAGGATATTATGGATGATTATCAATCTTTTCTTAACCATAACTGGCCTATGTAATCTGGAAACCAAAAACTCATTATCATTACATGGGATGCAAACTGATTTTATTCATTTATTCATCCATTCAAATTTTGATTTTGCAGGGTAACAATCAAACGAGGCTCAGCTATGAGGAGTTGACAAGATTGTATCCACGTTACCCTAACATTCACGACATCAATCTGTCTGAGTTGGACCCTGCCAGTATCATGGTAAGCACAATAATGTATGACATTTGTGGTGTTATTATTCCACCGAACGAAGTTCGAGAGGGATATAGGAAAGCCGTCCGTCCATCCGTCCGTCCGTCCGTCTGTTTGTCCGGGCGATAACTCAAATACCGTTTCACGGATTTGATTCAAATTTTATAGGCTTATGCCTTATGGGTGTAGGACCTCTGCTCGAGAAGGAATTTTCAATATGGCCACTGAATTCAAAATGGCCGCCATTTTTCGTAAAAAATGTAATCTTTAATAACTCAAATACAAGTTGACGGATTTGGTTCAAATTTTATATACTGATGCCTAGGGACAAAGGAGTTTCGCACAAAAAGAGATTTTCAAGATGGCCGCTTAATTTCAAAATGGCGGCCATTTTTCGTAAAAATATGTAATCTTTGATAACTCAAATACCAGTGAACGGATTTGATTCAAATTTCATATGATGATGCTTAGGGACACAGTTGCTATGTTCGACAACAAATTTCAAGATGGCCGCTTTATTTCAAAATGGCGGCAATTTTTCGTAAAAAACGTAATCTTTGATAACTCAAATACTAGTGAACAGATTTTGTTGAAATTTTATATGATAATGCCTAGGGACACAGTAGCTCTGTTCAAGAAATAATTTTCAAGATGGTGGCTGAATTTCAAGATGGCCGCCAATTTTCGTAAAAAACGTAATCTTTGATAACTCATATACCAGTGAACAGATTTGGTTCAAATTTTATACGCTGATGCCTAGGGACAAAGGAGTTTCGCACAAAAATGAGATTTTCAAGATGGCCGCTTAATTTCAAAATGGCGGCCATTTTTCGTAAAAATATTTAATCTTTGATGACTCAAATACCAGTGAACGGATTTGGTTCAAATTTTATATGATGATGCTTAGGGACACAGTAGCTATGTTCGACAAAAATTTTTCAAGATGGCCGCTTAATTTCAAAATAGCGGCAATTCTTAGTAAAAACGTAATCTTTGATAACTCAAATACAGTACCAGTGAACAGATTTGGTTGAAATTTTATATGATTATGCCTAGGGACACAGTAGCTCTGTTCAAGAAATAATTTTCAAGATGGCGGCCAATTTTCGCAAAAAACGTAATCTTTGATAACTCATATACCAGTGAACGGATTTGGTTCAAATTTTATATGATGATGCCTAGTTCACAATGGTATAAACTAACTTTGTGCCAAATTTCATGCTTCTATCACAAAGTGCACAAACATTTTAACACTTACACAAGCTATAATAAGCATAATATGTTTTGTTCGGTGGGATTTGCTACTCCGTGGAGTTGCTGTTTTTCTAGTTTGGTTACAGTACCATAGATAAGCATTCAAGGCATTTAAATTATCTCAGTTTACCTGAGATAAGTTACTTTGCATAGCGCCTTAAAGTGTTTTTTTAGTTTCATACAGTATTATTTTCAAACCCTTTAAATAATTCTTAGCAGTAACCTCAATTGATTTTCCCAATTAATTTTATTATTTCATTCACTGACATACCACAAAAACAAAAAAATCAGTATTACTTACAATAAGTAAAATGAATTGTGGCAAAGTTCAGAATAAAATGATTGAAATACATACAGCTTTTTATCATTAACTTAATCCTGGGTGATGAGTTTCTACAGTAATGTCTTATAGGAATTAATTAAGTAGAACAATGTCTCAGTGTGCTTCTCTGTTAGTTCCAGGTAGTATCCAAAGTGTTTAAAAAATGTAGTTTTAAGAAATAAGATTCAGACATAAACTACAATTGTGGCCTTATCAGCATATTTTCTGCTCACCAATTCATGTGTTTTTCTGCTTCTTCTATACAGGGTCACCATTTTCAGCAATCTGTGTATTTACTCCGCCTCTTGACTACCCAGAGTGGCAAGATTTCTTGTCACCTAAGAAATGACCTTGAAACCCAGTGCGATGAGATAATCTGTCACATAATTTTTCACTAAAATTGCTCTTATTTAAACAATTTTCAACCAATTTACACAAAATTTGTTTTAAAACGTGTAGAAATGATCTCTGCTGACTAATTTTACTAAACTGAGCATCGCATACTGTATATACTGTATATTTAGTAAAATTTCAAAATCTGGCAAAAAATGAAAAATTCTCTGGTTTCAAACGGATTTTAGAGCCTGGGATTCAGTTTAATCAGGTTCCTTTACATGCAAATGCTATTACAGATGATTCTATTTCATAGTTATGGTGATAATAAGATCTTAACAGCTCAAATGTAGCCTGGCCCACGGGTCTATTGAGATATATTAAAAGAACTCTGAGAAAGGATTTTTAGGAAAAATTCAAGCCCCCAATATTCCTCTCCCCTTTTCCTTTTAGAATATAAACAAGACAAAGAAATATAATCAATACCTTGTAATAATTTGCTTTTCAAAATGATACTTCAGCTATGAACATGAATGGCTTTGGGTTATGCCACATGAAGGATCATGTCTGTTATAAACTTGAAGTCATGACTCTTTCTTGTGTATCAGATCAATCCAATATTTTATATTTCCTGCTACCTCACAGCGGGATAGCCTGACAACGGTAAAGTCAGATACCGTTGTCACAAATGGCGGACATAACTGTCGCTTCAACTCTTTTATCACTTGGTGCTCGTTTCATGGGACTTTATTGTTGCTAATTCCGTGCATGCGTTAAGCTCGTGCGATGATGTATTATATGAAATTTCTATCAAATGGGGTCGTGAATCACCACAATATAGCGTCTTCAATATCATCAATGACAACGGAATCTGAATTTATAATAATTTACAAAGACATTCATGCATGACATCCAATTCTTCCTGATTTCATTCATAAATTATGTCAATATAGTTTGGAATCTTTGGGTCGACATTGTCATTCCTGGATGCCCAAATGTCTCAGGAATACAAATGATCTTGATTGGACATCATGGTGCAGAGAAATTGTAATTTTACTGAGTGGCTCCATAGATAATAACAAGGTTACTATGAATTGTTTTATGTACAAATAATTTAAGTGATTGATTCATGCATGTATATATTATGATATTTTTTTTCAGGATGTGACACCCTATATGAACCCATGTCCTTATATGGCATCCCCACATACACCTGTCACTCAAATCTTCAACCTCTTTCGCAGCATGGGACTTAGACATTTACCAATAATCAATAACAACGGAGAGGTAATATGCTATCATTTTATAAAATATAGTCATTATTTATTTTTTTGATACTCATAATTTTCTTTTTTTGTTTAATCCAATTGCACATTTTCTCATTCTCATCATAATAATTTATTTGTTGTAAAGTGTCTTCTGGCACTCGTGCTTAGATATTCACTTCACTTCACTGTTTTGTATAACAGTTGTTTATAGCTCAGGTTCTACTGCCCCTCTGAGGCAACTTTGTATCAGCTATTCAAACCATCCATTGATCTCTCATTGAACCAATGTACAACATTGTTATTTTGATTATCATCGCCATTGGCATTAAATGGATCCATGAAGAAGTCACGCTGTAATTGATTCTCTGGAAGAGTGTACTGCCCTCTATATGTACTATGTTTCTCTATTTCTGAATCACTAACAGATGTTTGTTTTTGAAGTTCACTATGAAGTAATGTTTCCTCATCATATATATAGATGTCACCGCTATTTCTGTGGTGTTGAATTGTGCTGCCTCCTATTGATTGTGCTGCATCTTCAGCAGCTAATATCTCCATTACATCATGACTGTTCAAAGGCCTCAGTTCACCACTTCCCCATTCAAAATCCCACTGAAAAATTTAAATTCACATTTATTTTAAGAATTCAACCATTTAATACAGTCATGAGGGAAATAGACTATCTAACCAACTATCCAGAGTCATGATCCAACGTGAAAAGAAACAGTATCTAAAACACCCTCCCCCTTCGAATATCAATATCACAATCCGAGACCATAACACCAAGGGACATTTCATTCATATCAAAGTCATTACAATACACATTGAAAAATAATTGAAAATTGATAGTCAATACTCAAAACTAGTTGTAGATACTAATCTAGTATTCATACAAGATAGAAATTAGATTAGAAGCTTTATCATAAAGTAATTCTTAAGCCCTGGGTAAAATTAATACTGTGAATGCATATTATTAATCCTTTACTGTTGAAATAGTTTTAACAGACTGTTTCATCTGTATTTGCAGATAGTTGGGATTATTACAAGACATAATTTGACACATGAGTATTTGGAGAATCGTATGAGGTTATTCCAGCAGAATAGGGAAGCTTACTCCAACGCAGACACACAGACAGGAAATGGCGAGTTGATTTAACATCTTGCAGATTACAACAAATATAAACAATGGGGCTACATTTAGAACTGCCAGGGCAAGTCCATTGACTCAACAGGAAAATGCAATACAATTTTTTTTTCTTCAGTTCCAAATTTTAGGCAAAAATTTGAGTTTAATGAAGATTTCAATTTACAATTAAATCTTCCTCAGGTCAATCATAGATATTAATATGTATGATATTAGAAGCAGTATTACTTTTTAAGATTTCAAAACTGTGCAATACAATTTTCTTGAATATTTTATATTGATTATTGTCACATATTTTGATTATTTTTTAAATAAAATTTGAATATCAGATGATATATTATTGAGTTGTTTACTTTTGTTTATGTGTCATAGGTGTCTATTAAAATGTCCATCCCACGCAAGTATGACCTCATAAAACGAAACAGAGGTGAAAGTCTTGCAATTGCAACTAAATTGTTATTGATTTACAAACCAGTTATTAATTTTGGAAAACAAAACAGAAAAACACGCCCTCGCACATCCTAAAAGATACACCTATTATGGCCATGGTACACTAATTAACTCATGACGCATATCAAACAAACATGTAAATTAACATTTGTTGTGTACAACATTATACTACAAAACACAAAAACAAGAGAAACAATTTGTAATAAGAGTATAATTTGCCATGAGGAAATTAATACAGAGCATCCCTCCTCCACCACTCAGAAACCGGAGGCACAAATTCGCAATCCAAAACCACAAGATCATGGGACAATAAGAGAGTTGCTATATAGCCATGGAAAAAGCTGAAAGAATAGATGTCAGCACTTGTTATTTTTATTTGATTTGGATAGTTCAGACTGCCATTAATTTCATGATTTATTAAAAAGTGTTGACTCTGTCTAAAACTCAATGGGATGACACTGTTACAAATCTCTGACTCCATTATTCTGGTGGAGAGTAAAAACCTGAAGTCTCCCAAGATCTGAGAGTAGGGCAGTCAAGCTACTCATTTTTAAGAAAACTTGTTCCTGGACTTGTATTACAACCCCCAAGGAATGAGGATCAATAGTTCTTCCAGAAACTAATTGCAATATTTAACTATTTTCCAAATACCAAGTCAATCAGGCAAGTAAATGTGTGTACTATGAAGGGGCAAACAATTTCCCCGAGACCATGGCTTTGTATAAAAAACCTCCTACCTCATACCCACCTACCCACCTACGTGGAACATGATAAAGTCATTGAAGGGTTCAATTTTAAAGATTATTAAATCTCAAAATAGCTCAAATTATTAACATTTCTTCAATTCCGGCTTTATTTTATGACTTTGAGACAGATGACAGATCCATAAATAAAGGCATATGGATGCATTTTTATGTGTAATGACCCGAGGGCGCCCCAGGGGAATAACTAACAACTGCGAGCATAGGTCCAACTAGTGGTGTCAATTAACCGCTTGAGCATTAACCGGTTAACCGGGGGTTTTTACCGGTTAAAGTCGGTTAACCGGCGGGAAATTTGAACTTATAATTTCAAATGAAATCTTCATCTTCGATCTTGAAAGTTGAAAAAAATTGGAAAAATGATATATCGGCGTTTATTTTTTACGTTCGTCAAGCTTTACGCTATTCTATGTAAGTAAGCGCGGGAAAGCAATGTGGCAGGGATTAGAGTTGCTGATTGGATGTTTGTAAGGAATTATCGGACCTATCACATGTATGAGTAGCTCACATGAAACTGACGCTTGAAAACAAACAGATTAAAATGCAAAGTAAGCGCGGGAAAGCAATGCGGCAGGGATTAAAGTTGCTGATTGGATGTTTGTAAGGAGTTATGGGACTTATGACATGTATGAGTAGCTTACGTGAAACTGACACCATAAAACCAAACGGATTAGCATGCAAAATAAGCACGGGAAATAACAGAATTATACACGGTCAACTAACCGCCCATAAAAACTCAGACCGGTCAAGGCATTATCGGCGGTTAACCGGTTAACCGGTTAATACTTGACACCTCTAGGTCCAACAAGCCAGATAAAGAAATTGAAAGAAAGTGTGCTAAATTCGATGCCCCGAGTGGAAATCGAACCCAGCTGGAGCAACTTGCTATCAAGGCCCGTTACAAATGCATCTATAATTCAGCATAAACTAAGATCTTTAAAATTGAACCCTTCAAAGACTGTACCATGTCCCAAGTACGAGGGTAGGTGGGTATGAGGTAGGAGGTTTTTTATGCAAAGCCCGAGACCATTACACATGCACTTACAATTTCTCTTAAAAATGTGAATGCAAAGCTTGACCTCCCTAGCCTTTCTCTTACTATACCTCTAGATCTGACTGTTTCATTGTTTCACCCTCACTACTCGTATCAGTCATGCTCTCAGCCTTGATAGTCGGGATCACTGACAATTTAGTCTGTGTCTTGGACAATTCTGTTTCCTTGCTAGGTGGCAGCACTGTCTCTTCTGAGTACTCATCCGAATGGTCTGTCTCCACAAACTATAAATAATCATTAATATGTGATTTTTATCACTCTTAACTCTGGTTTAAAGAAATGTAAAGTTTGCAGGCACAATTTACAATTTTTACCAGAATACAACTAGAGGAAAGGGCACTAAATCAGTCATAACAATGCTCAGAAAAATATGCTCCTACACCCACCTGTGAAGAGCTGCTCAGATCTTTGGCAATCTTGGACATTTTATTGAGATATGTATTATTGGGGGGCCTAAGTGGGACCCATAGTGCCTCCTCATCCCCCAGCTCAGGGCATAGCTCCTTCTCCTCATCACTCCTACTGAAAGTAACACAGGAATTGCCAATTAACAACTACAGCCATGGTTTTACAGTGGAAAAGAGAGATAAGTGGTAACATTCTGCCACCATGAAAGTGTAGTAAAATCTACATCTCCAGCTGTGATTACAGACCATGTATCACCAATTACTCAGATGCGAGTAGGTAGTTACCATTTTCGCCACCAGGTGGCTGATTCGGGGGAATTAACATGGCGGGGTATTACACAATTCCTCTAAATTTGAATATGCATCAGTTTTAGTGGTTCACTTTTCATATTACCCTTATGTATCTGATAGTTATACAAATTAAAATATGTCCAGTAAAAGAAAATATTATCTGCCCAACACAAGAAAAGATATTTCACTTTTTGTGGTTTTACAACATGGGGTCTATGGGGAATCCAAGAAGTCATATTTTCAAAGAAAATTAAATTTTCAAAGTTGATAAACTCTTTTCAAAACCACATATCTAAATGTAATTTTACATGTAGATTCCAAATATGACATCAGTTTGACTGAATAGTGAATTTTTAATGATGTAAATCAAGATTATTTCTACTCGCATCTGGGATATTGGTAAGTAATTTTGCAACACCTTGTCATGCCAGATGGTCTTATAGGTGGAGACCTCATTCAAGTATTTCTCTTTGTTAGAACTGTATAAGTATAAATGGCATATATTATGGTACATATTTCCTATTGACACATTTTGCTCAGTTAGATGATTTTATGTAATAGGGTTTAACGTGGGTTTGATTTATTAAAATCAGAATTTAATTACCATAAGTGTTTCATATAGCATATTCAAATAACAAGTACTGTAAGTCACTAGTAATTCACTTATTTTTCCATGTACAGTTTTCAGGGTTTGAAGTGAGGTCCAATCAATTCATTATCCATTTCAGTTCTTCAAAGAATTGGTTATTAAACACAACTGCTATTAATACAAAAAACAAGTTTTAGATCATTCTTACTGTTTTTTATCATAGGCCTTACATTACAAGCAAAAAAACATATGCATCGATTTTCAGAAACTTTAGATTCAAAAGCTTGAGGTACTAAGAATTTTAAATACCGGTTGTAAGATTTCATATACATATTAGTTATGAAATGTGTCTATTGAACATGTTGCACTTAACAAATAACAAGTTATGTTCCAATGTTTAGAGGTAACAGTGGGGTTTACTGCATGAACGCAGAAGATTTGAAGTTGTAAGTTCATCTTCTTTATACTGTTTCCATAGGTTTTGAATCCTTCTAAACTCTTGCTCACAAATAATCTAAATAATCACACATCATAACCTAAATTACAGCTTATTGATTAAATCAGGTCATCAGGAAATGTGCAACCAAAAATCTTATTATTCTAATTGTTTCCCATAAGACTAATGCAACATTCTGATTACCATCATAATGTTTTTGTGGCATTTTTTATAAAGCCCCACCTAAACTATATGACAATTACCATAAAGAGATTAATTCTGTCATATGCTTATGCAAGTCTTTTCCAGCTTTATGGGCTTAAGAGTTTCTAGTAAGTAGTGAAACGGCGCAGAAGATTTAAACTCCCGTTAGGCAACAACTAATAATTGCGTCCAGTTTCCGATCATTAGTTTACTAGAAAAAATTTATGAGAAATATAAATAACCATTATAATTTATAATGGGTTTATATAGAGAAAATTTGTTAAGGAGTTGTCTTCTGCGCCAGTTTTTCAAACTGACCGCCAAAACTCTTCAAAGTAGGTCAACCAATCAGAAGCCAGGAAGAAGGGTAATTATAATAGCGTCACCTGAACCTCCGTACTTTCCGCTGAAAGCTCCGCTGTTCTTTCCTGGATTTACATTGTTATTAAGCTGATTACAAGTAAGTAAGCTTTACTTTCCCACCTCCTCCCCTTGCTACCTCCTTAGCAGCTGGGGCATTTTTTATAAAGCCCCACCTAAACTATATGACAATTACCATAAAGAGATTAATTCTGTCATATGCTTATGCAAGTCTTTTCCAGCTTTATGGGCTTAAGAGTTTCTAGTAAGTAGTGAAACGGCGCAGAAGATTTAAACTCCCGTTAGGCAACAACTAATAATTGCGTCCAGTTTCCGATCATTAGTTTACTAGAAAAAATTTATGAGAAATATAAACAGGATTAATTTTCTAAATCTAAAAAATAATAATGAATCAGTCGCTTTTTAATAATGCAATTGATAACAAGGGAATGGATTATCTAGGCAATTAGAGGCTAGCATGTTTAATCAGTGCAAAGTGCAAATTTTTTACACTTATTTGTACCAATATTTGTGGTTTTATTTTCTATGACCTTTTCCAGTCAATGTTACTTAGAAAAGAAATCAGTATACTCATGTTAATTCAGTAAAAATTCACTAATAACCCAAACCATGACATTGTACATGTACACAAACTGTATATTGGGGTGAAACGTCTAAGGGGCGAAATTTCTAAGGGGTGAAATGTCTAGGGGGTGAAATGTCTAATGGGTGAAATGTCTAGGGGTGAAATGTCTAAGGGATGAAAAGTCTAGGGGTGAAATGTCTAGGGGGTGAAATGTCCAGGGGGAAACTTCCAGGGGATGAAATGTCTACGGGGAGTGAAATGTCCAGGGGGTGGAAAGTCTAAAGGGTGAACAGTCTAGGGGTGAAACACGTCCAGGGGGTGAAACGTCTTGATACCCTCTGATAGCAATGTTTTTTTAGTACGGTAAGGCTATTTTGACAGACTGATGGTCAAAAAATAAATGTAAAAACTTAATTATAAATCTGAATGTCACTATATGCAGTGATCTCCAAATGTACAAAAGGATTCTTGTCAAATTATCTCATTACAGAAGTTTACAATTTTTACAGGATGCATGCAGATTTTCGACAGGGTGGCATTTAATTTTCTGATTTTCTAAAACATGGTGCAGCACCTTTTGTCCTAAAATCGTACTACATAAACAAATCATTTTTATGTCATGATTCATGGATCATTCAAAAATCTTTCATGCGATCTAATTTTCTCCACATAAGAAACACGCAAATACAGTTTATTTAATGGGAGGGGTGGAATATGAATTTTATGATATTGGCCAAGAAAAACATCATATTGACCGAGTATTTATCATAAGTACCTGAGTAATGAGACAACACTCTCATCAATCTCATGCCAGCCATCTTGTTTTCTACGATTCTGTAGAATCTGTAGCAACATTCCAATGTCAATACCAATGAGACCAAGCCTATAACAATGATATAACAATACACATGTAAATCCAAAAATGTATCTGCTCTGCCCATCTTAAAAACCTGATGCATCACTCTATGTCCAAGTATATAATAATTGCACTGTTTAAAAACTGGAGTGGATACAAAGAGGAATTACTCTGTGTTTAGCTTTAAACAGAAATATACAAAGGATATGAAAGAGTGTGTGGGAGGTGGCCTGAGTAAATAAACTTACCTCCCTACAGTCCAAGGGGAGTATGTAAAATGAGGGTGTGGGAGGTGGCCTGAGTAAATAAACTTACCTCCCTACAGTCCAAGGTGAGTATGTAAAACGAGGGTGTGGGAAATGGCCTGAGTAAATAAACTTTCCTCCCTACAGTCCAAGGTGAGTATGTAAAACGAGGGTGTGGGAGGTGGCCTGAGTAAATAAACTTACCTCCCTACAGTCCAAGGTGAGTATGTAAAACGAGGGTGTGGGAGATGGCCTGAGTAAACGGACCTACCTCCATACAATCCAAGGTAGTGTATGTAAAACGAGGGTGTGGGAGGTGTCCTGAGTAAATAAACGTACCTCCTACAGTCCAAGGTGGGTATGTAGAACGAGGGTGTGGGAGGTGGCCTGAGTAAATAAACTTACCTCCCTACAGTCCAAGGTGAGTATGTAAAACGAGGGTGTGGGAGGTGGCCTGAGTAAACGGACCTACCTCCATACAATCCAAGGTAGTGTATGTAAAATGAGGGTGTGGGAGGTGGCCTGAGTAAATAAACTTACCTCCCTACAGTCCAAGGTGAGTATGTAAAACGAGGGTGTGGGAGGTGGCCTGAGTAAACGGACCTACCTCCATACAATCCAAGGTAGTGTATGTAAAATGAGGGTGTGGGAGGTGGCCTGAGTAAATAAACTTACCTCCCTACAGTCAAAGGTGAGTATGTAAAACGAGGGTGTGGGAGGTGTCCTGAGTAAATAAACGTACCTCCCTACAGTCCAAGGTGAGTATGTAAAACAAGGGTGTGGGAGGTGTCCTGAGTAAATAAACGTACCTCCTACAGTCCAAGGTGGGTATGTAGAACGAGGGTGTGGGAGGTGGCCTGAGTAAATAAACTTACCTCCCTACAGTCCAAGGTGAGTATGTAAAACGAGGGTGTGGGAGGTGGCCTGAGTAAACGGACCTACCTCCATACAATCCAAGGTAGTGTATGTAAAATGAGGGTGTGGGAGGTGGCCTGAGTAAATAAACTTACCTCCCTACAGTCCAAGGGGGGTATGTAGAAGGAGGGTGTGGGAGGTGGCCTGAGTAAATGGACTTACCTCCCTACAGTCCAAGGTGAGTATGTAAAAAGAGGGTGTTGGAGGTGGCCTGAGTAAATAAACTTACCTCCCTACAGTCCAAGGTGGGTATGTAGAACGAGGGTGTGGGAGGTGGCCTGAGTAAATAAACATACCTCCCTACAGTCCAAGGTGAGTATGTAAAACGAGGGTGTGGGAGGTGGCCTGAGTAAATGGACTTACCTCCCTACAGTCCAATGTGAGTATGTAGAACGAGGGTGTGGGAGGTGGCCTGAGTAAATGGACTTACCTCCCTACAATCCAAGGTGAGTATGTAAAATGAGGGTGTGGGAGGTGGCCTGAGTAAATGGACTTACCTCCCTACAGTCCAAGGTGAGTATGTAAAACGAGGGTGTGGGAGGTGGCCTGAGTAAATAAACTTACCTCCCTACAGTCCAAGGTGGGTATGTAGAACGAGGGTGTGGGAGGTGGCCTGAGTAAATAAACTTACCTCCCTACAGTCCAAGGGGGGTATGTAAAACGAGGGTGTGGGAGGTGGCCTGAGTAAATGGACTTACCTCCCTACAGTCCAAGGTGAGTATGTAAAACGAGGGTGTGGGAGGTGGCCTGAGTAAATGGACTTACCTTCATACAATCCAAGGTGGGTATGTAAAATGAGGGTGTGGGAGGTGGCCTGAGTAAAAACACTTACCTTCATACAGTCCAAGGAAGTGTATGTAAAACGAGGGTGTGGGAGGTGGCCTGAGTAAATAAACTTACCTCCCTACAGTCCAAGGGGGTATGTAAAACGAGGGTGTGGGAGGTGGCCTGAGTAAATAAACTTACCTCCCTACAGTCCAAGGGGGGTATGTAAAACGAGGGTGTGGGAGGTGGCCTGAGTAAATGGACTTACCTCCCTACAGTCCAAGGTGAGTATGTAAAACGAAGGTGTGGGAGGTGGCCTGAGTAAATGGACTTACCTCCCTACAGTCCAAGGTGAGTATGTAAAACGAGGGTGTGGGAGGTGGCCTGAGTAAATAAACTTACCTCCCTACAGTCCAAGGTGAGTATGTAAAACGAGGGTGTGGGAGGTGGCCTGAGTAATAAACTTACCTCCCTACAGTCCAAGGTGAGTATGTAAAACGAGGATGTGGGAGGTGGCCTGAGTAAATAAACTTACCTCCCTACAGTCCAAGGTGAGTATGTAAAACGAGGGTGTGGGAGGTGGCCTGAGTAAATAAACTTACCTCCCTACAGTCCAAGGTGGGTATGTAAAACGAGGGTGTGGGAGGTGGCCTGAGTAAATGGACTTACCTTCATACAATCCAAGGTGGGTATGTAAAATGATGGTGTGGGAGGTGGCCTGAGTAAAAACACTTACCTTCATACAGTCCAAGGAAGTGTATGTAAAAAGAGGGTGTGGGAGGTGGCCTGAGTAAATAAACTTACCTCCCTACAGTCCAAGGTTGGTATGTAAAACGAGGGTGTGGGAGGTGGCCTGAGTAAATAAACTTACCTCCCTACAGTCCAAGGTGAGTATGTAAAACGAGGGTGTGGGAGGTGGCCTGAGTAAAAACACTTACCTCCCTACAGTCCAAGGTGAGTATGTAAAACGAGGGTGTGGGAGGTGGCCTGAGTAAATGGACTTACCTCCCTACAGTCCAAGGTGAGTATGTAAAACGAGGGTGTGGGAGGTGGCCTGAGTAAATGGACTTACCTCCCTACAGTCCAAGGTGAGTATGTAAAACGAGGGTGTGGGAGGTGGCCTGAGTAAATAAACTTACCTCCCTACAGTCCAAGGTAGTGTATGTAAAATGAGGGTATGAGAGGTGGCCTGAGTAAATACTCCTATTAGGTAGAACAGATTGGCTGGGATAGAAAGCAGGTAAAATGTACATTGTCGCTGCGAGAATGTTTTCTCTTGGAACTGGAAACAGAAATAATGACATTACAAATAATGAAATAATAAACAATGAGTGAAACTCAGTAAATCACAACATAGGACACTGAATGAGTAAAAGCAGTCAATAAATTCTTCCACTGACCCCCAGGAATGGTGTATATTTCAAAACAAATAATATGACATTAATATGTAATTCTTACCACTCTGCAGATTCTTGGTAGACATGCAACCCAGTAAAGAAGTGTTGAGATTACTCCACACAGATAACCCACTGTGACTATCAAAGTGGACCATTTTTCAGACTAAAAGTATGATACACAATATGGTATGGTGAGGTGTGGTATGATTTGGTGTGGTACGGTATGGTGTGGTGTGGTATGATAAGGTGTGGTATGGTATGATATGGTTTGGTATGGTATGGTATGGTATGGTATGGTATATGGTATGGTGTAGTATTTTAAGTTATTTCATAAGAGGAATTAATGTGGGCTTTATTGAGGAATCCTTCTTATGACTTTTACTGAAACAATTGTTTGATGCAGGGTTACCACGATCAAGGAAAATTCAGAGAAGAGAGTCAGGGAAATTCTGAAATAGCTGAATGGTTAAGGAACTTTGAGTGAAATATTGAAGGTTGAAAATGGAACTATTTAACAAAAGAATTTGCAAAATGAGAAAAATCAAGTGAAAAATACAACTTCAAAATCATTAGTGTATAAATGACTATATGTAACAACTGCATGACAACATCAAATAATAACAAATTAAGAAACAAAACAAACAAAATACTTTATATCCCCATAGTTACCTGATTGTTGACTCCCAACAAGATCCTATTGCTATTAGATTGTAAAGAATATGTGGATATGGAAGTATTATAGATCAACCTGTAGCTTGTATACAACCCAGTTAAAGCCCATGGCAGGAGTAGAACACTGACACCAGACTTTCTTTTCCAGCAATGCACTGAAAGTAAAGCAATGCATTGTAAGTATAACAATGCACAGAAAGTATAACAATACATTCAGAGTATAACAATGCATGCAAAGTATAACAATGCATTCAGAGTATAACAATGCATTCAGAGTATAACAATGCATTCAAAGTATAACAATCCATTCAGAGTATAACAATGCATTCAAAGTATAACAATGCATTCAGAGTATAACAATGCATTCAGAGTATAACAATGCATGCAAAGTATAACAATGCATTCAGAGTATAACAATACATTCAGAGTATAACAATGCATTCAAAGTATAACAATGCATTCAGAGTATAACAATGCATGCAAAGTATAACAATGCATTCAGAGTATAACAATGCATTCAAAGTATAACAATGCATTCAGAGTATAACAATGCATTCAAAGTATCACAATGCATTCAGAGTATAATAATGCATTCAAAGCATAACAATACATTCAAAGTATAGCAATACATTCAGAGTATAACAATGCATTCAGAGTATAACAACACATTCAAAGTATAGCAATTCATTCAGAGTATAATAACACATTCAAAGTTTAGCAATGCATTCAGAGTATAACAATGCATGCAAAGTATAACAATGCATTCAAAGTATAACAATGCATTCAGAGTATAACAATGCATGCAAAGTATAACAATGCATTCAGAGTATCACAATGCATTCAGAGTACAATAATGCATTCAAAGCATAACAATAAATTCAAAGTATAGCATTGCATTCAGAGTATAACAATGCATTCAGAGTATAACAACACATTCAAAGTATAGCAATGCATTCAGAGTATAGCAATGCATTCAGAGTATAATAACACATTCAAAGTTTAGCAATGCATTCAGAGTATAACAATGCATGCAAAGTATAACAATGCATTCAAAGTATAACAATGCATTCAGAGTATAACAATGCATGCAAAGTATAACAATGCATTCAAAGTATCACAATGCATTCAGAGTATAATAATGCATTCAAAGCATAACAATACATTCATTGAAATCAATCCATTCAGAGTATAACAATGCATTCAAAGTATAAAAATGCATTCAAAGTTTTACAGTATACTGTAACTATGAAGGAAAAATCTTTTGGGTAAGAAAAAAAATTTCATGACTTGTACAACTTTGTCAGATAAAATAAATGTTTGTGCATCTTTGGTAGGACCTTATATTCTGGCTGCATATCAGTTTCAAAATGTACCCGGAGAAATAAAATGAATGAAAGAACTTACATTTGAGGGCATTGTAGATGATTTGTGGTCTCCAAGTTAGAGGAACATTGCATATAATATAGTGGGAACATAAAGCTATGTCAGCCAAGAGAAAATATAAACCAATAAGTATCTGAAACAAATAAATACACAGTGTTTAATGTGATAAACATATTCATCACGACAAACATGAGAAAAACAAAACATAAAAAATCCTGTGATTGTTGATTATCATTAATTATGAACAGATGAAGACTCCAAGGAGAGTTACATTAAAGGCTCAATGCACCATATTAGTAAATTGGGGGTGGATTCTTTTATTTTTATGACAAACCATGCTACCATGGAATAAGATATTGCCTGGTACTATGTAAACGTTTTTGAAAAGGACTAATTAGATTTACTCTTGTGCCAGGAGACCATTCACAATCAACATTTTACGCTCTATCTATTGCAACCACTTTCAGTATTACAATTTGGTAATAATATTTATTTTTGTGATATTTTAAAGCATAAATCTTGGGATAAAGGCCAATAAATCTTTAATAAATTGGATAACTTGAAACTGTAGGGTAGGTACAGGTAATGATGAAAAAATGTAATTGGTTGATTGACTGTCAACTCATCTATATCATGATCAATACAAAAAAATACACACAGATATATAGACATACATGTACTATAATATATATATATCTATGCAGTCCTACCTGTGTGCCCAGCTGGCTTGCCATGTATGCCCCCATGACATTTACGGTATCTGCCAAGACTAAGTGGAGGATGGGCATTAAGGACACCTCTTTACTTTGTTTGTATTCCCAGTGATTGATCCTCAATAAACTAAATATAGTCAATGAGTAAATTAAGATAATGCATTAACATGCAAAATGCCACCACCAGCTATTTGTTACAGATGCCAAACACCAACCGCTGAATACTGAACATCATTAAGAAAAAGGAGGCCATAACAACATGTCACCACTTGTGATGGTGACATAAAAAACTTGATACACTAATTTGTGAAATATATAATGAATCAAATTGATGAATTTACACACATAAACTCCACGAGAAAATATAGCATGTTCTACAGTACAATTTTATAAGTCAATCATTGTTACATTTACATCTGTAATCAATCAAAAAATCAATGTTTTATACTATACTAACACGATGTGAGCAACCATCCATAGTGGAACTGCAACAACTCCACATATAAAGCCTGCAAGTTGTATATCATTGTGTATGCATTGCCCCATGTATCTCTCCACCCATTCACTACCAATGATGCACTCGTCCATCTTATATTTATACCCTCAAGCTCACCATTGTGTCATAGTAACTGGACTGATATCTGAAACTGATAAAAGCTGTTAATTTTATTCTGTTCTTTTATGTTTATTTTCTGTTGTTTGTTTGTTTTGTTTGTTTGGATGTTTGTTGAGTCAATGCATTGCTCAAGGTACACATATTGTTTCCATTGCCTTAAGTCCCAGTTTGGCTATCTATATATCACATCATAACACTATTGATGCCTTTACTCATGACCTCACAAAGTGATTGATATTATGCATCCCTTCCATTCTGTAGCAAGAGAAGATGATATGAACCAAAATCTAAATAATCCAAAAGTTTTACAACAAAAAACAAACAGTTTCACAAAGTTTATTTAAATTGAGATAACCTCAAAATGTTAACAATAACTTACCCTAATTTAAACGACTCCATTTATTCACTGTCTAAATTTCATCGTGGCAAATATCCATCTATTTCAAAAGTATTAATCCAAATTGTCCATCGTCGATCATTTTCAGATCTTAAATCTATCAAAACTTAACTGTTGAAGTTGCACTTAAAAATACATGCATTGTACTACTGTGTTCAATAGTCATAATGCCACCTAACAGTGAGGTCGATCATGTTTACATTTACATTGATTTTTACAGCTAAAACAAATGCTCAGTAACACATTGAGTCTATCCAGTTATCAACACTTGAATTTTTAAGTGTTTTAAATACGAGCTGTTCAACTAGGTTGCACCAAAAAACCAAACTTTGTGTTTTTGTTACAAATATTATCAAAAGATGACTGCTTTATTTTTTTTTCATTCATGCAACATGGTTTTAGCCATTTGAAAGGCCTTGAAAGTCAATTCAATGCTTCTTTTTATGATTAATGTGTAATAAAACTAGATTGAATAGAAAATAGTACTCCTGTATAAGATTGGAGAAATAGCATTAAAACTTGTACTACAAGGTAATTACTTATCCCACATAGGACATATTGCAAGTTTTATTGCATGAAAAAAAACAGAATATAAGCTGCAATGCTATTTTTAAAACTGCTCAAGTGTTTTATTGAAGCAGGTATTATAGTTTATTGAACCTATATATGAGGGAGATGCACCAGTTTCATTATTTCAGAGTGAAAACCAACCTGAATACAAATGCATCAATGGCGTAAGCATAATGTGCTACATATATGCACTTTTCCAATTTGAATATAGCACAAATGCTATTGCCACATTTCAGATAACAGGAGTATGAGCTCCTGATACCTCTCAGATGACCTTGACCTAAAAGTGTGACCTTGACCATTCATGACAAGTGACAACATAAAAAATCCATATTGATTTCCATTACCATATTGACTTACTTTAAAGTTTGTTAATAGTCTCTACATCTCTATATCCATCTGGTTTACTCCATCATATTTAAGTCCCCACTATACAGTATGCGTATTATGCTGTTCATTTTTCCCTAGTAAAATCATACATACCACACCATACTATCTGATCAGATTAATCCATGAGATAGGGTCAAGCATATAAACATGATACAATCTAATCCAACTAGATCAAAACAAATAAATATTGATTTTTAGATCAGAGATTTAGTTATTTCATAGTTAGCATTTATACAGTTCAACAAGGAGTATATACATATAAAGACACAGCTGTGCATCATTGATTCAGTTAACTATAAATAGTTTTATTTCATCTAATTTTAATTGATTAATTCGAAGAATCCCATAAAAGGCATGAGTGTAAGAAAGGAACAGAGTATGTTGCTTTTATGGTACATACTATAGTCTCTTATTTACTAGCCTATTATAAAAATTGAGAAATGAGAAGAAATGGGAGAAAATGGTTTATATTATTAAGGAAGCATCTTACATAATGACAATTGTCTAAACGTTTTCCTGTTTAGTTATTCCTCCATCTCAATCATCTGAAATGTCTTAATATGTTATATTCTTACTTGCCTTTGTGGCCATAGTTACATATTCTATTAAAGCAATATCATTATTGAAAAATTTCATACATTTTATGATTAGCCTATCTCTATGCAATCTAAAATGTTATTGAAAAATGTTAGCTGTCTATGCCAAGCTTCATTCCAGAGATAATGTTTTTTTGCATTTTGAAATAAAACTAGCCTACTACAGTAATTGAATAATAGGTTTTTACATGACTATTTGATGTATTAGATCTACAGTAAAACCTGCGTTATTGGCTATCTCTCTTTGTTCTCGTTGTCTTCCTCAGGCAAACTGTTTTGCCCCATTGACTCTGTTAAAATTCTTATTCCAAAACTCACAAGAAATTATTGAGATATTGGTGTGACGAGTAATTTCAGAAAATAACGACATTTTGATGTTTTCACTGTTGGATAATATCGAGTTTTACCCCTTGGAGCCAATCCTCCTTGGAATAGATTGGCTCGCAAAGATCCCCCTTCTTATTCATTTAACATGATGCACACAAGTAGTCGTGAGAAAAAGTTATACTCACTAAATACATGTAAGACTGAATCCAAAATTGTTTTTTTCCCAGAATCTATATATTGCATCTTTTCAGCAAGCAAATCTGTATGATTGTCAATTATAATGCCTCTATTAGTGTCTGGTTTATTGTACCAAGAATAAATCCATGTACTTCCAACTCCAAGCCTTCCATCTATCTTAAGGTGCTATGGAAGTTAACAGGAAATGACAAAACAGGAAGTGACAATTTTTTTTGCATTTTTAGATATTTTTTGAATAAAGATAACAGAGTTCTGGTTTGACCTCCAGTCAATTTAACTATTTCCACATATCATTTACATGACCAGGATCACAATGTGCATGGTCAGAATGACCCTAAACATGATGAAATAACCTTTTTAGCCCTTTGAAAGTGTGACTGAAAAAAAGCTAAAAGTAGGAGCGTAGGGATAGTCACTGAACAGAATCTTTTGAATTTTTCAGAAAATGTGCCCAATATAATGCTCTAACTAGTACAATCTTTGAAATTTTAGAAAATTGTCCGAAACAAAAATGGCGGTCATAAAAAGGAAAATAGATCGCTCTTCAAATCAGTTTTTTCATTTTTTTTTCTTTTTCTATGAATGATATCAAATTTTCAAAGATTGTATCATTTAGAGCAATATATTGGGCACATTTTACGAAAAATTCAAAAGATTCTGTTCAGTGACCTTCCCTACGCTCCTACTTTTAGCTTTTTTTCAGTCACACTATCAAATGGCTAAAAAGGTTATTTCATCATGTTTAGGGTCATTCTGACCATGCACATTGTGATTCTGGTCATGTAAATGATATGTGGAAATAGTTAAATTGACTGGAGGTCAAACCAGAACTCTGTTATCTTTATTCAAAAAATATCTAAAAATGCAAAAAAAATTGTCACTTCCTGTTTTGTCATTTCCTGTTAACTTCCATAGCACCTTAATCAAATAAACTCTATTTACAACCTAAGCAGAATCATTTTGCAATACAATGCAATACAGTGATCTCCCACCATTAGAGTGGCTAGGTTCTTCACCCTGTTAAAATTTGGCATTTACATGCCACCCTGTTGAGAAGGTGTAGTGTTGTCATACAATTTAACCAGCAGCAATTCATTGGATTGTTACAGTTCCAAGCAAACAGTAGGGAAAATACAATTATTATTTTATTAAATATAATAATTAGGTCATTTGGCCAAAATATAAGTTGTGGGGTTGACCCTTTAAATAATTAGGTCAATGTTTATTGTAAACATAGGCGTAGCCAGGGGGGGGGGGGGCAATTGGTGCAAAAAGAGCTTTAAAATGCTTTTTGATTGAAGCTTCTAGCTCAATTTTGAAGGAAGTTGTATCAATTTTTGTAAAAGGAGGAGGGAAATTAGCGCAACAGATTTTGGACTGTCATATGTTTGATTTTGGCCATTTCCTGGGGATTTAAACAGGTGCATATGTTAGGCCAATGCATTATCTCCAGGAAAATCACTTCTAGAGATGATAAAATAATTTCGACTTTGAGACAGGGTAGATGCAAACAACCCACCCACACGTTTTTTCTGAAATGTTTTCCTGATTTTCAACCCCTTCCATCCCTTCTTTTTTAATTTTTCTTGCATCAATATGTTGCGTTTTGACACACAGTTAATCCCTTAAAAGGAATAAATAAATGATAAAGTGGAAAACAATATTTCCCATGTTATTTTCCCATAGGGAAAATCATTGCTTTCAGCTAAGTTTGGTCACCTATAATGGGTATCTTTAAAACCCCTGAAGGAATCACTTATTCCCTTAAAGTGATTAACTATGTGTCAAAACGCAACATATTGATGCAAAAAAATTAAAAAAGCAGGGATGGAAGGGGTCGAAAATTAGGAAAACATTTCAGAAAAAACATTTGGGTGGGTTGTTTGCATCTACCCTGTCTAAAAGTCGAAATTATTTTATCATCTCTAGAAGTGCTTTACCTGGAGGTAATGCATTGGCCTAACATATGCAATTGGTTAAATCCTCAGAAAATGGCCAAAATCCAACATTATGACGGTCCAAAATCTGTTGCGCTAATTTCCCTCCTCCTTTAAGATAAATCTTAATTTTTTGGCTTGTTTATGCCACAATCGCACCCCCCTGACTGGAAACTGAAAATTTTTTGGCAATTGCACCCCTCTGACTGAAAGCTGGCTACGCCCCTGGTTAATATAAAAAAATGTTAAGAATGTTAAATGTTAAGTATACACTGTCATGTTAGGGAGGGGGCAATTTTTGCAGCATTTAATATTTCTCTTATGACCTTTGTCAATGCACCTTTCTATCTAAAAAAAAGTCTCAGGTGGGTGAAAATAGAGACACAGACACATCCTCGTTAGTTTCATAATTATCAATATTATTCTATTTCCGTTTATGAGACCTACAATGATTTGATATAAATAGTCATCAAAAATGACGTAGTACCTATGTGGTGGTCTGAATTCAATTAACTCATGTCCTTTTCTAGTTACCACACAAAATATTTATCAACTTCATTTATTAACGTAATTTAACACATATACCCTTTTAGCTAATAACTGTATATAAAAATCTACTACATTCTAAATATATCATGCATTGTGCATACAAACAATTATTTGTCATAACATACCATGTATCACACAGTGATCTCCCTAACATTAAATTAAGTGGGCGCCTTGGGAGACCACTGTCACATGTTTTTCATTTCAAGAAATGAACAGATAGAAGGCTAAGATCTCTCATGGCGCTATTTTTGAGAGACCTATATCTTTTCTAGGAAGAGAAATGCAGAGAAGATATATTCAATGTTTCAGTATTAACTTTTTGTACATGTACATGTTACGTTTATTATACCAAGATTATTCTGTTAGCACATAACAAATCAAATATTATGTTAAACAGGATGTCAAGAGCTGTATACTAAAAGCTAAAAGATGAATGTGGCCAAAAGGAGCCAAATACCTGTGTGGAAAATAGCATTTAACATCCACTGTTTAGCATCAGTGACTGATTCTTCAATAAATATTTCTAAATACTAAATGTAAATATTCACTTATTAGAAATTATACTCATAACAAAGGAGGTCTATCATTATCAATAATATGTTAAATCCAAGCACCTTTTCAAATGCAACATTTTTTGTCAATTTGAAACCTTATATTGCCGCTAAAGCTAGGAATGCCCTTATTAGGCTTGTACTAGTACAGTATATATTTCTTAAACTAGTAGATATAAATTACAAATACATTTGTTAAACATTCATGCTACAGATTCAATATCCTCTAAAACTATACATTCATATCTACACTATATTCAAATTATTGACAATAATTTCATTGATGGCAATGTGAGAGTCGGTTAAGGTTTAGGTATGAACAAGCCCTGAGAAGACCATTCCCGGTTATCCCAGGTAAATGTTTCTGGTAAGTTACACTGAACAAAACATCATGCTTCAGATCTCGAGAGTACGAGATGAGACTTCAGACGTGATATCGATATATGGAGTTGGAGGGTTTTCTCCCTAGGTGCTTACAAAATCCATTAACATCAATGTAAGTTATACATTTCGATTCTTTTCCCTCACCTCCTTCCCCAGCTTACACCAGTTGGAGATTTATTTTCGCCCCAGAAGATGAGTTGGAGATGGTATTGCAGGCCCGTAGCCAGGATTTGCCAAGGGGGGGTTCATTTTTCAAAAATTTCCAGGGGGGGTTCACATTTGACAATTTTGGCCCAAATATGGCTAAAATCACTTGAGAAGTGCTCAAAATGGTGAAAAACTGCATGATTTTTCGCCCGAACCCTGCGAACCCCCCTGGCTACGGGCCTGGTATTATAATATATCCAATTGAGCTAATTAACACTTATGTCAAATTGTAAACTCTTGTAGCTAATTAACTTAAATTAGCCATTAATTTCCTAGGTATTGTGTTTTTGTGTTAATTGTTAATTTTTGTATTAATTTTATATTAATAATTTTACATGTACGACTCTCACGGCCATATTTATACTCTACATGAACATAAATGCTTTTCCAAGCTAATTAATCCTTCAGTATGGAGTTCACTGCCCAATTGTTGCACCTTAATTTGGGGCATGTATTCATTGTATTGTTCAGATGACTGCCTTCAGGGCATGTATTCATTGTTACGTATTGCCCAGATGTCTGCCTTCAGGGCATGTATTCATTGTATTGCTCAGATGTCTGCCTTCAGGGCATGTATTCATTGTATTGTCCAGATGTCTGCCTTCAGGGCACATATTCATTGTATTGTTCAGATGTCTGCCTTCAGGGCATGTATTCATTGCATTGTCCAGATGTCTGCCTTCATGGCACGTATTCATTGTATTGTTCTGATGTCTGCCTTCAGGGCATGTATTCATTGTATTGTCCAGATGTCTGCCTTCCGAGCATGTTTTCATTGAATTGTCTAGATGTCTCCCTTCAGGGCACATATTCATTGTATTGTTCTGATGTCTGCCTTCAGGGCACTTATTCATTGTATTGTTCAGATGTCTGCCTTCAGGGCATGTATTCATTGAATTGTCTAGATGTCTGCCTTCAGGGCACTTATTCATTGTATTGTTCAGAAGTCTGCCTTCAGGGCATGTATTAATTGTATTGTCCAGATATCTGCCTTCAGGGCACATATTTATTGTATTTTCCAGATGTCTGCCTTCAGGGCATGTATTCATTGTATTGTCCAGATGTTTGCCTTCAGGGCATGTATTCATTGTATTGTTCAGATGTCTGCTGATTTTCTAGGTGCCGATTATGAGGTACCATGCCTTCCTTTTGAGTAAGCGATAATATTTGATCCACAAACTCATTCGATGCAATAGGATCTTTAGTAGAGTATGATCGATTATTAGAAAAACTGTCAGAGTCTTCTGGCTGCTGTGAATCTTTGATAGGTGACGTCTGCTGGTACAATGTATTATGGGTAACAGTTGCATTAGTGCTGAGATTGATTGGTGAGATTTGATCAGCCTCAGGTTGGCTCTGTACAATAACATTACTAGAAGCGAAGAATGTACGATGACTGGCGTGACTGAAGTGACGAATATCTGGTATAGACTGTTTGAAAGGTGGGGAAATTGGCGGACTCCTTGGAGACACAGATGGACTCCTCCTTTCATCAACGTCACTATAGTCTCGCTGAACTTGTTCAGTCTCAGTCCTATCCATTCTAACAAGCTCATCCAATTTGCGCTTTTTCCCAAAATTCATATCGATAACAAGTCGGTTGTGAGGCTCCTCCAAATTCTCTTCATAGATGTCTCTGGTCAATCGCTCAGACCTTGAAATTTCTGAATGAGAGCTGCCTGGTTCAGGACTCAGAGATTCTCTGTCTCTGCCAGTCTCACTTATGGCTTCTCGTTTACTTATATCAAAACAGCTCAATCCAAGTGTATTTCCAAACTTCTGAGCGGCCTCTCTGTGAAGATCATCATTTTTCATCTGGACATGACGTATAAGGTGGATCTCCTGGGCAAATATCTTTTCACAGAACTGAAACATTAAGAAATGTTATTATTATTATTAATGCATTACTAATATCATGTCATTAGGAATTATTATCATTATTAGGCATATTTGTGAAAGAACTGTAATACAAAAATTTATTATTTGACATATGGTTCACCAACAGCAGATCTTGAGCACCACACTTTACTGGCATACATACATGTACATACTTGTATGTATCTCTCCAAAGAAGCCAAGGTTTATGTGACCCCGTATCTTTTAGAGACAGAATATTTTTCAGACAGACAAATAGTTGGCTGGAGGATGGACAAAGATGGACTGACAATTTACAGTTAAGTATGTCATGCAACCACCCATTCTTTCCAATTTCCCATTCTACTGAACATTTTTCCCATTGTAAGGTTCATCCATCTATTGAAGAGCTTAAGTTATGCATTACATGCTCTATTATCCCTGAAGTGTTCATTAATCTTGTTCTTATGAACTTTGTCTCAAATGTGGTTGTTTGAGTATAATATCCAAAAGTGGAACATAAGCTATGCAGAAAATGCAGTTCTCTTGACTAGAATATTCCAACAACACCCTGGTCTTTTAACCTTTCTTATCCAGAACCCTCTGAAGATTTATTTATCCAATTTTAGGAAGAGTTACAGAAGTGACTTCTGCATATCCATCAATAAGATCTGTGCAAAGTTTGTGTCTACAACACTGTACTTTTAATAGAAATATGAAGGCATTCTCAATTATAACAATAATAAGACCAAAACAGGAAATTAGATTAGATAGATTCATTGTCCTTATCATTCAAAAACAATAAAAAAACAAAAAACAAATAAATAACAAAACAGGAAATTATGCATTACAGACTCACTGTTTTCATTGTTTTCTTCTTGTTTATTTCAAATACAGACTACACAGACTACATTTTAAATAGTGCAAGTGCCATCATCGGAAAAGAGTTGGAAAATCTTTTTTTTAGATAATTGTTCTAAAATACCAAACGTAACGTAATACTGAATGCAACAAATAGGTAGTACTTCTGGTAATGGTGTGTGAAAACAAATTTAAACAAGGCATTAACATGAAAAATGTCACTACCTGCTATTTGTTACAGACACTGACCGCCAACCACTTTCAATCAGAATAAAAAAATTCAAAATTGGATCCTACATCAGTCAATATTATATATGACATTTTCCCCAAATCGAAATCCAAAGTTGCACATCATAAAACATTATTTTCCACTCACCTTGCAGGGGTAGACCTTTATATCTGGATTGCTGACCAGGCTAGGATGTATAACCATGTGTTTTAGAAGCCCAGACTCATGGCTATATTTCTTGTGGCAAATCTGGCATTCAAATCGCTGTGGAATAGATGCTGCAGATACGGGTTTGCCAGTTGGGAGAAAATCATGTAATGATTTTTTCCCAGAGAATGCTGTAAAAAGACTGTTATATATACCGTTCATATACAAGCAAATACATCATTGCATTATATCTTCACTTAAAGTCAATTCTTTGTTGGCAGATGTAAAAATCTAGAAGCAAGACATGCCTAAAACAAACAGCACTTCAAAAAAATCTAAATCATCTTTCTTGGAAAACAAAATCCCATTGACCTGTTGTGGAATATGTATTCCCGAATCCCATATATCTATTTACTTGAAGTGTGATGTGATTTAATAATATTACTGTTATACCTATTGTGCATTAGTGACCAGAAATTGGTGTTATTCCACCAACACAAATATAAAAGCTTCAAATGAAGAATCTTCCGTAAAGAACAAACAATCTTTCAAATACTAGTTTTGAAAAATCCAGGAACCTCTGAATTTAATTTAGTTTTACAAGTTTATGATAATTCTCCCTGAATTATATACAAATACATGTAGACTTACTTGCAAACTGGGACCAGAAACTTGTATGATTGTGATAAACATGCGTTGCCAAGGCAACCTCACTTGTATAGCTCTTTCGGCAATATGGACAGGGAATTGTATCCGTGTTTCCTTCACCATTATGTTGCTGAAAAACAAAAATAATTAAATATCATTAACTACTTTATTCTTTTCACCATAGTTGCAATTATCTTTATCATTAATTTTAAATAAGTCATTGAGAGAAGTGATGTAGATCTACATTGTAAATGGCCACCATGAAATTTTCCCAGCATGCCCAAAACCTGGCCCAAAACCTAATCAGAACTTGACATGAGTCTGTTAGTTGCATTTGTAAAAATTTGAAGTTTAACAGATACCGTAAGTGGTTTTCCTGGGATTTTAATGAAAAGATGTATGTGGCACCTATTCAACCGCCCAAAAGCACAAGATAACAATATAGTGCTCCTTCAAAGTCCTATTAGAAAATACTTTTAATAGACGAATGAGTTTTAGTTTAAACTTTTGAGATTTTTCCTTTATATGGTGTACCTTATTTTTGTGTGTTTGAAGGCTCGACTGTGTAACAAATGTTTTGTTACACTCTGTACACTGATACTGTTTTCTCTCGTACAAGCCAAGGTGTTTCTCGTGTACAGTCATATGATGACGTAAATTGGCGAGCTGCGTGAACCCCTTCCCACAATTCTCCACACCACACTTAAATGGGCGTTCACCTGTAATTATACAATATTTTCATATAAAATACCCGTTGAGAATCAATCCAATGGCATTATAGTCAAATACAGAAATTGAAATAATCAGAAGTTTTCTGCCATTAAGTACATCTATTGGTCTATAGAATCCTGGTAATTATAGTACTAAAACCATTTTGTACAAAATTAAGGACCTAACATCCAGGACATTAAGAAGCTGAAGCAAACTGAAAATGTAATTATTTCAACAAAAAGAATATCTGAGCATTATTTGCTGAAAATAAAATCAATTGAAAAAGTTCACCATTTCAAAGGTGAGACTGTTAAATAATTAATGAACAAGGTATACTATGTTTTCAACTGTATGACCATAACCTAATGATTTTGACAAGGTTTCTGACATCCATCCTTCATATTTTACCTTGTAAGGCTAGAAAATGACGTTTTTTGCCGTTTTTTACCAGTTTTCGCAAAAATGTCGGTAGGGGGGGGGTGAAACGTCGATTTTAGGAACCGAATTTTTTTCAGCTTAAACTTTACTATCAAGAGCCCATCTGGGCTGAACTGCATCTTGCTAGCATGAAAAAGCCATATTCTGGAACACCCTAGGTGAGAGTGTCAGCCTTAAAGGACCGATATAAAATTTAAGACACTGGCTTATATTATATTCTAACCTAATGTTATCAAAGGTGAAATTTTTCTATTTAATTTTGAAGGACTTTTTCTTCAAAAAAATGTGAATTTAGTTCAAATCAAATTTAAATTAAATGATCACCAGTAATTTAAACCAACGCATAACATACATCCTAACTTTTTCCATTTTGAAAAAATAAGAAAATTGGTAGCAAGAAATTAACTGCAGAAAAGTGGTTCATAGAAAAAAAGCATTTTAAAATTTTCGTTCTCTCTTTGATGACACTAATTATCTGAAACATGAGAAAAACTTATTTTCAACCTAGAAGGCCAACAATATTGCTTCATTTGATCGCTTAGCATATTTAGAAAATATTTGTACTAGAAGATAATTGAAAATCCTTGAAAAATTATTTTACCACCTGAATGACATCATATCATATCCAGTTATATTAAATTGTGAATGTATGCTATTTACTATTTGAGGCACAAAAGTTGAGTTGAATTCAACTTCGGCTTTTGAATTAGGGTGCAGCGAGTTTGGAGACCACCATATTTAATTAATTTTTCTCCAAGATAGCCCTCTAAGATATGCATATCACTAAGGCTGTCACAGAACGGAATTGGAATGGAACGGATTTCGGAACCTGTTTTCAGAATTCAGAACTTTCGGAATTTCGGACCTAATTGGCTTACTAAGATACAATGTTTCTTCAAGTTGTCATTGCAAGCTGCAACTAGGCTAGGGTACAACACAGAGAAATAAGTTAACATGTATCATGTTTATACATGGGCTTTCAATAGAATTGAAATATATCGAAAGCTCATGGCTTATATCAAGGACTGAGAGGAAGCAGATTAAGCATTGAGGTTACTGCCCTTTGGGATAAGCCCATGGATGATACTATATCTGAGGAATCTTAGAAAGAATATTCAAAAGAAGAATTTCTTAAAACTTATCGGTCTTATTGTTAGCAATAGAATGAGCCCAGAAAGTCCGAGCTAGAGACTTTTTCTCACGATTTCATACTCAAATTATTATCGTCCGCCATAAAGTTTTTGTGAATGTCAAATTAGCAAGAAACGAAATTGTCATACATCAAAATATTTTAAGTGGTAGTTAAAGATGAGACGGTATGAAATATATAAAAACAATTATGAATCAGTTATATTTTTCATATATAAAATAATTCTAACAGGATATATTTTCAATATCTAAACATATATTTATTGATTTCGTTTCATAATAAATGGTTCGAAAAATTCGGAATATGAGAAAACAGTTTTTTCAAACGTCACATTTTTGATTTTTGATGAATAACTGAATGCATGATTTTAACTTTATTCTTGTACATGTACATGAAGAAAAAATAAGTGTCAAACTAAATCTGTATTTAAAAATGATATATTTGAAATTACTACCTGATTACTACTTTGAATGAAAGTGAAAATGTTTCTCAAAATTGTAACAATAAGTGTGCAAACCTCCTCAGATGCTATTTGTAAAAAAATTCACTACCCATACTTTTGTTGGGATGTTCTGTTAATGTAAAGAAGTTGGTTCTTGGAATTACATTCATGGTACAAAATTTCCAAAGTACAATACAAATTGTTAATTGAATTTGCCTCATAGTTCATTACTTTCATACCTGAGATAATGGCATTTACTGAATGTGACAAAAATATGCCAAGTAGAAAATTGATTGTGGCATTTCAAGTTATAGGTCATATTTTTTGTCATTGCACTTTTTAAATTTACATTTAACACAGTATTTCATGTTACATTCTACATTCCCGAGCTTGGAATTGTTTCAGTTTGATAGGTGAAAAAATGGTAAAATAATGTGGCATTAAAGGTCAAATGACAAAATCATTCTTTTTTTGGTCACTATATATTAACTTGGTCACTTCAGTACATTAAATATTGTATTGTATTTAAACTTCAAGAATGTTAAAATTGCTCCTAATGTCCATAAGCTACTAAAACTAGAGGAGTTCTTTCATGTAAATCCTTATTCCTTACAATTTGCCCTTTCTAATGGTATATTCAAGGCTGGGACAAATAGTGTCATTCCTTTGATAATCATTATGTCAACATTTGTGGTGGTGACATAAAAACGTTGGAGACTATAACAGTATGTTACCACTTGTGGTGGTGACTTAATAAAGTTTATACATGTATTAGTCTACTTGATATTAACACTAAGGCTATAGACAAGACATTACACATGGAAAATTGTCACCACCTAGTTGATCACAATATTGTGAGTTCAAATCTGAAGTCTGATTTGAACTTCTGAGAACTTGTAGATGATTAAATGCAAAAGAAAATTGGTAATTTTGAAGTTGAAACGGCCTTCGCTTGGAGAAGCTCATTGAAGGTCAAATCTTAAAGGAATATTCCTTGCCAAACCATCTCTCTCCTCATATGGTAGCTATAACAATATATATGCTTGCCATGTTTAGCAAAACACGCAAAAATGTTTTGATATGGTCAAATTTGATCACTTAGAAATGTGATGTTCAATTCCAGTAAGCTGCCATCTTTTAAAATTTCACACAGGAAGTGATGTCATTGACTCTCAACTTTGCATATAGCATTAGGTGAGGAGCTATTAAGAATTACAAAACCAACTAAATATTCTAAATATATTTTTCAACTTTGTATCTTATTTAATCCTTCTGAAAATCTCTTCTTTTATTCTAAGTTGACAAGCCCTGAAAATATTTTTGCACAGAAAGTAATGATCACTTGTCTAGAAGTGATTTTGTGCTACTTTCCTATACTGTTATGGGCAAGGTTATAGAAGTTGAGAGCAGGGCATGCCTTAAGCCAAATTTCCCTGCTGGTCATCATGACCAGCAGTATTAAAATTCGAGGTGGTCAACTGTAGAATCAGCTGGTCACAATGACCAGCAGCACTCCAAAACCTGCTGGTCATTGAGAGATTTAGCTGGTCAATGAAAATAAATCAGAAAAAAACAAAAACATCACATCGTAGTAAAAATTATTTGATCGTAGTAAAACTCATTCATAGTCATCATGGCGCATGGATCTATATAATGAGTGATGAACTTATAACCTAAGCACTCATTACGAAACTTTTTCAACCGCCATTTTTAAAAATTGAACTGGAAATTATCATTTTGCGGCAATTTATGGCTTAAAAGGGACATAAATTATAGTTCTAGATGATCTAGGATTACTGAGTAATCTTTCTAGCTATTCTGCATACCTTGACGCCAGGTTTGGCCGGAATGATTCAACCCGCAGATTTTGCAAATGCATCGAACTTGACCGGAAAAAGAAATAGTTCCTGAATTAGGGTAAAATTAGCATTCGCTACTTTCCGTTACCTATATTTGGATATATTCGTATATTCACGTGATACTGATTAATTATGCATGCAGTGACGTAAGGGTTGATTAATTATGTATGCAGTGACGTAAGGGCTGATCTATTAATGACACTGACCCCTGTGGATCATCGTCGAACAGTTAACAAACGTAGGCTCCATTAATTAATATTAAATTAAATATAAGGGGCGTGTAAAGATGAATGAACAGCCACACTCCCAGCTAAGTTTAGGGGTCGTGTCAAGGTATCGGACAAAATATCCAGGCCGTATTTCCAGTTGACTAGTATGTATCGGTCAGTATGGCCGACAGTTTTTAATTTTTAACCGGTCCCATCAATATTCTACCGGACAAGTCCGACGCTTAAGGCGTGCCCTGGTTGAGAGTTGATGACATCACTTCCAGCAAGAAATCTTAAAAGATGGCAGCTCACTGGAAATAAGCACTAGATTTTTAAATAATCAATATTGACCGTATTAAAACATTTTCCCATGTTTTGCTAAATATGGAAACTATATATATGATTATAGCTACCATATCAAGAGAGAAAGGGTATGGCAAGGAATATTCCTTTAAGTTAAATTTGAACTCCTGACAACTTGTACATGATTTTGAAAAAAATGGTTCTTGAAAACAATTGGTTTGAAGCAAGTTGAAAAAATACCTTTTTGTCCTTTTTTGACCTTGAGAAGATCATCGAAGGTCAAATCTAAAGTAAACAGCAACAATTAGTGCAGAGGGTCATTCAACGATCATCGACCAGTGTCAAAATATGTTGAAGTTTGGATACTTCATCAAGACTAACATATATTTTTATTATACACAAAGAAACCCCCTAGGCCCTGGATGAACATTACATCAGCTGATATTCCTATTGAAAAGTGGTGGATCGTAAAAATCTATAAGTGGGACTCCCTTTATAGAAGCTTTGAACTGAATTTACACTTCTTAATGCTGAAATTGATTAGTTTATCCATACACTTTAAGAAAATAGGTATGTCAAAGAAGATGCCTTGATAGCTCAGAAAAAGGAAAATTTTTTGAATTTTCTCTCTTCAGTCTTTGTTGCCCCTTTAAACTGTAGCTATTAAACTGAAAGTTAACCTGTACATTGTATGCGTAGACCTAAACTAGACTGAAAATTAACCTGTAGGTGTAGACTTAATTAAGAAATTGTTACAAACGCCTAAGCTCTGTTATAAGAAATTGTTACAGATTGACTGACTGTCAAGTGTCCACAAAAAAGTTGGAAACTATAGCAATATGTCGCCAATTTTGGTGGTGACATAAAAAACACATTTTTGCCTATTTTGTAAAATTTCTCAGAAAAAACTTAACTAACACTTCGGGAGATTTCTAACATTTTCTGTTATTATGCAATTTTTGAAACAATGGGAAATGGTAATTCAAGGAAAGATTTGGCTTATGTTACATGAGGCATATAGAGGTGTTTGTTTTGGTACTTTCACTCTCTTGTGGTGTCCTAATTTTTATGATTGAAACAGAATTGTTCTTTATCCCCATTCGTATTCTCTTTTAGCCATTTATGATGTATTAAAAGATGAAGAAGAGCACCAAGAAATCTTGTTCAACGATTTTACCAAAACATGTAAATTGTAATAGGATATCATTTGACAGATTGTTCTTGGAATATCCAGCAGATATATTTCTCTAAGGATAATCCCAATATCCCGAACCTTTTAAAACAAGGGTTACACACATGTTCGTGTTTCTGGCCATATTAGTGAAAAAGATAAATATATAGATTTGTTTGACTTAGATGGGTTTTACTGTACTAAGGAGAAGCTTACCCGTGTGCATTCTGTTGTGTTGCTGTATGTGGGAAAGTTGCTTGAATGTTTTATCGCAGAATGAGCAGCGATATTTACGCAAGCCACTGTGGACTAAGTGATGCTGGCCTAACTGTTGCGAATTAGGAAACAGCTTGCCGCAAACTTCACACTTGTGGCTCTTGGTGGAGTAGTCAAGCTCTTGTCCCTTAGGTGGGCGTCCAGGGCCTACAGATCTTGGGGACAGCTGAGAAGATGACGGCTGAGGCTCGTTGTCATGTGATATGACGGGCGAAGGCTCCCCAATAGGGTACGGTTCCATCTTAATCATTTGTGCCCTGAAACATAAATAAATAAGTTTTTTCATCTGCAATATGGTATTTGTACATGAATCTCGGAAATACTACTATTGCGATAGTCTTTTTTCGTTAGCATATAGTCATAAAACAACAAGCTAGATAGTACCCAAATGCGAATTTTCCTTGCCTGTCCTTTTATTACTCAATAACAATTGAACAATATTGAAGATATTTCTTCCTAAAGCATTAAACATACCTCAAAAACCAATGATACATACTATGCTTCAAACGTCTTCCTTTAACCAAGGCTGTTTCTCAACTAAAGGTTATATGCAGGCCAAGCCTTCAACTGCTTATGAGAAAAAAAATCTAATAAAAAAAAGTGTAATGAATACCAAAGTATTTGAACACAAGCAATAAAAAAACTGTTTTCAAATAAGATTCAGATGTGTAAATAAAAAAATAGGGTCAAACTTTTATTTCTTTCAAAAACATTTTTTTTAATTAAAAATGATTGATCCACTCATTTTTACTGAAGCAAATGAAAATAACAAAAAATGAGCTGGACTGAAAATCCAATATTCCCATGAAAAAATATAATTTAAAAAAAACAAGAACCTTAGCTACTATCAATACAAAAGATGGAAATATGGATTTTTTTCATGATTATAGTTTTCTATCATTGGAGTTTAGTTTAGCCTTTGAATAATTTACCATAATTCTTTTGTGCAGACATTAATCAAAAACAAAGGTAAAAGGATTTAACAAGAATTACAAAATACATCTGAATGCAACAGGAACATATTTGCCTACTAATGTCTTTTCAAAATACATGTACCTATCATATCAAACCTGAATACCAATTGAATAAAGTACTTTTAATGAGTTTTTTACCATCCAGCTAAATATTAAATTTGCTATAAAATCAACAACTTGGCATTGACTTGATCAGTAAAAAAAGATTCATATAAAAATCTGAAAAGTAGGGCTAGATTTCCCATTGACACAATGTGAAAAATTCATAAGATAACAATCTAATTTGAAGGAAACCATGATTTAACCACAATGAAGTTCATCCAGTCAGCCCAGTTATGAACTTACATCATATTGAATTAATTTTATTCTATTAAGTCATATTCTAATTTGTTTATAGTGAGAATCCTGCAACCATTATGGCTGTACGAGATCAGTTATCTAGTCTAGAGGCAAATAACAGCATTTTGAATACAATCAAAGTATTTTTTGAAGTAATTAGGACTGAATCTGAATTACAAAAAGTCTTGTAAATTACACCATTCTTAAATTTAGTAACATTAAAGAAGGTAGGGAAAAGCCAATAATGAAATGAACTTCCCTATAGCATGTTGATGCCACTCCTTATCAAACTTGATGAGGTTTTGTTTTGAGGATACAATGTCCCATAAAGAAATTTGTAGAGTTTTTCCTTATGGAAAGTTTTTGGATCTTTGTCCAGATAACTGAAAATCCTGAACAATGGGTGTCAGTTTCAAATGGCTGGAAATATGGATTGGTCTTTTGGATGTAGTAATACTTGTCCTAGCTAGAACATCTATGTAATGTTACTTGGCAAAATATGATTGTCAATCTCTCTATGAATATGTGCTATTAACTTATATATGTGAAAAAAATTCAGTCACATTTAGTTGTAACAATAATACATGGGGAAAGATTTAAGACAAAATAAAGTCATCTGCACCTCTCACTAATTTTGATTAACCTCACGTGCCGATGGCTCAATTTCATCAAACAATTATAAACACTCATTACGATAGGTGATAACAAGAATTGATTTACTGTTTATATTAAGAGGAAACTTTATTTATTATTACAATTACATATTGGTAACTATAGTGTATAATATATATATATATACATATATATATATTGGTAACTATAGTGCAACTTGGGTATGTTATATATGTATTGGTAACAATAGTGCAACTTAAGTATGTTATATATGTATTGGTAACTATAGTGTATAATACACAAAACAAAAACTACCAAAACCTTAATTAGCAGAATGTACTTAAATACAAGTATGATAAGAAAGATTTTTACTATAATCACTGCATGATTTTTATGTCAGTTGCTACAAAGACAGAAAAGAATGGATGTTAAATCTTGCAAACCAACAAGTCAACACTGATTTATAAATAAGGTCAACTAGTTTTAAAAAGATGCTCATTTCATACATAGCTAGGCGAGTCAATTCCAGTCAATCACAGTATTTCATATATCTGCAGTGCATTATATCACCAATCACCACATCCAAGGTTACTCCTACTGTGGTTGTCAAGGTGATAGCTTGACTCTACAGAATAAAATTGATGGTTTGCCAACTCGACAAAAAGTTTCATTGAAAATATGTTCTTTAAGTGATTTTGTATCTTTTAAGTGACCTGGCAGAGAATATTTTGCAATGTGTGAAAAGACTTTAAGCCCGAGGTTCAATGCATTGTGGAATGACCATTCCTTTCAGGCATTGTTTCCTAAAATTAACACTCGATGCATCTCATGTAAATTTTGGAAAGCACCATCTTCAAGGAATGGTCATTTGACATTGCACTGGCTGGCTTAAATCCTTAAGTAATAAGTACAGTAAAACCTGTCTTAGTGAACACCTCTCAAGTAAACGCCTGTCTCTAGTGAACACCCTTCTTCGGCACATACTACCAACTTCTGTATACTATTTATTACCCTCTCTGTAGTGAACACCTATCAACATTGAACATTTTTGCTTGGCAAATGGCAAAAATGTTCAATTTACACAGGTTTTACTGTATACTGTTGGGCAATTGACTCTTATCTAATATTCTTTCAAAAAATGTTCACATTAATATGGGAACACATTGAAATTTGGCAGATTGGTATGGGAACATATTGATATCCGAGGGTTCAGCCTACACCCCTGTCATATTTTGTGAAGAGTGAACCCCTCGGGGCCGCATGCCACACATTTGCTACACATTTGCTAACTCATTGGGTTTCAAGAGACAGCCCATGGTTACCCAAATAACAAGCAATCCAAAAATAATTGCATCGGAAATATGAATATTTTTCTGTACAGTGGTGTCTTGCTTTATTTTCACTGCCTCTGATACTGTACATGTAGATCCTTCCTTGACATCAATGCTGTTGTCCAGCACAGGCAATTTTATCTAACTGACTTACAAACCACATTGTCGATCTTCTACAGTGGGGGAGATAAAGAATTACAAAAGCTATGAAAATTACATGCTGTCATACATGTAATAAATTCTTACCTCTGTGTATTCAGTGCTCTATTTTCTCCATCCCAGTAAGTCCAGATATAGTGGAATTTGTGTCCATAATGACAAATAAGAACTTTGAAGTGGATATCCACATGTTAATGCCGACTTTTCAAATGTTGAGGTGATTTTGGAGCCTGATTACGCCGCAATGTAGATTGGCTCCCAGAATGCAACATGACACATGCCAGCTTTCAAAATGCTGTTCCACCATTTTGAAATCTGTCACGAGTAAATAAGATTAACTGATGTTGCATTCTGGGAGTCAATCCTCTCAAACATGGCGATTCATGAAAACATTTTGTTCGATTTGGTAGGGATTTATCCATCATTTGCAGGTATGGAGCTTTGGATTTATATATTGTGCTAGGGAATTATTTTTCTACTGCTTGGGAGAGTTTGAGACACGAAACTTAGAATTTAGCTCATTGTGACAACTTTTGATGGTTGAGGTTTATCTTTTGTCCCCACTTTAGAAGGCTTTATAAAGTGGGGTACAAAACTAAACCTCAACCTCTGCCAAGCGGTAGAAAAATAATTCCCGTTCACTACTTTAAGTAGCACAATAAATGAATCCAAAGCTCCATACCTGCAAATGATGGATAAATCCCTACCAAAGCAAACGAATGTTTATATGAATCGCCATGTTTGTGATCAAAGGAGGATTGACTCACATGCTATCTATTGCAAGACTTACGCCTGCCACAACCGTCACCATGTTAATCAGTGTTTTTTAAGTAGCGCAAGGATCCTGCCATGACCGTGGTAGTGTTATCGTGTAAGCCTGGTATAACCGTGACAGGCTGGTATAACCGTGACAATGTTGTATTCTATTGCAAGGCCTGTCATGACCCTGGAAGTGTTATCGTGGAAGCCTGGCGCGACCGTAGCCTTTATTGTGGTTTATAACCGAATGTGAATATTAATGTATAGTAGTAATTTTGATTTTGACATGATTAAGGTAGTTAAACACCATGATCATAGTATTAAACTGTTGAATTGTAATGAGGATCACTTAAAATTGTTAAGGATATGCCTGGCATTAATGTCATACATATTTACTAGTCATTGCAATACATTATAACGGTCATAGTAGAACTAAGCCTAAATCTCTACATTACCACCCTCATACCTGGCCTTGCAATACTATATTACATTGTCACGGTCATACCAGGCTTTGCGATCCCATAATACATTGTCATGGTCATGCCAGGTTTTCAAATACACATTGTCACGGTCAATTATAGCAATCATAAATTTCTACATCACCACTCTCATACCCGAACTTGGAATACTATATCACATTGCCATGGCGGTCATACTAAGCCTTGCAATACTATATTACATTGGCATGGTCATGCCAGGCTTTGCAATACACATTGTCACGGTTATAGCAGTCCTAATCGTAAATTTCTACTTTACCACTCTCATACCTGAACTTGCAATACTATATTACATTGTCACGGTCATGCCAGGCTTTGCAGTACTATATTACATTGTTACGGTCATACCAAGCCTTGCAGAACTATATTACATTGTCACGGTCATGGCAGGCATTGCAATATAATACTGCATTGTCGCGGTTATACCAGGCTTTCACGATAACATTACCACGGTCATGGCAGGATCCTTGCGCTACTTAAAAAACACTGAATAACATGGTGACGGTTACGCCAGGCGTTAGTCTTGCAACAGATAGGGTCTCGATTGACTCCCACAATGCAACATCAGTTACCTTATTTACTCGTGACAGGTTTCAAAATGGCGGATCAGCATTGTGGGAGTATATCCTCCCTTGCAGCGTAATCGGGTTCCAAAATCACCTCAACATTTGAAGAGTCGGCATTAACATGTGAACATCCACTTCAACTTTTTAAGTTCTTATTTGTCATTAGGACACAAATACCACTACATTTGGACTTACTAGGACAGAGAAAATAGAGCACTGAATACACTGAGCTAAGAATTTATTACATGTGCGACAGTATGTAATTTTCATAGCTATAGCAATTCTTTATATGTCCCCCTGTAGAGCTCATTGAAAAATTATAATTTTTTATCTGCATATTAGATATGCCAATTTACTATCATGGAAATACCAAAATAACTATATCTTTTGAAATAATTCAATATGTTTATGTTATCCTTTTTGGGCTACTGTAAATAGGGAATCATTCGATATTTGAGAGGTGAAAAAGTAATTATTTATTTTTACCTTTTTCATGAGCAACTCTTCTCCCTAGATGGCAGCACATGTAATTGATATGGCGTTCATTTGTTTATCTTTATTTTCGTATGTGTCAAAAATATACCCTAATCTTCTAATCGCCCGTGTACCAATGTAAAAAGGTAGTAGAAAAGGTAGACACGTTTTATTTGATATCACAGGGCGTAAATTATATTGTCATTCAAAGTGGTATTGGGAATTGGTATTCATTCACAGATATCAGAATTTGGATATCAGAATCTTTAGGAGGTATTTTCCAAGAAAAATTCTGTCATCTGTGTTCATAGTGGGTAATTGCCGTGTTGGTCGTTCAGAGTGGTATTGAGAATTGTTATTCAATGTTGTATTGGTCAGACTGATATTTGAAATTGTCATTCAGAGTGGTATTGGTAATTGTCATTCATAGTGGTATTGGTACGGTAATTCTCACATGAAGTGGTATTGGGAATCGCTTCTCAGAGTGGTGGTGTGATTGTCATTCAGAGTGATATTCAGAATTGCAATTCATAGTGGTATTGCAACTTGTCAGGTATTGGTAATTGTCATTCAGAGAGGTATAGGTAATTGTCATTCATGGTATTGGTGATTGTCACTTAAAGCGGTATTGGTAATTGCCCCTCATAGTGGAGTTATTGTAATTCAGAGCGGTATTGGTAATTGTTATTCACGCTGGTATTAATAATTTTCATTCAGGTTGGTATTGAGAATAGCCCCTCAAGGTGGTGTGATTGTCATTCATAGTGGCATTAGCAATTGACATTTCAGAGTGCTATTCGGAATTGTAATTCATAGTGGTATTTGAAATTGTCCTTTATATTGATAATTTTTATTCAGAGTGGCATTGGTAATTGTCATTCATAGTGGTATTGGGAATGGTCATTTAAAGTGGCATTGGTAATTGCCATTCATAATGGTATTAGGAATGGTCATTTAAAGTGGCATTGGTAATTGTCATTCATAGTGGTATTGGGAATGGTCATTTAAAGTGGCATTGGTAATTGTCATTCATAGTGGTATTGGGAATGGTCATTTAAAGTGACATTGGTAATTGTGATTCAGAGTGAAATTGTTCATTTAAAGTGGTATTGGTAATTGTCATTCACAGTGGTATTGGGAATGGTCATTTAAAGTGGTATTGGAAATTGTCATTCATAGTGGTATTGGGAATGGTCATTTAAAGTGACATTGGTAATTGTCATTCATAATGGTATTGGGAATGGTCATTTAAAGTGACATTGGTAATTGTCATTCATAATGGTATTGGGAATGGTCATTTAAAGTAGCATCGGTAATTGTGATTCAGAGTGGTATTGGGAATGGTCATTTAAAGTGGTATTGGTAATTGTCACTCATAGTACTATTAGAAATTGTCATTCAATGTTGTATTGGTAATTGCCATTCATAGAAGAACTGAAAATCATCATTTCCTATGGTATTTGGAATGCTTATTTCCAATGGTTTGAGAATGGATCATTCGCTGTGGTATCAAATATTGAATACTGTTAGCCATACTAGTGATTACTACCTTATGGATAGGACAAATAAACAACTTTGATTTGCACAGTTATTTACCTTTATTCAAACTTCCAGGATTTTCAAGTTTTCTGAAAAAGGTCGGGCTAAATCCCCATTAACCCAATGTTGAGAGTTTAAAATATCCATTTACTCTTTCAAGGGTCATAATTTTAATGTTAAATCAAAATCCACATGTCAATAAGATCACATAGTTACATGCCAATTGAGTTTCACATGAATCCAAATGGAAATATTTGATTTTCTGCTACTTCTCTGTATCCTTGTAATGGTATTCTAGCTCTACCAACACTCACAGATCTACGTATTAATCCATCTCTATATATCTATAAAGAAAATGGTCAATTGAAGACATTGGAATATTGAAAACATTACCATATTAAGAATCAATATAAGCCTGTAGATCACTACCACACTTCTTAATGCAATCGCTTCACTAAAAGGGCATCGGTACTAATAAATCCTATTATTATATGGAATGTAATAAATTCAAATACTAACTCCAATTCTAAGATATTAAATCTATTATATTTATTGCAATGTTAAAGTATACCATATATCCCTAAGAGCACCTCTTTTACAATAATCGTGCTGGGAGAATAAGTGTTCAAGCAAAATATACAGCTCTTTATATATATGATACATGTAAAGAAAAATAAGTTTTATACATAAACTTGTGATATAATATGTGAGCTTAAAATACAAGGATACAACAATTTTTTTTCAGTTATACTCCACATCTTCTTGAATTATCTATTCATGGAGTATTCATTTTATTTACAGTTAATTTATTATGAAAATGTAGAATGTAATCAACATCAGAACATTAACAACATTTCTTATAAGATTAGTACTTTAAAATTGTCATGGAGATATTTCGATACAAAGGCACAGTGTAGTATTTTAGTTTCTAATAACAATAAAATTGATGAATGTTATAAAACAGTAGATACAAGTAAAAGTACAAATGATGAATCAAGCAGAAAAGCTTATTGAGGATGATCCCTATAGACGGCACATCACTCGTCCCATTTTCTGTATTCTGCTTTAACTAATTACTCCGAACATTAATTGAACCAATAACTATTTTCTCTTCATAATTCTGTTCTTACATGTTAATCATTTCCTAAATCCTTGATATTTTTTAGATAAGATTAATACTTTTTGTTTACAATCACTGAGTGTTATGCCATCTATTTGATGTCCTTGTATTACAACAATCATGATAATATACTAAACAATTTATGAAACTTAAGGTGGGTCAAATAATCACCCATATGAACTCGTAACTCACAAATAGGTCCCACATTTGTTTCCCACCTTAAGATATGGTTTACAAATAGAAAAATATAAGGCAAGCAGTGAAAGATATATATAATTTGACAAAAATCTCATTATAAATAAGGACCTTAAATAAAAGGTGACAATTAAGATGACAATTGAAGAAACCTTTTAAGTTCTGTTGAAAAGTCATTCAGATCAGACACTATTTCACTCAAATGAACAATTCATTTGTAGTTTAAATTCAAAATAATACATTTTTATATGAAGCAAATAAATGCACATAAAGATTATATTAAAATGTATATAGTAAAGTAAAATAAAGTAATAAAGCAATAATTGAAGTGGCACCTTTTAAATAAAAGATTAAAAACCAAATTTTTGGGGAAAATGTCCTTTGAAATCCATTGTAGAGAGTTGTGTAACTTGAGGTAGATTGGGTACAGTCTATGACATATCTTCAAGAAATCATCAAGCATGGATCATCAAGATGAGGCATTCCTTGCAACTGTGTCCTAGACTGCTTAAGCCACATTTGGAAATAAGTAAAACTAAAGTTGGAAATTGCATACAAACATACAAAATCAGTTCAGTAAATCTACTGCTGAATAGTATTGAATTGGAGGCTCTACAGTCATTCTTTACAGCCACAGCTTTAGAATATAAGGAATCAAATCAGTTACATATTTGTCCATGTTTTCTTGAGCTCATGTGCTAGACATACATTTGTTATTATGCATCAGATGTTACTATGGTTATGCTGTAAAAGCATTTTCTTTTGGTACCTAATAGTATATTCCCAAAATGGGGAAAAGGAGGGAGATTCTTATATGTTCAGATCTCACTCTTAGTTGAATGTTATATGATTATATCTCATATTTTAATATAAACATTGCCAAGTTAAGTTGATCATGTAGTTATTTCATTTTAGTAACACCAATCAGACTTACTAGTAACATCTTTGACACAAATACACTTTAATAATATATTAAGCATTTTTGTGTTAAAGCAATCCAATGTTACATGACACAGCATATCATACATGTTATAATTAATATACAATGTAAAAGGAAATTGCATTGCAGGTACCAAATATGGTCCACTTTCACAGGTTTTACTGTATTTATTGCACCAATGCAAAACTACCTCAAACATATGTATATGTTGTTGTCTTGAAGGATGAAGAATGTACTTATAGTGTTTTTATTAGAAGTGTTCATCTTCATGAAAAATGGATTAGAGATGTTTTTGTTTCATAAAATATGGCTTGGTTTTCACAAATAAGTATCAAAATCTATGTTCATTCTAAGACTGATCAAGCCAATGGAAATACTTCTGTTAGCAAACTATTTCTATGTTATATCTATGGAATTCATATGTACCCTGTATTCCGATATGTATAATTTTATACCATTGTATTTCAATCTACATGCATAAACTCACACTGTTGTATTTCCATATGCAGTTGTATTCCAATACAGGGTTGTATTCTGGTATGCATATGTCACTGAATATGTACACTTCAACTAACTTCAAAATAATGTTGTAAGTTCATAATTCACAAAATGCAATATTGCAAGTAAATGTACAGGGTGGGGCACAGGTGTTACAGAGTTAAAAATAGCATAAATGAGTAAATATCATAATAGCTTAGAACTATATATATACCTGTGCTCCATTTTGTTGAAATGGCACATTTCATTTTTGGCAATTAAATCCTTTTTAAATATATCAAACAATAAATGTGTGACGTTTGATAAAGTCAACTATTTCCCATGGCACATTTTACATCAAGGCTAGATGCCCTATTCACATATGCAAAAATATGGCTTCATCATTTTGGCTATATTTCTATAATGAAAACTAAAATCAGAATAAAACTGCCAAAAAGTGTATATCCTATTGGCAAATATTAAGTTGAATAAATTCATACGTTCCTTAAAATATGGCACAGTCAACTCAGTTCTAATATCTAACATATTTATACCAACTACTGTTACTATTGCATATGGTACAGTCAATATCAGAACATGACCATATCACATATGGTATCAATATAAACATTACAAAAATACTGTTACATATATATGATATTATATAGATACATAACAAGTGAATTTTACTATATACAAAACACTTCCTTCTTGCGTTAATACATCAAAATGTTCCAAGCTAATCTTTTCTAGTTAAATTCAAAATGCACAAAATAGGTCAAAATATATGTGCATATCTAAACTGTTCAGTATTCATATATATCTATTTTACATCTTTACACTTTCTTGAAAAATATTTTATAAATTTTGAGAAGTCAAATTCTAAATTAAGCTACTGTAATTTTTTTAATATTTAATTGAATGCATAACATTGTGAGCTGGTGTCCGCTAATAATGAAGCACCCTGTATGGATACAAAACATTTACATTTTACACATTAGTGTGTTGTTATAACCAGAAAATATTCAGTTTTGCAGGAAAAATCCAACTGAAAATATTTGTAAACCCAAATACCTAAAATATTAATTACCTGAGATTTTTAGCAGAGAAAAATATGACAACGAAAATGTCAACATTAATACATAAACATGTACACTGTACATATAATAAAGAAATTGTACTTTACATAAAGTAGCACATAAAATGCGTATTGGGATTTTGGAACCATGGATTGGATCACTCTAACTCTTATGATAACCCATTCCAATTTCTTAATCCATCTTTGCAGATTTTAATTTTATATACACCAGTGTAATGTCGAATATAATACATGATGATCTAATATACATGTCAACATTTATCTTTACCACAATAAGTGAGCAAGTCCTTTGCATCAAACGTCATTATCTTAATACTATTTCATTATTTAATAATTCATACATCGAAGAATCTCCTGTATGGGACCTAGTAACATAATAGTCTGTTATAAGATCTTCTTAAATGAACACTCCTAGAATGAGGTAAGAGTTCACATTGATAATGTTCACAAAAAGAAGTCCCAAAACATGGGTGTCAATATGATATTCAAAACAATTACTGAAAAATGTCAAAAGAAGAATAAAAAGAAAAAATAAGCATGGAATTATGCTTCAATATTGATTATGCTAAGCCTGTCATACTTCATTACTTGTATACTTAGTGGTACTCTTCACGTTTTCCGAGATCTTTGTTATTAGGTATCGGTGAGTGTGAATCAGGATGGGCATGTGCCATCATACTAGGGATGTGATGGCTTGTATAGTTCTTGATGTCATGTAGGCGCAGCAAACTACTGGCTATCATCCCCTCGCGGGAATTGAGGTGGTCATTTCTCAGTGGCTCTGGATTTTGTCGGAGTAGAGTGCTAGCGAGCATGCTCTCCCTGGTCACTAGAGGGCGCTCTGGCTCCATCGGGCGGAAACCAGTTGGGTCATAAGGGAAATAAGGCATGGCACCTGCAAGGGAGGAGATGTTTGGCAGGGCTGAGGGATTCATTGAGGTATTTGTGTGAGGCACACGAGGTGGTGGGAGGCCAAATGAGGTATATGCAGTATGCGCAGTTGTGTTAGGTATATGAGGTACATGTGAGTATTGTTGCTGGGGCTGCACAGAATTGAATGCCGAATGTTTAGGGCTTGTATGTGCACCACCATTACTGGCGTCGGACTTCCCAGAGTCAAATGACTCTTGCTTGATGAGCCCCTGGGACTGATGGTGATTAGGATCAAGATGTGACGGCTGCTGCTCTTGATGTGGATCCTGATGATGTTGTTGCTCCTGATGATGCTCAGGATGATTCTCTTGGTGATGTTCCTGAAGAGGGGTTCCTTGTGGAGGGGCACTATTCCTTCGAGGGCCATTGCTACCAAATGAATGTTTCTGCATGTGTCGCTCCAGAAATATAGCCTGGGTATATGATTTCCCACAGACCTGGCAAATATGAGTCTTTAGGAGCTTGGTGTTGGCATGCTTTGGGATGTGTTCTCTTAGGCCAACCTCATCAGTAAAGCACTTGTAACAAGAATTACAACGGTATGGCTTATCCGTCATATGAGAGCGTGAATGTGATTGTAAATTAGAAAGCTGAGAGAAGGATTTCACACAGCCTGGATGTTGGCATTTGTACGGCTTCTCCCCTGTGTGGGTCCGAAGATGCTGCTGCATGTGTGATAGCTGCGTGAACTTGCGGTCACAGATTCGACAGCCATATGGCTTAATACCCAGATGAATACGATTGTGTTGGGAGAGATAGGAGGAATTTGCGAAACTTTTTGTGCATGTTTGACACTTGTATGGTCTTGGGTCTTGCTTGTGAACGTGCTGACTGTGGAGCATCATGTCCGCCTTTGTGTCAAACATCTGAAACATGTCAAATTTAGCATAAATAAACTGAAATAAATATTTTCCATCATGTTGAAATCATCAGTGTGAACATCTTATATATCATCCTCAAAATCTTTTCAATCTATTTGTTACAACATGTTATGATGAGCAGTCATGTTTGATTTATACCTGACATGGGAAAAAGAGGTCCATATGCTTTCAATTCAGAGGTGAATTATGAATCATTTAAGGAGGTATTTTGGAATTGTTGATCGGATTCTTAAGTATATTTTTAATATATATTGCACTTATATGTAATTATAAAGTAATTAAGTCTTAAATTGATCATCCATGTCTAACAAACTTCTTTATTGACAATGATCTTTCCATTAATGCAATTATTCAACCATAATCTGAAATATCCATCCTGTTATTACAATTCTTTATTCCAAAAACAAAATAACTATTGACTTGTGTCTGTTGAATGTCGAGGCACCCTCATTTTTTAACACAGCCTGTCATGGTGGCTTAATCTTATTCAAATGCAGAACTGAACAGTTGGTGGTAAAACTCTACCCACATAAACTTATATGTACGGTATATGCAATTAATACAGCATCTAGCTGTTTCAACATTTTTGTATTGATAAAGATCAATCTTTGTGGGATTAATTGTGTATATGACAACATTCAAGTCAAGGGAAATGCTGTTCGATCTCTGTTCATAAAGAATGTAATTTTGAGATCTGATCAACAAGATTTTGGGAGGTTATACTCACAATACTACAGAAAATGGCAAAATTGACAAAATATTATTGTATTAAGCAATTAGAATTATGAAGTAAATCATCCATCGAATGCATGGTTGCAGTACAGGTTCTCTAACATCCATAAAAGAAAAAGATATGCTATTGTGAATTTCATAGCCCTACAATTGGAAGGCGAATGGCCATGATATATTGTACATTTATTGTATATTTATTGTAATGTTATGATGATGTCATGAATTATTAAACGCTACAACAACAAAAAAACATCTTATAAAAAATAATTGTTTTGATGCTATCTGGTAATACACATTGTGGTTTATCTATTATTCTTATAAAGTTCAATACAGTGAAACCTGTACATCTGAACAAGTCTCTAATCCGAACGCCTCTCAATGTGAACACTTTTTCTTGGTTCCAAATTTGTTGTCTCCCATTGACTCCCATATTTAGAAAACCTTGAAATGTGAACACCTGCTAATTTCAATGCTTTTTGCCAGTTCCAATGGCGTTCAAATTCGACAGTTTCTACTGTATATGCATATAGAAGTACTTTGTCTCCATACCAGATTATCTTTAAATTAAATAGCTAATATTAAAATTCTACAAATGTTATCAAAAACTCATCAATCATAATTCTGATGGTAAATGATGCAGGGAAATCATCTTAATTCAAACTCATTCAAGAAAACAAAACCATTTAATAAAACATATTAAATTAAAAGGTTGATCACACAGAGAGCAACCTTTTCAAAATTTCTGTCTGAATTTAAAGACCTTTTGTGCATATTATTTCCGTCTCCTTTGGAAATAGATCAATTTTATTGTTAATACCTGTTTTTCAATAAAGGTACATTTACCTGTTGCATTTCATTGTCCTCTGATGTTATATTATTCACACATGTTACTGAAAGTTGGACATTATATCGACTCTCTGATTTAATAAAATGACATATTGGTGACACATATTATTCTAATACATGTACTATTTTACTTAATAATGTAATGATGTACAAATATGACAATATATAATTGGAAATAAACAATAGTTCTATGCTTAATAATATCATATTGTTTGGGTTTTAATTTTGTTGTTTATTTTATCAACCAATTCTGATGTGTTATACATCAATTTTTTATTTTTATATCAAATCATAAATGTTTGAAAAAACTCAAATAAAAAAACTCTTTATGTAAACAGTGTTTCTTTAAGGTAATTCATGTTACAATAATTTGAGTAATAATCTAAATAAAAAAGCTGTTTTGCCCTTTAGTCTACTTCATTGTTGGTTTCTAACTGTTCTTCCTACATGGAAAATGGAATGTCATTTATAGACTGTATTTGAGATAAAGGAAAATATGATTCAAAGAGAGAGAAAGAGATATTTGCTTAGATGTGTTCAGCTGACCACATAATTGCCATGGCAACGTCTAAATAATATATTGTTTAAAAATCAATAAAGTTGATTTTGATCACATTTAGGAAGAAAATTATGCAAGTTAGTGAGGTGTAGCCGAGTCATTGCATATTCATTGGAAATATGTGGCATTATTTCTTGGTAATCTATAGTTATTAGTTCCTAGAAGCATTTCTCTTATCTTCAGGTACAGTACGTTCAACTTGTGATTTATTGATGATCTTAAAGATGCTAACCTTCTGTTCCTGGAATCAATTTCTGGAATTAAAAGCCAGAATTGGATACACCCTTTGCATTCATTTGACTTCACTTATTAAAAGAGAGCTTCGTCTTCACTCTTTCAGTTTACAATAAATCTCTGATCTCACAGAGCCAATCAGAGTTCGTCGTCGAAATACGGACAACTTTCTATGTGGTCATTACCTCTGACATCACTGCATAGTTAATGAGAACTTATTTAGCATGTGTTCCTTCCACTTCGCTGATTGGTTGAGAAAGGGTCAACATGGTATATTTGAAATGATTTATAACCCGGGCTGTCACAGTCACCAATCTTTGGGACGGGGCTGTAAATATTGTCTATATAAGGCAGAGGGTAACTAGACTGTGCGCACAGGGTAAATTAGATATATAGAGATTATCCTATATGAGGTTCAGGATATTGGGATTATCCCGAGGCTAATATAATATATTTGCCCGAGGGCCGCAGGTCCCGAGGGAAAATATATTATATTGGCCAAGGGATAATCCGAATATCCTGAACCGACTATAGGATAATATGTTTATCCCATACCAATCTTGGTCATCTGGTTCACATTGTTCAATCGTGGAAATATTCTAGAATAGTCATGTCCAGTTTTGTTTTCTTGGCCGTGGGCGGATTTTTTTGTTCTCTCAAATATTCCCACATTTATTTTCTCGAATTTTTTAAGTGAATGCTCCTTCCATTTTTTAAACCATCAAACAGATCGCCGTTGTCGTTTACAGTCATTACGCGAACGTTACAAATTATGAACAAATATGCGAGCGGCGATTATGACGTAGCGGGCAGATATACTATATCTGCCCGCTCAGAGCGGGACGTAAAGCTATATCTGCCCGCTGATGAAAATATAAGTTTTTACAAACCGGCTTTATGTACCTGTAACACGTCCAAGTATGGGATAAATAGAGATTATCCTATATGAGGATCAGGATATTTGGATTATCCCGAGGCCAATATAATATATCTGCCCGAGGGCCGTAGGTCCCGAGGGTAGATATGTTATATTGGCCAAAGGATAATCCCAATATCCTGAACCGACTATAGGATGATCTGTTTATCCCATACCAATCACATTGTTCAATTGGCCACAGTTCAGAAACTTTGCAACCAACCGTGGAATTATTCTAAAATATTCATGTCCAGTTTTGTATTATTGTCCGTAGCCGGATTTTCCTGTTCAAATCTTTGATTATTAATGGGGCATACTGCTCCTTCCCTTCTTAAAAGCATCAAACAGATTGCGATTGTCTGCGTTTTTCTCCATTGTCGTTTACAGTATGAGAACGTTACAAAAAAAGAATCAATACGGGAACAGCGATTATGACGTAGCAGGCAGATATACTATATCTGCCCGCTCGGAGCGGGACGTAAAGCTATATCTGCCCGCTGATGAAAATATAAGTTTTTACAAACCGGCTTTATGTACCTGTAACACGTCCAAGTATGGGATAAAATGATCTATTCCAAAGTGTCTCAATCCTAGATTCTCTTAAGCTCATATCATTCCGTGTAACTCTATGATAACTTTTAGATTTATTTAAGTGTCAAATGTTAGCAATGTATGAAATCTTAAATTTAGGGAATTAATATTTTTTAAATAAAAAAATATGTATTTATTTTATGAATTTTTAATAACTTCACTAATATCACTTCCTGTGTTTTGGGTAGTAAGTGTAAAATGTAGGTATAAGTGTAAGTTCAAGTAAATTCACAGGTTTATAATGTAGTTAATAAGACGTTCCTAATCCTATAAATACTGTAATTAAAAAGTCCATCCTTAGACAGTATTTATACAATAGGTCCATATACAATAGTTAATACTGCAGTTAAACATTAGGTTCTTATACTGTAGTTAAACATTAGGTTGATATACTGTAGTTAGACAACAGGTTCATATACTGCAGTTAAACATTAGGTTCTTATACTGCAGTTAAACATTAGGTTCTTATACTGTAGTTAAACATTAGGTTGATATACTGTAGTTAAATAACAGGTTCATATACTGTAGTTAAATAACAGGTTCATATACTGTAGTTAGACAACAGGTTCATATACTGCAGTTAAACATTAGGTTCTTATACTGCAGTTAAACATTAGGTTCTTATACTGCAGTTAAATATTAGGTTCTTATACTGTAGTTAAACAATAGGTTGATATACTGTGGTTAAATAACAGATTCATATACTGTGGTTCAACAATAGGCTCATACACTGGAGTTAAATAACAGGTTCATATACTGTGGTTCAACAATAGGCTCAAATACTGGAGTTAAATAACAGGTTCATATACTGTGGTTCAACAATAGGCTCATATACTGTAGCTCAACAATAGGTCCATCTACTGTGTTTATTCTTAACAGATTGTCTCCTTACCTGTTCACACATCTTGCATTGGTAACTTCTTGCAGCTTGCAGTTTGTGCACCTTCAGTGGCTGAGGCACAACCAACTGTGATGTCTGAGATACAAGATTTGAGGTAGTTGAGGATGGGCCCTGATAGAGGTCAGCACCGTGAGGTTGGCTAGGTGAGCTCTCCATGGCATTTTGTGGCACTGGAGGTAAGTGGCGGCCATGATGCTCATTCAACCGATTTAGTGGCACTGGAAGCAAAAAACATTTTCATAATGATTAACGCCTTCGCCACATGCAATATACCTGACCCACCCAAAATCCATTTATAATATAATACTACAAATGATTTTTTGTCATTAGTTAATGAACATGCTAATATGAAAATGCTCTTAGTGACCAGCCTTTCCTAAAACAAGTTAAATAAATCACTCAATGAATGCCCATGGTATAGTAAACTATGTCAGCCTTTGTATATGGTACTAAAGCATGGAATCTATTGGAAATTTTAACATCACCAGTACACAAAAATGTATCAAGCAGTCAAGATCTACAATTTTCTTGCAAAAATCAAAGGATCCTCCTTCATCCATTTTGTTCATTTTACGAGTGACTCTTCGTATGGGTACGTTGTATATTATAAGGTGGCAGATTGAATATTTTTCGTTTCGCTATTGTGAAGATTGAGAAGTTCAAAATTCTTGAAACAGCTTTCCCAAACCAGCAACCAATGGAATTTTCTAACTTTAAATGAACACTACATGAATACTTTATATAATCTAAAATTATTTATTTTGCGGTGCCTTTTAATCAACAAACTAAATGTATTAGTAATAATTAGTAGATTGATGAACATGATCCACACCTTAAATGTAAAATATCCTGTGAACAGATAACTGATATTAAAGATAGAAATCACTCATTGAAAGCATATATCTTATTAAAATATGACACTTGCATGATATCCTCTATCAATATAAAGGACAGATCAAGTATGGAATTTAATATGTAGATCATAAATAATATTAGTTTGGACTACATTTATATAGCGGGTGTGTCAGGTGTGTTATCATGTGATGTACTATTATGGTGTCTTTTTTATCCCATACCATTTTACGAGACTCCTATACCTTATCTCAGTAAAGGGCAGAGATGAAGTTGACAAAGGAAGCAGCCCTAAAGATATTACCTTGAAACTCCTGTCCCCCCCCCCCCCTTCCCCTGTGTACCAGTATCAACAGATATGCCATATTTGAGGTATGTCATCATTATGGACCCATAAACCCATAATATGCATGGGAGACATCTCTACAATTTCATACTGAAAAACAACCACTTATCACCAAATATGACAGAATGTACTGAAACATGACCTTACTAGCTGCTCTTGATCTAACATCCTTTAAAAAATTATATACCACAGAGAATATACCACCTGTAAGAATAAACATTCTAGAAAGTTTACAGATCAAGTTATAACATGGTCGTCCTACTTAAGATGGAATATAAAGGACATTACGAATTCTAGAGTGATACATAGTGCTTGAAGTAGAATATGACACAGAAAGAATAGGAAAGGATCTGTAACTTGATAGAGTAGAAGGCATTATTACAGGCATATGATGACTATGTTTGCTTTGCTTGAAGAACATAAAGAAATCCAGATTTATTAGCAGTTTGAATTAGAGTTTTGTGGCTTGCTCTTACTAATTCTAATTTAGGTATTTCTGAGGTTTCTTAATACTCTTTACCATGTATGCTGTCAAATTAATCATGTGTATCATGCTTTATGTTTTGCTTTGTATTAGAATATTGCTATGGTTTTTAGGAGTTGTTTTGTGTTTTCCTTAAGTTGCCACTTGTGCTTTGCCTTTTAGTAGCCAGCCCCATACCCATCTGATAGAGTGGCATAAACTGAGCCCATGTGACACTCAAAATAATATATGTAAGGTTAACTCCCAGCTGAGTCAAGTGGCAGAAATAAAACACATACTGGAGTCATCTAAAACACATGTAGATGTAAATCAACACTCTAATACAGATCTGGTGTTGCTTAACAGAGGCTGCTGAAAGGTGTCCTAGGGTGTTCATCTTTGAACTGAAAACAGACCAGGATTTCTGCAGACTTGTTAGTTATACAAAAGACTATGTGATAAGGCTGTTGTGTGTTTAACTAGTGCAAGAAGTACTCATATAACCCAATTGCTTAGAATATCAAGTTACTAGGGCATTCAGTGGTCTTTTAACATTCAGGCAATAGGGGTTTGCATTCAGTTGAAAATAGAAAAAAACTTAATATTTCTTTGATTGACTACAATAGTGTCAGACCCCAACACACTTTCAAATATAGAACTACAATAAGGCATTAACTTATTCACATCTGATGTTGAAAGCCCCTTGAACCAGTTTAAGTATACAAAGAATCGTAACATTCTAATAACTAATTTGGACAAACCTTGGACAGAATTGGTAAAAACTGAGACCAACATAAAAAATTTTTTTTTATGTTAGTCTCAGGTAAAAATGAGAATTTTACACCATATGAAGGGTCGAGTATATCCTTGAGAGCTCAATGGAGTCTTGGTATCGGAATAATAATTCTTAACTCAGTAAGGTTTCTTCAGTGAAATGTGCATAAAACATGTAAAATATGTGAGCATGTGGAAATGTGTGCTTTCCCTTTAGAATATTTGAGCAGGGTGTGACCAGTGCATTTTTGCAGGTGAAAATTTAATTCTGGCATTGCATGGTCATGAAACTTTCCTGTATCCTGTGGTCACATTAAAACACTTTAACTCAGAAACCCTTTGAAAAAGTTCAAAAATTGTTTATTAAGTGACATGCAGTTCTAACCTAAACCAGATTTCTTATGTCAAAATGCCAAGTGATTTCAAAAGCCTCAATGAACAAAGTTTTCTATAGAGAGTTTATTAGCATCTCTACTGTCAAACGTTGTCTCCAATGCATCCTTCATGCAATCTCTGACATTTTGGTTTTTTGAATTCTTCGTTAAAGAACAATTAAGAGCAACTGGGAGGGGAAATGATAATGCTGATTAGCAATTGCCTGTCAATACATGAAAAATCAACTTGACAAGACTTTATATTAAAATACAATTATAGTGGTCATCATTATTCCATTATGGGGATAGCCTTGAGTTCTAAGGTCTTTCAAAGGGCTAATTGTGTGGACATGAAAAATCATCTATGATTTGATTGTTTTACTTTAACGGTATGGCATGGTTTTTGTCTTGCTTGATCACCTGGTTTTACGGTGCTTTGAAACTGGCCCCCTTAATTAATTAGTGTCTCTTTTAATGACCAAACATGCTTGCCTTTTGTGTCATCGCTCTATAGATCATGCAACCAAGGGAGCGCAAGTCGGCCATTAATGGGTCAGTCTATTCACCCAGTCAGATTTCTCTGCCTAGCAAACACCAGGTTTTTGTTCCCTTAGTATAGAGTTTCTGTCCTTAGCAATAAAAGATATATGATAATTGCTTTTGCCTTTTATGCCTACCCATTCAAGCCTTGGCTTGGCCATTCAGAGTGAATGAAGAAAGGAAAATAGAAATGTTTTTTATTCATTAACGGTCTATGAAGTTGAATGAGTGGTCGCCCTGGCTGATTATATACTATTATGGGCATTTGCACCTGGATAGTCTGAATGAATGCAACATTATGGGTGACCCCTGATCCTAAGGGTCTCCAATTCTGGAAGTTGGTTTGACCCTTACATGGGCACCACTCTAAGAGGCACATCTGCCCTTTGATCCCTTCAGACACTCATAATTAAAATCAACAAGAAAAAATATAATTCAGTCCACTATGATTACCTTGAGTGTTCTTTCATGGAAAAACAAAAAGATCAAAGATGTTTTATGATAAAGTAAGTCATAATTCTACCTATTGTGAATGAATTGATAGAAAAACAAAAGATTAAATGTAGATAGTCATGCAATGTTGTAAAGAAGAAAGTCATAAAATGATCTTTTGAATATGATGCTGAATTATTTGTTATCTCTGAAAGTAATTCATTTGGTCATGTCTCATCAAAATAAAAACACGATTAAAAGTACCATCCTTCTTGATCTTTTCAACATGATCTACAAAACTGATATATTTTTTACTTTGTCTCACAAAATTCTTACTCTGTGGATGTAAAAGAAAACTTGATAGAAAACCTAAAGATCATGCTTCATTCCAAGCACAACCCAAATGTAATTTCATAAAATAAAAAAACAATTTTCCATAATATTCATGAAATCATTTATACAAAGTGTATTTTCACAAATGGAGGTTAATAATTTATAAAGTAAAGATAGGAGCAAAAAGTGGTGTAATCTCACTGCAGAAGATATGAATAATTCTATCATTCTATTAAACATTATCTTAACAGTATTTTATTGAATCTAACAGCCTGTATTTCCTTACGAATTTACATTTTTACGATTATTTGTAACACAAACTGCTCTTCCAAACTTTATGTGTGTTTAATAAAACATGGCTTATGTTCTTTTTTGATATTTTCCCTTTTATTATGAAAAGCTCTTATAAAAAGATGTATGCCTAAAATCATTTTTCGTCAAGTCCATGTTTAAACATACCAGGTAACACACAAGGTCAATCTATTAAAAACTTCATAAAAACCATTAAAACACTTAAAAGATAGAATACTAAAACTAATGTTATGATTTTCAACATAAAAAGTATGAAAACCACAAATATTGCAAAAAATAAATTTGCAGAATATAGTGAGTGATAGACCATCTCTAAACAGACATTCATTTATTATCGTTAAGTTTTCTTGTAGCATTAAAAAGCAAAATGTTTGATGTGATGTTTTAAGAATTAAATCCCTTTATCTCTTTGTCTTTTTTAAATTTTTATTTTATTCTTAATAATGATTCTGTCAGTGATAAAAATTGACATCTTGTTGACCCTTGACATCTGGATTCTTCCCAGAGATGGAAATGAGATTATAACACTTGTAAACTTATTAGGATTAAATAACATATTTATCTGTATATATCACCTTTAATACAATAGAATATTGTTATCATTTTATATTATTTAGTGTAACTCATTGACAAAACATTATTTGGATTGCATCTCATTTTGAATTCAATGCATAGATAAAGATCATCTAAATACATACAGTATTGATGTTTTGAAGTTCAATAAAAACAGTATTTAAGCATTTTAATATATGCATAAACATCAATCACCTTTATGATGTATAGAATAATTTGTGGTTAATAGATCAAATTCATGTCACTATACAGAAAAGTGATGTTTAAATCACTAAACGTTTTTTCATGAATTGAATATTTATAAAAGAGAATAGGGCAGTAATACACTTCTATATACTATACTATATGTGCATGTTATTTTAATAAAAAATATCAAATATACGCATCTCATTTTTTCATGCATATTTTGTTTTGACTTTTTATATAATTACAAATCCAATCATTCATAATGGATTATGAATCAATCAACATGTATTTGGAATAATAGGGGCTAGAGGTGGACACGAAATATATTCATTTCATACTAATTTATACATTATACAGGGGTAATTTTGAATAAAGGGTCAAACTATCATACTGATGAAAAATCAAATATACAAATCACATGATTTTTTAGACATTTTTTTTGACTTTTTATATAATTACAAATTCAATCATTCATAATGGATTATGAATCAATCAACATGTATTCGTACTAATAGGGGCTAGAGGTGGACACGAAACATATCCATTTCATACTAATTTATACATTGCACAGGGGTAGTTTTGAATAAAGGGTCAAACTATAATACTGATGAAAATTCAAATATACACATCTCATGATTTTTTCAGACATTTTCACTTTTTATTTGATTACAAATTTAATCATCTATAATGGATTGTGAATTAATCTATTTCTAGTCAAAAAGGTTAAAGTTGAACACAAAGTACTGCTTACTCATTTATAAATTGCACATGGTAGTTTTGATTAAGGGTCAAAATATAAAAACCGATGACCTTACAATACCACAGCTCTACTCTCTCCAAGGGACATTGATAAAATTTACTAGATAAATAGAAAAAATAAATAAAACACGAATGTAGTGAAACAGGTTAAGCATAAAGGCAAAGAAAGAGAATGGATGTAAGTGTGTGGTATTTGCAGTACATTGTACAAACATATTCACATATATTCTAATATATATGCTCAGAATGTGACAGCTCAAACTAAGAACAAGTATTCTCAACTGAGTTGAACTTAAAAGCAATTGAGAAAGGACTCTAGAATATCGAGAAAGGACTTAGAACAGCGATACCATTGAGAGTTCAAAACGCATTCAAACAAGTCTTTTTGTCTGAATCTGGACCTTTTCTAAGATTAATTTCAATTTTAATATAAAACCAATAGAAACCCGGATGTCACGCCGCAAAATGATGCATTTAAGAGTCATCAATATGTTTCATTTCAATTTACCTACCTTGATTTTCTGATATGTGTGGCACGTCTGAAGATGAGCTGGGGGCCTGAAATGTAAAAGGTTAACAACAATCAGACGGATTATAAATACTAAATCTTTTTCAATCCAGGCACCACTTGACCATAAGGCAATGAGACTCGAAAAACTATTATGCTGTGATTTGATCTCAACTTTACCTTAGTCAATTACAAAGTAGGTTTATGATTGTATATCAACCTTAAATGTTTGTTATATGTGAGAAAACACAAAGGGCAAGATTAGATGAAAAGAAAATTGGGAAACAACTAAAAATAACTTTTATCACTATACCATCATAACCATATAAAACAGAAATGGACATCTACTCCTGGAACAAAATATATTCATCAAAACATGTAAAAGGAAAAAGGAGACTCTATATGACAGGCTCCCAAAATATAGAAGAAAATAAAAGTATCAGTTCCAGAAGGAAAAAGGCTCAACTAATAGAACAACAATGGTTGAAACTTCATAGCATAGGATAAACATAAAACCCCTTCAAAAAACACAAACCATCAAAAAAAAATTAGCAAAAGCTACCCTCTTGGATTACCCCCATGCCTCCCCCTCTTTTCCAAATATGAGATATAAAAATACACTTTACCATGTTAAAACAGGACTAATCCAACATTGTTTCAAGGTAGACATATCAAATGTGATTAAAACATATAATTGTTAAAATGCTGGTTGAAAACAGAGATATGTAAATTTTATGCATAATGCGTAATTTCAACAGTATTGCATTTAACTAACATAAGTATAAACCAATATTTATACAGAAATAATTTTTTCAAAAAATAACCATTAAACGATCACACATTCCACAAACATCCTAAACCAAAATATGTCTAACTCAAAAGCCCCAAAACCAACTATGTCAAGGTCCAAACAAGACATCTAAAACCTCAAAATACAATTTAGTAGAATATGTCTGATCATTCCTAAGAACTTATCAACAATAGAAGATCAGGCAAATATCAACCAATCAGATTGCAGGAATTCTATAAATTACACAATATTTTAGATGATCTTACCTCCATGCCCTCCCACATGTACATATCATGCCTCTCTGCCATAAGGGAATAAAAACCCTCAAACTGAAAATACAAGAAACATTTACTATTAAGTTATGATTTCTGTTTATGTACGATCTGAACAAATGCCACTGAGGGGATATTGTCAAGTCAACCATATCTGTCTGTCACAGGCATGATGCTCTCTGGACACATCCTGGTAGTGACATAGTTTATACAGAAGTCAGTAGAGTATGAGCGGAGGAAGGGTGTCCACTCGAGACAGGTGTTCACTGGAGAGAGGTATTCACTGAGACAGGTCTTACTATACACAATTTTTAATACAAGAAACACAAAAACACAAGAAAAGGATACAGCAATTACTGAGATGTAACTAAGAAATTTACATTTATCATACAAATAATTCTTCTTAGTAAACTCAAGTATCAAGAACTAGACTGTCATTAACCTTTAATTGCCTTAAGGGGGTTTGAATGTTCTGCATACATATACTATCTAAATCATTCCATTATTGAGATGTACTTGTATCTAATACTTTGACATTTTGTAATAATCATCTTCGTTCACTCGGCTCCCGTCGGTCACAGTGAAGACCGGAGTGTGCGAAGATGGTAATAATTGCATAACATCAATTACCAGTGATCTCCCCTGGATAGTAAAGAGGTTACAAAACGTTTTTTGCTTACTGTATTTAATATATCCGTAATGCATTCACCAGATTTATGGGTAGTAGTTCAATTAAAACAAGATGCAGTTGCGGATAAGTTTTAGCTATAGGCCATTGTGTGAAACATTTTCTCAACTGGGTGCTATTAATTCCCTATTATTTTTTATCTGTTTGTTTTTTGGGAGCATGTGATTCTCAGATTTTCAAGTTATTTTCTACTGATAGTGAACAAAAGAATATATAAAATGAAATTTTTTTCACTTCATCCCTCATTTGGGGTTTATCTCTAAAACTGCCTCATTTTTAGAAAGTGAGGCTTTTTTGAGAAAACTAGCTTAATTCTATTAACAAGACCCAATCTTTTTACCGCACGGTAAAATAAAATAAACAAAATCAAACACATTTTTAACTAAAGAAAAGAATATATACTGTACAGGTAATTTTCATAAAAAAACTAAAAAAACGTTTTTATACCAATAATCCGCTTTAGCAGTTTTTATTTTATTTTATAACTTTTTTCTAAATATAAAAAGTGGGATAAGAACCACTATAACTTAAAAGCTGTTCTTGAATGTTTCAACTTCCTTTTATGCTAGTGATAACCAGAACTAATTCAAAGCCATATACATAATACTTTATCTCAAGATGATTTATTTCAAACATAAAAATAAAAAATACATGTGGTCTTTTAATAATTTTTTTCCTCAAATGAACAAAGTTCTAAGAAGAAACATCTATTTTATTTTACCATTTTCTTTTAATAAAGTAATGCATTCTGTGAGCTATTCAAACAAAACTATTTATTATTCATAACAAAAGTTGAAAGAAATCAATAATAAATATGTATTAAATCTTACCTGTCTATGAGATTGCTGCTGTCTATACATGTCACTCTATGAAATCATATAAATGCAACCAAGGGGGATGCAGTTATATAGTACCAGAAATTTATTTCAATTAGCACATTGTCAGCATAAGACAGTATCTAACATTGGCTGGTGTTATAGCAATTTGAGGTGACAAACTGGGTCTATCAATATTTTTTTATTTTGTTTTAGTGATCCACACACAAATAAAGATAAACAGTGCATTTCTTATGATTTTCCATGCACGATAGTAAAAGACATGAATTTATTTTCAAATAAGCAATAAATTTAATTACATGCAAATACACCTTTCCGAAATGGTGTGATTTGGTATTTCTCAATAGATTGGTGTTAATGCAAATATTTTGTTAAGGATGACAGTCAAATGGTACTATCAAAAATATATTAAATTAAGATCATTAATTCAAAACCAAGATATTTTCTCAGCTACATCTGACTGTAAGCTTCTCTCCCAAACTTCAACCTTGTCACAACTATTGTCATTTCAATCCTTCACTAAATCAACGAATCAGGTCAAATTCACATGAATGTGTCTTTGAGAATTGTAAAAATTAAACCTGTTTTTGTTAAGTAAGCCAAATATTTTGTAAACATCTCACCTAAAGTCTCTCAGAAGTTCAGACCCCCGCAATGAGGGCCAAAAGTTCTAACTATTTCACAATGTAGCAAGGGTATCTGGGAAAACACGCTTCTTGTCCTCATGAATTCAAAGACATTTTGAAGTCCATGTGAAAAAACATCAGAGACCAATAAGTACAAATGTTGCTTCTATGTCTGACTTTGTTTTAGCAAACTGTCAAGTGAATTGGGGGTGTTGTCAGTCAAAGCAGCTTAGACCTCAATGTTCCATGCTGACTATGGAAACCCAACTCTCAAATGAATTAACGAACTATTAAAGAAATGTTTTATAATGTGTCAAAAAGGAATCTTCATAACTGCTGAATGCAACAATTTCAACATTAGTTTTTCCAAATTACAAATTCATGCTCAAAAATATGTAGATTCTTTTAGATACAGCTAGAGATTAGCAATTATTTCATGGATCCTGTAAAAAAACATACTATTAAAGGAACTGTGAAGCACTTCATGACCGTGGAACCCTGGCTATTATACCAGCTGAGAACTTGATAAAATATAAACATTCTAACAAGTAAGGTACATTAACAGCATCCCTAAAATAGCTCATCTTTTCACATTGTTTCATTTTGGAGATTCTTTTCCCATTTTCTTGATAGTTAATCCAAGGTATTTTAATAATACACGGCTACATCAATATGACATCACACGCAGGAAATCAGTTAGCTTGCAGATACAGATTCTACTTAAAATGACCAAAGTGACGCAAAAACTATTTTGTATATTACAAGACTTCACTGTTCAGAAAGAAATAGTTTGGTGGAATAATTACAACAACATAATAAAATCAAATATCCCAGCATCTCAAAATGTTTATCTTGTTTCCCCTGCATGATTTCCACGAGCAGCTGTACATAGAGAACACATAGAGAACAAGTGGATGGAATGGTATGCACTTCTCTGTACATAGGTAATTACAAATTACAGCTGACCTGTTCTGTCATATCATATTAGATAAGCCAAAGTAAAATAAAAATATGTTCCAGCTTCTATGGCCATAGTTAGCTTTTGTCAGGATTAACAACCCCAATCAGCAAAATGTATACCTATTATATAACATTGTTCAACAATTATTTTATATCTAAAAGTTTCACTTATCTCGATCATTCCGCTCTATTAAATCAAAACACATTTTTGGCTATAGAATTTTTATTAATTGCAAACCTTTTTAAGAGCTGATAAACATACCTGAAACTTGGGAAATCATTTTACAAGATTATTTTAATATCACCACAGCCTGAGAATTAGAATTCGGATGAAATTCAGTTAACAAAGATAGAAATGATATTCAATTCTTGTTAAGTGTCTACTTTTAAAAATTATCAATGTATCATAATTTCAAAAATATATACATTTATTTGCAATTACATTTAACATATTATTTGAATGTAATTTTAATATTTCATATTTCATTCTGTATGTGGGCTGGTAGGGCGCATAGTGTTTTTAGTGTTCATCATTACTATAGAAACGGTTCAAATTGTTAATTGTGATGATTAAAAACATGTTTAGCATTGCAATTAATTTGATGAAATATTAAAAGATGAGCCAAGAAGTCCCTGGAAGTATTTGATAAATAAATAACTGTTTCAGTTGCTTAGCAACAAGTATAAATAAGTCTCTCATAGTGAAATATCAAAATATTTTGAAAATACAATTGATACACTGGATACAATAATTAAAAACAACTGTCTAGCTTCTTAAATATTAAAAAATAGAGTTTTTGAAAATTGAGTTTAGCTGTTTTTTATTCAGAAGATTCTAAAATACAATTATATTAATATGAAATAAATTCTACATAATAATATCAAATCATTCTAATTAATACCATCAAACATTTCATTCATATAAATAAATCATGTGATAGCTCTCATATATAAATTAGTGCTAAAGACTTGACCCGGCCTTGAGTCGTCCTAATGATGAAAAAATGAGAGCCCTGAGACTTGGTTTAGACAGTAGTTGTGGTTAACCATACATGGGCCAGCGTTTAGGTCTGGGACAGCTTGACATGGCCTGCCATAGTCAATGGAACTAAATGGAACCATGTGGAAAATGCCAGACTCCAGATTTCAATAGATTGCATGCCTCAAAAAATATAATGATATTAAAATTTATCGTCTATGTATAGTTATTCAGCTGATTCCAGGTTATCATTTCTTAGTCTTTGTCATGGAATGTCATCTTTCCAAGATAAAACATAAAAGGTAATTCTATATTGACAATGCTATTCATACGATATGGCTGAAAACTTGTCTACAAAAGCAACTGTATTTTGCCTTGTATTGCCCTGAAGTAATCCGAGCCAGTAAAAATCATTGTTTATCTTGTTGGTGAAAAAATCACATGGGAACCCTCATATCAAGAGATTATTCGATGCACTTCATAAAAAAGAAATCACAGACTTGTAATGACAAAGTTCTATATTTTTATTTTTTTCATATGCAATAACTGTATTATGGTATGTTACATTGAAACCCGTCACATTCTTTTGTTTCTATATTGAAAATGACTTTTTTTTTAAATTATGAATTACAGGAAACTTGTTTGTATTAATTAATCTCATCCTTAAAATGATGGGCAGATCATCTTATCAATGCATCATACTAAAAATCTAATTAATAAGATTCCCACAAAACTTTCTATCAACTAAGCCTTAAAGGTGGTGCCCTCCAATTTGAATCAAATCACTTGTTATGGGTTGGGTCATGGGTTAATGGTTAGATTAAATCTTCAATAAATCCCACAGTCCAATCTTAACCACAACATCATTTTAATGTGGACGCTTTTCACTGTCAGTTATTCCAATCTTGAATATACACGGACAACACCACATGACTATTATACATGAAAACACGAAAAAGGCTGGTATTTTTACTAATGGCTGGGTGATAATGCTATATTTGTGTTGTGGTTTTTTGGAATGTGAGATAGAAAGGTGACCGAGTGTTGACCCAATTGGGACATCAGCGGCACCTCCAAACCACATATCAAATAACAATACAAAATATCATCATCCCCTAAGTGAATCTTAGAAACATCACTTAGGCTAATTAAATAGCATCAAATAAAAAGAATTTATGCTTTAATTAAAAATGATTGACTGCCATGTGAAAATTATAGGATAGAGATCAATGACATGGGGGATTTTTAATTTTTGTGTTTGGATCAGTGATCATAAGGAAAGAAAACCCAACCACATGGGCTTTTGAAAGTTTAAATTCTTAAAGTTGATTAATAAGTAATAATGTACAAAAGATGAAAGTTCATAAAACACAATACTGCAGCATGTGATGGATATTATCATAATTTAAATGTGTTTGCCTCAATTAGTTATTATCACTCAATCATTTGGAGTTTGGCTACAAATGACAAAATGTTGTTCTAAGATCATTATGTATTACATGTAACTATGCATTTGATTGAGTCGGCTACCTTATATTCTCCTTAAAACGTATTGGCACCCATTTAAAAATGAGAAATACAATTGAGTATAATTGGTATTATTTTGCCCAACTTTGGTCAGAATTGTGAATGATTTTAACTTCCATTTGAAATTTTTTTTGGCATATTGCATACAAATGAAGAAATTTAGAATTTGAGAGATATAATAATATATTATACAATTTTCCACCAATTAATTTGGCAACAATCTATGATCTTAGATAAAACAAAGATCAGATTCTAATATAGCTGTATAATCCACAAATACTTTTTCTGCATGAGAAAAATGCAATTTCTGTGCAGATATTCTGCATGAAAAGGTCAAACTCTGCGCCAAATTCTGCATTACACGGCGACGCGGAATCAAGGAATTCTAGTATGTGTGATAATCCATATTACATTTTGTGATAATATACAAGGAAAATAAATGTTGGTTAATTGCAATATTGTTTGCCATTTTTCATCTTCTATATGACAGATTCTACCTTGGAGGATAAAACAAGCCAAGTACACACAGGATGGACCCTCTCATAATCATCATTAAATCTTCCCCTAACTGGCAGAGTTTTTTTATCCTGACCAGTGATACACTCCATTTATCGATCAAATTACCAGACCATTATATAAATTATTATTATACCAATAGTAACACATCTAGTGGATATGGGCTATAAATGACTGATTAAATGAAAGGACATTCTCTCAAAGGGAATTAATTAATAAAAAAGCCTTGTATATTGCATGGAGAAGAATAATAAATCGTGGGGCTATACAAGTTAATTATATATATGGCATGTATAATGTATATTTGCTTATGTGAAATAAAAACCACTAGCAGTTCAATTATTCATGGAAAAAATATCGTCCAGAAATATGTATTAGTGAAATTCAATTGATGATAAGTGCTATATGATATATCGTTGAAGAACGAGTGAATATATACACACATAGATGATAAATGCGTCATTATAGTATATATTATAAATATATATAGTAGCATACATGTATTCTGTAAAGATATTGAATATAAATGTGATTGATTTATTAATTCAGTGTTAGAATATGTATTTCCTAACTGCACATATGGGAATATGCATTGAATTATTGGGAGGCAATTTCCAACATTTTTAATCTGCTCGCTCATTCTCCTCAACTAGGCCACTAGACCAATGTGCCTAAATAATATCACATCGCTAGTAAGCTATACTGTATGTTAACAGTACATTCAGAGATTTCTTCATGTTTTTAGCAGAATACAGTGAATGGCCTCTATTCACTTAAACACACTTGTCATGTATGTTTTTCTAGAGTTTGATTTACATGCAATCCCCAGCATCAAAAAGTATGTATGTACCCGTAAACAAGACCCCAAAATGGCTATCTAACTGAGATGAAATTTTGCAAAATGCAACTGAAGTTTGAGTTCAGTAAACAGAAAAATGTGTGAAAGCTTGTAAACAGACTAGGTCAGTGTCTGGCCTGACTTGCCCTTGTATATGTGTACACTTTCGTTCCTCTCAAAAAATTCCCAAAACAAGCAATTTTTATTTAGATCTTAATTACTGTTAATATTGTGCTTTTTAAGGGAAATCTAACGAAGAGCTGTTCAAACAGGATAATCTTCAATTAGATTTTGAACTTGATTTCTTTACTTTATTTTCATTTTAGTGAATTTTACATTTGAACATGTAACTTATGGTTTTTGTACACAAGGGATTGCTTATTTAACCTAAATCTAGTCTAAGGATAACTCCAAGACATGAGCATGGAGAACCTTAGAGAACAATGCACAAAATATTAATTCGGAAATCTGATTTATTTGTTTAGTTTATAGAATTCTGCAGAATTGTTTTCAATATTTCAAAGAGTTTATAATTGATTTTACTTTCATGGAGTTTTGAAGTTTCTTGGGGTAGAGTTATTTAAAAGTGACAGTTTCACAATTGAAACTTTAATTCCCAAAATGTATTGTTGATTTTCAATATAAGAAACATTATCACAAGACATAACAATTTGTTTTGAGATAAAAAGTATTTAGGCAACCAAGCATGTTACAAAGTGAATACAATGATAAAAAAATATTAGATTATGCATGAGAATTTATACATTTATTAATTATGACATTATCTTATATATGTAATAAGGAATAATATAGCTTAATTATTTGTGGATTCCCCTAAACTATGCACATAAATAATATAAATATGTAACAGGGAATAGCCTATGTTATGTTAAAGACTTTAAATTGAAACTTGTTCAAACAAAGTTTGAAAAACTAATTCATGAACATGAGTGCATAAATGCCATAAATGAACATAATAATAAACATAGCTGAGATTATAAATCTTATTACTAAAAATATTCTGAATAAAAATATACAAAACTTGCTTTATAAGTTATGTACTAGTGAGTTCAACAAAAAAAAGGCAACTAAAAATGTGACATTGAGTACATTTAAATATTCAGAATCATAAAAAATGTTCATAAAAAACATATTTTTTAATTGAAAACAAGTATACCTGAGTTGAACTGAATTTCAGAACTCAATACAAAATGAGGTACACAATAAATATCTATTACATAACTGCATATTAACTGTAAATTTGTAATTACTTTGGTCACCTTTTAGCACTAAATAACCTTAATCCTTATTAGTCTTGTGAATCTGTTTTTCCATTTCCATATTACTATTTGTAATAAAGTTTTGCATTAAAATATATAAAATGTCGGATAATTGCACATTACTTCCACTTTTTCTATCTTGCACCTTCAAAAGAAGAACTGGCCATACCCTGGGAATTTTTTTATCTCCATCACTCATCTCTAAAAATAATCTGTGTAACTGTCTAAAAGATTTATACAAACTAAAATGTAATTCATATTTACTTACCTCAGATTTGTTCTTGGTAGCTGACATAATATCTTTCATATCTAAATATTTTCTTTCATTTGTTTCCAGCTTTCAAACAACGTTTCACCCTGTTGCTTCTTTCAACCCCAATGGTTCATTTGCTTGGCCTAAGCTAGTTGTCACTCTAAGAGTTCAAGTGAGGTCAAGGCTATGTTTAAACTATGCTGGAATTCCTCGCGTTCACTACCATTACTATGTGTGCAATAATTATAAAACTTACGCTGATATATCTATCAGTTTGTATGCTAAGTTGTGTGTCGATGGTGTACAGGCTAGTGGAGGATTCTTACCTTTTATGTGGAGAGCGCAGTTATATCTCGTAAACTGACCGCCATATTGGATGGCCTTAATTGATTAACGCATGCGTACTTCATTCCCGCTTTAAAAAACATAAGCAGAAAATACACTGAAAGGTAAATGAGGTCAAGGTGTACGTATCATGTTGAAAAAATTGTGTACATATGTGAAAAAGTCTAAAGACAGTGCCACAAAACCGTAAATAAAGTCAGAAAAAACTAAAAGTTATTGTGACATTTGAAAAAAGTTTTACTATAGATTTTTTACACTTTTATTTTTTGTAAACCTATAGGAATGCGGAAGCAATCAGACAAATGATAATAAGGTGATAAAAAATTATTAAAGATGTAACATGTCTCTCTCTGAAGTGTAAAAACGCGCTATCATGATTCATTTATTCTAACACGCATTTTACACAATGTGGGATGAGAATGCAATCTTACCATACGTTATGGTCAGTTTTGATAACGGTTGATCCTAATCTGAAATAGTTTTTTAAAAGATGGACAAATGAAGTATAAGTTTACCAAATTTTTGCTGCACTACTATGGCCATATTTATATTATTGTTAATGAGGCTCAAATGGATTGGTCCACGGGTTTGCGTTGTATACAAAATTGGTGGGGAAAAGGGGTCAGTCACTTGAAAAAGTGTTCATTATTGAGTCTATGCGGTAAGTTTGCAGAACATTTAACGCATATATATTTGCCATAAGAAGAGTCTGCCATATAAGAAATAGTTGTGAGAACCAACAACTCCTAGCTGTACCTACATTGTGTATATACATGTGCTTCTATTTAAAAATGCAAATAAAGCCCTACACAAAACTCAGATAGCCAGAGCACAGCAAACATTCATCTTTTTAAAAAACAATATTGGACTATATAAAGAGCTTTTTTCTAAAACTGGCCATGTGTTAAGGGATGGTGATTTATTAAATTCAAACTTGAATGCTTCTATAGAAATCGCCTAAAAAACAAAAATGTCTTTTTATTCACACTGAATAGCCAGAAAGCGGTCACATACAAAAAGTTGGCAGGGGCCAATAGTGATTGATCAGTTGAACCCTATGGCCTTTTTGTATTCAATTTCATTCCACAAGGACACTCGACACTATGCATGGTAAATCTCAGTGCAAATACTTTTTAAAAGACTATTTGCAGTAAACCTTCTATTCGCACGATGCCATCTATTCAGCCTGATCTATTCTATTTCATATTTTTATCAGTGCATTTCGTTTTTTAACAAAACGTTGTCATTCAGATATATTTCAGATCCCTTCTCCTTTTGCTTCTTGGCTGATTGGGTAAATAAATTGAATTGTATAATGGACTCATATAATAGAGCTCTCTTTCCGAACCCATGTTACCATCTTCAAACAACATTACAATCTTCACCAACATTGAGAATTAGGGACTGGACATTAATTATTAAGATATCGTTTTTTCAAGGTAATATGAACAAAAACACCTATTTATCATTTCCCAAACCATTGTAATAAAGGAACAGAATAAAGACATTAACAGGCTACATAACACCCTCGGATGTACGGTAATCAGTAACTCCTCGCTCCATTTCTTTTTCAACTTTCAATCTCTGAAATACCGTATATCATCATATGTCACAGATTTAAGTGTCAGAATAAAATATGACAGCCGGCCCTGGTCCAGGCTAGATAATCTTTGAAAACACAATTCCAGGTTAGATTAAACATGCAGAATGATCGACACTTCATCTTGATTCACAAGGTTTCAGTTACTCTAAGGTGTGTGTTATAACACCTTGGATTTCGAAGATGCGACTTTGCGGTCTTGATTTATAACTTTAGATCATTTATAGATGTCAGCCATGATTAGGAAAAATTAGAAAAGTATTTAATATTGAAGGCCTAGTAGTGAAATTAAAGGATCGGAAAGGGTTTTTATTTTCCTTAAAGCTTCTATATGAGATTTTATAAAGTATGTATTGATGATTAAAGAAGAATATATACAAACAAATGTGAAATAATTTTTGCCTGTACAGGGTGAGCCAAACAAGGTAACCAAAACAAATGTTAATAACTCCGTCATCCAGCATGGATTCAAAACCACATTTGGCACAAGTGAACCTTGTTCAATGTTTTTCCATTCTATATCATATCATAATCAGTTTCATTTGTCTACTTTTAAAGGTCGCAATTTTATGGCCATCCTTAAAACATGCTCAAAATACGGAAACATTCCAAAATCACCCGATATGAAACCCTTAACTTTTATCTTTGGAGCAATTTCAAGGATATTGTCCACACTTACAACTCTAGAAGCATTGTCTACCCCTTTCCTGAAGGATCAACGAACCCCAAGCTGGGAACACACCGCACTCTCAGAAAGATTGGTGATGCACGTGCTGTATTTCATAATTTGATTGATTCGTTGATACACAAATCCGTCGTACAAACCACCATCCCTCGCCTTTTCGTTGTAAAACAAACCCTCAGCCAGGGAAAAATATAGAATCCCCCTTGGTAAATCCTGGCTACGCCCCTGTAGAAGCATCAGAGAGATGAAACGAGAGATAAGAAGGATGATTAGGCTCATTACTCAAGAAGTCAAGAGTAGACTCACAAGCTATCTGTAAGCGTGAAGTCAGTTCGAACAACAACTTCACCCGGTGCATTCAAATTAGCCTCCAAAGTAACAGTGTCAAGATATAGGGAGAGAAAATATTCTAGCATAGTAAGAGCATTCAATATACAGTTAAGACAAGACGGGCATTTTGAAGATGTTTGTAAAATAGCCAAACAACCGTGGTCATTCGAAATAGACCAATACAACGAAACTTGGTAGAATGAAAGAACATTGAACCCGTTCCAAGACGCGAGTAGGTAGTTACCAGTGTCACCACCATGTGGCTGATTCGGGGGAATTAACAAGGCAAAGAAAATTGTAAAAAAATTATCTGCCCAACACAAGAAAATATATTTCACTTTTTGTGATTTTGTAACATGGGGTTTATGGGGAATTTCCCTGACCTAGAAGTCACATTTTCAAAGAAGAATTTTCAAAGTTGGTTATTACTTTTTAAACCACATTTCTAGATGCATTTTACATGAAGACTTAAAATATGATATCCCTTTAACTAATTATTTTTGAATATTTAATGAAGTGAATCAAGATTATCTCTACTCGCATCTAGTATATTGTGCCAATTATGATTTAAAAACCAATGCTGGATGACCGAGTTATTAACGTTTGTTTGGGTTACCTTTTTTGGCTCACCCTGAACATGTTAAATCGCTTATCGACATCACGTTTATAATCACTTTAGATAAAAAGTATTAAATGCCCGATGTAAAGTTTGGAAATGTTTCTTCGATTCGCTACCTTCTAGGTGCTCCTAATTGCATGTTTCCATCCATTCTGAAACTATCTCATATTTCTGTTTTTCAACTACAGGGTGTTTCATAATGACCGTCCCCCCATCCAAAGCCAATCCTAGATCACGTGGCCCCATAATCTATATAACCTACCATAGTAAAGGTTATTCAATTCTGGACTTATGTGCCCAATTTTAGCATGACTGGTCAATGAGAAGATAATTTGTAATCTTATGTTTGATAATCACAATACCCTCAGTTTGTGTGATTTGTGGCTACCATTTCTAATGGATTTGAAGAGAGGAGCACATTGCTATATAATCCATTGAATCACAAAGAGCTCTCTGGGTATTTCTTTGAAGTATTCTATACTTTTGTCTTTTAAATATCATTGGGATATATCCTCAGCATTCATCAAATGTTATAAGTTGTACATAACTATAGATACTAGTGTATTGAGGCATGGTCACCATAGCTGTTTGCAGGGCACGTGGCTAATTTTGGAAAAAAGTAGATATCAGATTCTATGCTTAAGGTAAAATGGGTACCTTTTGTAAAGGTATGTACCAAGTTGTAAAGACTGTTGAGCTTATTCAAAGTTCTTTTAATTAGTCCAGAATTAAACAAGCTTTCATATGATATATAACACATGCTGGTATGCTATTTGGGATTGATGGTTGATGGGGGGACGGTCATTATGAAACACCCTGTATAGAAAGGAACTCTGATAAAAGGCATGGTTCCTCTTGGTGACCAGCCTTGCTTAGACAATAAAGGGAGTGTGGATCACAGGGTGATGTAAATTGTCAAGGTTTGTGCCAAGCCTGACATAAAAGAGTACTTCTGGTTTTGTCAAAGGCTTTCATGGTCATATCTTTCCGTTCTCGGTGTCTTTGGTTTCATTTATATCATGATCCACTGTTAAGATCGTCAAAAATCTCCACATATCCAGAACGACTGGCAATAAATGTCATCTACATCTACATCTATACGTCACACAAACCAAACGACGCGCCAGCTGAAAGTAAAGAAACTCAATGTTACAAAATAAATGTTTTCTGCTGTTTAGAGTTATAAGTTAATTTTATTTTTAATTAAAAAGTTTCTGATTTTGCTATACAGGGGCGAATCCTTTTTATAAAATCAAAATTACAGGTGTATAGGCATAAGTATCTGAGTGTCCCCATATATTTTCATTTCTTTTCATAAACGGATACCTTTTGAATGAGAGAACGATTCATATTTTACAGGATGAGGGTATTTCATTATTACGATTGAAAAGAATTCACAGGTTGAAGAAAGATGTTCCATGCGCTTAGCTATACATAATATTCTTACGTTTACTTTTGTTTGGTGGAGTTGCAGGCTCATTAGGATGAGGTTCATTGTTCACTACTTCGCCCAATTCATATCCATAATTCTGAAAATAACATATACCAGATGTTTGATAGTAGTCAACATGACGAGGAGGATTAACTCTTAATCCAAATTGAAGCGACCCACGAATAGTAAGCCCTTTGTAACCAATTTTCATCAGCATTCAGGTCGGGCGCTCTTTAAATCGGGCTTTAAATGCGTTTGAACATACATGTACGCATGCTAGTGGACTGAACGTTGTCCCTTGCATTATTACCTGATGTTCTTCAATGTATTTGGTATTCTTTGACATATCTCCATCATGTGCCTCGTCATACGTTGGGTCACAACTTTGGACGCACCTACAGCAACGGTTACCGCTGCAGCATCTGTTGCGGCATCTGATGATGACTGGGATGAGGCACATGAAGAAGACGATCATAACGATAATCATGAGCAGCTCTACTGTCAGTATGGTCTGTTCTTTGTACATGACAGGGTCAACAACTGAAAAAGGAAAGTAGAGGGTCATATATTGTTTTAGTATATATTGTGATTGGACTTATATAGATGGCAGATCATAAGTTAGTTGTTTGGAATGCCGTTGTAAACTGAACTTGTGTATAATATATACAATTATCACTTTGATTCCAGACCAATAATCACGAGGGGAAAGAGTACCAGTGTATATACAACCTACCGCCGAGCAAAGACCCGAAGATATCTGAAAATGTATGGGGTGGGTTGTAAACTTTTGTTTATATCTTGAATTTCTCAATATGAGAAACAGATAAAACACAGAATTGTGTGTAACTGATAAAGTTATTGTTCCAGGCACTCATGTTTGCAAAATAATGAGTACTTAGCGCAATGTTTACTATCCAATCGCTAAATTCAACTTTTAAATATTTGAATGATGATTTACATTTTGAATTAGTAACAACCATGGCTGTCTTTACTTCATTCGATTCAAAGATACAATAGGTGTAAATGTATCATATTTATTTCACTGCCATACGTTGCATATCATTGAAATCACCGGTGAAAGTTGAAAATGAAAGACCCGATTATGTCACGAGTACGATTATATAGGACCCGAAGCTACCACCGAGCTATTCCGACTATACCGTGAGTAGAACCCGATGAGGTAGTGAGTAAGCTTTCGAATGAGCATATAATATCATGACGATATCACAAATATTCCTTTTTATTTATCATATACTCCTGGCACCGGGATATAACATAATATGATATAATTCCCGCAGCACTAGGCCTATACGTCAACGTCTGTTTCCGGCAAAGTTCTTTAAAACATTGAATTCATGCTTACACTTGAATCACCATAATTTCCTATGTGTCTATGGTAAGAGTGCAACCCCAAAACATTTAATTCTGCATTGCAAGCGCCATTCTACTCAAAGAACACAACTTGAAGAATCCCAAGCTTCATATCCTCGAAACGAAAATTACCGTGATCTTTCTTTGATAATACAACCATAGTCAAAAACATTGTAAATCCATTTTTTGCCATTTAACTCAGGCACATTAATTTTAATACTCAGTAATGGATGGTGCTGACTGAAGTGGACCACAAAGTCATCCATCTCGTGTGATTTATAACTACAGTGGAAGCATTTGTACCGAGGACCTGAAATACAATGTTTCGATGTACATGTGCAGTGGTAACTGGTGATAGCCATATTTTTTTCAGTTTCATTTATTGTTCACAACAAAATGATTCACATGAATGATGCAGATTGTATGTTTATTATTTTTTCATCAGCACGTCATAAACTCGACGATATAATCGGATTTCAACAGATTTTACTCAAGTAATGTTCGGATTCTGAGATCCTTTACTCAAGATATTTTCGGATCTTTATAATATTACTCGTCGATCACATCGGGTCCGATGTCCGATAACCTCGGATCTTTTAGGACAAAGTTTAAGTGAAGATTTTGCTGTTCAAAAGTGCTATTTTGACCTAATATTTTGACACTTAATATATTATGCATATGCACATCCATTTACCGACCCAAGTATGTCTTATGTATGGCTCATTATCAATTAAAGCGAGTATGAATGAGAAAAACAAATCGAAAACCATTATACGTTTACCTTATCTCTTAATTTGGACATAAAAATATATTTCAACTATAATTCTAGGCCAATTGCGCCTGCTAGAACATCTTAGTAACAACTCTAACCATCCAAAGAAATTGTTAGTGACATTTTATTACCTTTACTGTCCATTTTCCTACGAGATGACATTATCAAACATTTGCTCGGCGGTATGTGCGTGTCTTGCTCGGCGGTAGGTTGTATATACACGGGTACTCTTTCCCCTCGTGAATAATTATGTCTAAACTAGAATAGAGAGTTTTCGCTCATGTGAAAGCATAACTTCTGTTCATGCATAAATCTGTACAAGTTTGAAACATACAACTATGAGAACATTGAAATAGATAAGTGAATTGAAATTTTGTGTGTCGCAGAAAGGCGTACTTATACGTTTAGAAATGTGCATTTCATCGATCAATTATAATATTATTTTTACCGAAAATGAAACATTTTCTACTCTAAATTTCTTTATTATAATGTGGATTGGATAGTAAGTGGCTCAATGAACTGATACATCCTTCTTCAAAGGACTTCATTTATGCTTTATGGAAAGAAGTGAAATACCCTTGGACCAAGGATGAACTGATAGAGCTGCACGACAAATTATTAAGTAGTACACAAACTTTATCAGTTATAAACATAAGGGATTCATAAACACGATAAGTGCATTTTTCACTATGATCAAATAGGCAGTCTTAACAAGATGGAGGCGTGTCGTTATATTTATCCTCGAAGTGTTTACGAGTTACACCATAAGCCTAGAATACCGGCTGATTAATTCTTACATATTAATATACTTTTATTTACTCCTCAGAAAACCTTACTTACCGTGTGTTTTTTCTTGGCCATTTCGCAAACCAGTAGAGTCCATTGCGTTTACATTATCATTAGTCATCTCTATCTCTGTTCAATTTAGCTCAACAGTCCGAGATCGTTCACCATTTAGAAGTACCAGTCCTCTCTGGAATCGCACAGGTCGTCAACTACTATAGGGGTTAAGTTATCAAATCATTTGCTAATGTTTAGCTGTCTTTTAGATAGTTATACTCCCGGGGATATACTATACGCTTCGTAGCATTTTATGGAGATGAAAATATTTGTAAATAAAAGTCAATTGAGGCCGATGTGACTTTGAAAGGTGATTCGATTCATTCTGTGTGTGAACGTTTCACCTTGTTATTTATTTTATGTTGTGAATGAATAGTTACATGAAAATTCCTATTTATCTTGAAACAACTAAAAACATCAATACTCAATAAATCAAAGAATTATAACATTGTATACGTTCGGCTACCATCTAGTAAGGATTTGGCAAAGGGGACAACCCATGATTCAAATGTGAACAAAACACGAACATGCCATCCAAAGGGTCTCAGCTGGCGAAGTTATGTAGGGGAGGGGGCTAGCAAAGACTGCATAGTGCTGTGCTGTTGATTACATAATTACCAATTGGTCAACGACATGAGCGAGGATGGGTTGGCTTTCAAATGGTATGTTTTAAGCTGGACATTTTCTTTAGTTCAAAATAAAGTGAAATCATGTTACAAACGTCTTTATTAGCACATCTGTATATTGTAGCACCATCTTTACAGTGTTAAGGTATTATTAACGGAATTTTAATGGTATTGACTGTCCCTTGATAGCCTTAATACAATAATAATTCTATGAATTGACGTATTTGAATTGACTGATTTCAGTCATAAAGACAGTGCTGCATGAATATTATTTTGGCAATTTAAATATAATACTGCACGTATTGTTTTGACTACGTGACACATTGTATACAACACATTTATTGTACACAATATAACACCAATTCATATGCTTGATCGATTAGATGGTTGAACTGATGACAATGGTATGCGTCTCAGTGATCGATAGTCCTCTTTGTGGTACTTGAAAACAGATACCTCGTGTTTCTGTCCAAAACCAGCTTGAGAAACGATAAGCTGTCCAAGGGTTGAGTAACAAATGCCCTTGGGGGAGTGGAGACCATCTTGGGGTAGAAGCACCTCCCAGAATCTTCCATTTTTGGCGATAACGAAGACAGTGTTGTTACCAACGACAAGGACGTTATTGTCAGTGTCACAGCATAATCCCTGCAGGTAAATGAACTCTTCACCAAACAAGCGAAAATCCGTGGAAGTGAATATCTTCAATATGGTGCCTGATAGGGTGAATATCTTGATAGAACTATTGCCAGTATCAGACACCACCACTTGCTGGTCAAGCGTGATTGTTACGTGATATGGATGATCAAACTCGTAAGATTCATTGCCATAGCAACCAAATCTTGATTGTTGTCTTCCATCTCTATTGAGAATAGTTACACAGTGTTTGCATATATCAGTGACAGCGTACACGCCAACATTAGAAAAAGCTATTCCATATGGAAATGGAAATGTATTATTTGAGCACAATTGGCGATGAAATCCATTGTCTAAATGAAACTGCTTAACGCATCCGTTTACGCTGTCCGTAACTGCGATTATATCATCCATTGCTATGGTGACACACATGGGATGAATTAATTGATGTGGAGACGTGCCTTTTCCTCCAAATTGGATCTTAAAATGGCCATCGTTAGAATAGACTTGTATTTTGTGATTGTCCGAGTCAACGACAATGATGTCCCCTGAAATTACATCAATATTATACATCAATGCATGATGCCAGGGTACATGTATATGTGTAATATTACTTTTTTAAATGGTTAATCTTTAAGTTCGATTCTCTGTGTGATTGACTGATTGGTTGATTCATTGATTAATGATTCATTTCATTCGTGGGTTTATTGATTTAACTACATTTATTTATCTTATTACATAGTTCATCATTATAGTTTTATTTGAATAAAAAACCGAATGTCATACCTTCTGAATTAATGGCAACATCACTGGGCATGTTCATACATCCTTTCCCCGATCCTTTCTTGCCAAACTTGCAGAGAAGTTTAATCCTTGAGTCCTCCATCTTGACCTGTTCACCTTTCTTAATCTTCTCTTCGCCATTGAACATCTTTTTCAACAGAAACATCTCGAGTGTCTACACATAGCGGCTAAAATATACATTGTTGATGCAATCATTCCTGCTTAGTAACCAACGTCTGTTGCTGGAAAGAGAAAAAACTAATTTCACTCCCTGTAATTGAAAAGTCGGTTGGCTTAGCTCTTTGGTTTTATCAACTACTTGTGAATTCATAACGTGTCTGCGTCACATGTCCAAATTCACCACATTGCAGTTGGTTGATCAAGCACATGTTTAAAACACGATGTCTCGTTTATCAAAACGAGCACTCCTTAACATTCCTGCAAGCACCCCGTCGTTCTGCGAGTCTTAGAGTTTAATTGAACACACTAAGAGCAATAACTGAGGATATGCGAGGATGAACCATTTCTAGTCATTAACGGGAGAAGTGTAGCAATAAAAGTCAAAGTGACCTATCGTTCGATTGTATTGCGTTGGAGCACGAAATATGTCTCAACAAACGACTGAACGAGCTAATAAGGTAGTCTGACTAGTCAAAGGGATGGAATGTGTTCAATATTGAAAGCAATCTTTTGAAAAAGCATGGTGATGTTTCCATTATAATTATTTCTTTTACTGCGATATTTGATCAAACATACGAAGTTCCTCTTTTTAAAAAGTCGCCAGATAACCTTAGAAATCGAAAGATTGTCCTGAATTATTTAAGTCAAAACTGATTGACGTTTTAGAAATTGCATGGAATGATGAAAGCAAAGATATTGTGAAATTATGACCATGTTTTCAACATTATTCTCGTTCCTTCTCGTGCCTCTAAATTGGCAATTTCATCAGGAAATCATTCATGAAAGTATTCATTCCATGGTAGTTTGACATATCTCAAGAGAAATGTGTACATTTGCAAAATGGAGAGTTATTATACGCTTTAGTGGCTGATATACGATCGTGGATTCTCCTGAGATTACTGATGACAAAACACGTTTACTTTGGTTGATATTAAATACTAAGGATCTTACAAAAGTTGGCTTCTCTCAGTGCAATGCTCTGGAATTCCGACCCAGGATATGGATTCAAATTCCTGATGTTTTCTCGCCCAACAAAGTCTAACTCTGATATGGAATATGAGTCAGAACTATCTGTTAATCCATAGAACAAAATCCCCATTTGAAAATCCCTCGTACATTGAGTGTGTAATAAAAAGAACCCAGTTGCCTCATATACGTTCTTTCCAAGATTTGCTATTACAATTAGTTTTGCAAATTCGCTTTGGAGATGATGATCTCATTTGCACTTTCAGCCCCGGCAATAAGGAAAAGTGGGGCACATGGACCCTTAGATTTACAGAGATATCATCATACAGATGACATCGGATATATTGATCCGATGTCATGCCACATAGGCGTCATGTCTTGTTACACTAATCCGATGTCATATTGGTGTCAATCTTACTGAGTAAGGTAATAAGAATTTCGTTTTAGAACCTCTTCCATTTATCACAACCTCAATGTAAATCCAGTAATATGCAAATTTTAGAGAGATTGATGTCCTAGGGGCTTCTATCGGATTTACCATTTTCAACAAGATCTGCTAATGCACTGTCTAATAGCGAAGGGATCTTTTGTTGACAATCGATCTTGATGGTCCTAGAGCTGTTTTATGGGTACTATATCTAGTAGTATTCCGTTTGGCTATTTGAATAATGGATTCTCAATTTCTATTTTAGGTTTACAAATAACGAATAGTCTCCAGTCTTGGGTATAACTGGTGGATACTCTTTTTGGTTTTCTCATTACTTCTGTCAACCTGTATCATTATGTATGTTGATATATTTGTACTGCAAATAGAGCTAACGAAGATGAATGCTACTTGATCGTAAAACACATATTCCGACAGTATTACACTTTTTATTAGCTAATTCGTCTGGGGAGGGGTCAAAATCGAAATGCCATTTTCAGATTTTCAATCATTTCGGCCATAAGATAATTTCGAAAGGTCAAGGTCATCAGAACCCTTGCGATATGATGTAGCCTAATTTATGATTTATATTGAAAATAAAACGATCCGCCCACTTTGAGCCCCCCTTGTAGTTCTATGAAATACTTAAGATGATAATGTCCAAGGAAGAATGTTTGCTTAAAAGGTTTTGAAAGAACAATGGCAAAATCTACCTTTGGCACAAGGTTTAGATAAGCATAAGAGAAGAGAAAATACCATTCAAATGAACAGGTAAAAAGATTCTTGGTAGTGGGTTACTTTTTTCAAATATTTTCGACAAATTGAACATGTTTAAATGTCTACATACCCTTTCTTCTTTTACGTTTACAAATCACTTTCATCATGTATTAAATCCACACACGTAGGAGTCGGATTGCATTTTACAATCCTGTAATATATAGGCCTATTATGTTATTACTTGCAGTACTGCTGAAATTGCTGCTACACTGCCCCCACACTCAAAAGTTCAGCCACGTTCAATGCATCAGATTTAATAGAAATGGAAGTCTGAACATTTTCTCAAATCTTTCTCATATACATACGTGCATTTCAGTTTTGTCTTCCAGTTCCCTATATATCATTCCTTCTCCATTTTACCAATATGTTAACTACTGCTGAAATATTTATTATTCACAGGAGAGGTTTTTGATGTTGCTGTTCTTTGAATATAAGGCAGGTTGTAATAAATCAAGATAATAGCACAAAGCTACTAATAGACGCTACTTAGAGGTTTAATTGACATATTGGTTGCCCTTACCCCCTACTCGATATTTAATCTTCACAATGTATGGAGTTTTGGAGTCAGTTTTTATTTTTAATTTATAGTCATTAACACTATATTAATATGTATAAGAACTAGTATATTTAACAATAAAAGTAAAATGCGATCAAAATGGTAAAGTGTCGTGTACATTTCTCTGGATAAGGGAATAGATAGGGGTAGAGAGGAAGGAGGGGAGACGTTTGATTAAGGAGGAAGTTACGACATTAACAATGTAGAAGTATGTTTTACTCCATCTTCCATTTTGAGGAAAACTATAAACCGGGGACCAATTCGAGCATTATGAAAAAGGATGTATTAGAATGCATTTAACTTGGTGATAGCATCTCTCAGTCTCATAGCATATATCTTTGTTGCATTACCCTTTGCATTCGTTCGACTTCGCTTCCTAAAAGAGAGCTTCGTCTGAAGTTAACTATACTCTGCACGCAGGGTACTGTTGCATCGAACAAGGACAGATATTTAAAAGGCGTGACTTACCTCGATGGATGGAGTGTGATATGTTTGAAGTGAGAACCAATTTGTTTTATCTACTTCCGCATCTCAACGGATAGCTATAGCCATACAGCCTCGAGGACCTGATCAATACATTCCTTCAAATAATTGGTGATTCATTTTTTCCAAGGTCTATAGAAATTCCATTTCTTCATTAAGCTCAACGACCCTTTTCATTTGGATTCACAGTAATGATTTCCTCCCAATTTCTACACACGTATTATAACACCAAAAATATGAGCTCCTAAAAAATAATTAATATTCCTCCTCATGCAGTCATGGTCCAATGTAAATTTAACCACTTACCGATATTAGCGTTCTCCAAGTTAAACGCGATCAGGCTCCAGTGTTAATGTCCTAATTCCCCAGACCGAATATAAGTCCCCAGATAGACGTACTCTGTACATTGAGTGATGTATTGTAGAGTTTTCACCAGGTCCTGACAGATTTCTCGAGACAATGAACTACTCCCAAAACAATGAAGTTATTTCACCTCGACCTGGAGTAGATTTAGTGGAATTTTATGTAGATGATAAATGAGAAGAGAATCAATCGATCACGAACAAAATTATGAAACGCAATGCCTTGTTAACCCGAATGTGTGTATACAAGACAATATACAGGGTGTTCCAAAAGTAACAGGATTGGTTCTGGCATTTTGTTAAATATGCACCAATCGTCTTCAAAATATTACATAATGTTCTTTCATGTATCGTCACTAAGACTGCAAAGTTTCGACAAAATATATGAAACTCGGGTAGAGTTATGGTTGCTATAGTAACATGACATCGCAATACCCGGGGAATATTCCACGCAAAAAGTTGCAGAGACATTAAGCATTTTGTACATCCCATATCATTTTGTACATGCCATATCAAAGTTGAAATGCAACAACTGGTGGGAATTACATTTGTTTTACATCATTTGATATTCCTATGGATCCTCTACTTTGGGCTAGGCTCCTCAGTGGTCAGTACAAGAGTGGTACTCTGTATCCATGACCCAAACACATGAGTGAACCAATTTGAGGACATGTCACGCAGGGTCGATTGGACAGTTTGGAGAAGGGCATTCTCATCTGTAAAGGTCTTACAGCACTGATTAGCATTCCATTCCCCATATAAAAGTAAAAATTAGATATTGCATGATCAGAAGAGTATGGTGCATGGTTTTAGACCTCAAGATCTAGCTCCTCTTAATAGCTGCATGGTCTTTAATGGTGACCTGCGGGCAGGCGCGCTATCAAGGTGGATGACTGGCTTCAAATTGAGTCTTTTCAAAAACTCAACCGTGAATTGTTCAGACTGTTGTACATAGTGATATTCCAGGAAATTGAATAAATATTATTATCATGAAATTTTACTTGAATCTGAGTTGTATAGCAACATTTTACAACAAAGGAACTAATAAAATAAACAAGGAATGTTGTATTATGATAGGTGAATTAGATACGTTCTTCAGAAGTAGAAAAATGTTAGATATCACATTTTCAGGAAAAAAGTTGCCCCGGGTATTGGGATGTCATGTTACTATAGTAACCATAACTCTAACCGCATTTCATCATTTTTTCTGAAACTTTACAACTTTAGTTGCAATACTTCAAAGTACAATTTTTGAAAATGTCAAGACACTCATGGCAAAATTGACAAAATGCCAGCACCAGTCCTGTTACTTTTGGAACACCCTGTATTACATTGCAGATATAAATGAATTATTACACAATCGATGACACTCAATGATTTATTATGATATATTGATATGATACGTGACAAAAAGGATTTACGCCTAGGATTCCACCTGTGGGTGCTTTAAAGCAAGAGGTTCTTGTATATTTGTTTAGCTTCAGATGCGGAAAGTCTATTTTATTTGCTAATTTCTCCAGCCCCCATGTTATTTCAATGGAAGTTTTTAACAAAAAGTTTCGTTATTTCTGATAAACTTGTCTAAATCCGAAAAACATGTTTTTCATGGAAGCCATGTGATTTGAACTACATTACTCGCTAATGGTGATGAATTTACTTTTATCAAAACTATCGTTTTTATCGCTAAAAGTTTTTGGGTCTGAAGTTGATTTTCAGAGAAAAGGGCCTAAGCGAAACTAGCATTAGCTGATAATATCAGCTAAAATTGATAAATTTGATGATTATCAAAACTATCGCTTTTATTGCTAAAAATGTTTTGGTCAAATATATCGCTAATTGATAAAAATTATCGATAATTGATAATAATCAAATTTAGCTGATATTATCAGATAGTGTTAATTCAATGTATGCCCTGTATCAAAATTATCAAATTTATCACGAATTGATAAAAATTATCGATAGTTGATAATTATCAAATTTATCGCTAATTGATAAAAGTGAGTTTTCGCACCTAAATGGAAATGGAATCAAACCAGAAACGGTTCAAACCTCTTTGCAAGGACCAACTCACACTTAGACTTGGTTCATTATTAATGATATTTAATTATAGTTTTGCACACAATGTCGTGTTTTCAAATATTACCCTGCAACCAGGTCTAGTAACCTGACATAGCATGGAAATACTGTGCAATGATTGGACAGTAATTAATAATTGCATCCTATAACTACAGTTTAGTGGGGACCGATGAAGGACATTCATACGATGCCTCCCAGTCCCAATTATGATCGTGCATAACATATCGGAATGATATGACAACGTAATATATTAGTGATGGTGTCAGATCCATCGATATGCTGTGAGATGCAGGCGATGCAAATACTGTCCTGGTTAAGAGTATATCTTATTCGATATTTTTGCAAATTCTGTTCTGTCAACATTTCCACAGTATTGATATGATAAATAGCAACATCATAGCCGACTTGATGTGATATGCTGCTGAATAACACGAAATTAACCCATCACAAGCGTCGAATAGATGATGTATCGCGTACCAGCAGGCAGATAAGAGAATATATAATATATTCCACTAAGAGACAATTATTACAATTTGTAAGAGTAAAGAGGTTTAAAAATAAAAAACTGGTCTTCACCTGTAGAGGTGCTCACATACACAGGTTTTGTTGTAACCAAATAATGCACATAATTATGATTGTATCCCTGATGACTTTAAATACCTGAGAGTGTCCCTGTGTAAGGTGAGGGAATTAGAGTGGTTTTTGAAGCGGTTATTAAACAGGGCAGTGGCTCACTTATTAATAAGGTGAAGTCTTGCCTTTTTCTGTATTGAATTTGGTTGTCAAGAATGAAGAACATCAGAGTAAAAACATAATGGTGTGAGAACAATACACCATGTAGTAAATTCTTGAAAAGCTGGATCTTCAGAGCAAATTGACATGTAAGATGTACAAATGGTACTTCAAATGGAATGAGAACCCCGTGGGATGCAATAGAGAATAATAATCTGTCATTAAAACCACTTTGCATTTGACTAATACTCACAATTTCAACGAAGAATACTCAATTTAAAGGCACGTCTAAAACTCAACCTATTTGGCGTAAGATGAAAAGAAGCAAATATGAACAATCTCATCTATTAGAATCCCTCTTTATCTAAAGTCCTTTGTTCTCGTGAGATTGTATAAAGCGGATATGGAATAATGAAACGTGTACATTACCCCCGGACATTACCCCGGGACATTACCCGACATTGCCAGGTGATATGTTTAGTTGAACAAGCAATACCTATTAACTCAAACACAAGTAAATGACGATGCCATCATTAAAGCATTTATTACAAGTGTGTAAGGTAAGGCCAAAGGAAACATCTCGAATAATCCAGAATCTCAAGAAGTACCCATCGATTTGAAGCCTTGTACCATCAGAGCATAGAATTAACACCTTAGCCCGGGACCTTAGCATGTTATAAATGTGACTTTATGACATGATGCACAATGGAGAGATCTAACTTAACCATGACACTAAGTTCCCATTCAAGACAGGAAGCAAATGAGTCTGCAACTGGTCCATCACTGTCAACTTGTTTCCTGAGTTTATTGAGACAAAGGATGACACTCAGAATAAAATAGCAGCCAACAAGGAAGAGAGTGGTCCTTCAAAACAAATAGGACTTATTTAAAAATTGAAAAGCTTTATCTACACTACACTCATCGGGTTTGAGATGATCCTTTGATCTAGCCTATCCCGATTAAATCAGAATGCTATCGATCAAAATTCAGCTAAATTATCAAAAAAGCATCTTCACTTCCTATGTGTTATTACACATCTTGGCTGCAGATGCATATTTTTCTATCCTGTTACTGTATGGTGTTACTCGAGTCTCTAGCTTACGGGATATAGAGAAGGCTTTGGACCTAAGTAAGTGTGGTGTGTCATGCTCGAGAAGATTATCATCACTGTGATCATCGAACCAATCAAAAGTTTACTCAGTAAATGCGGATTCATTGTTAGATTATCAAGGTGAAGTTGGAGCAACTAAAACCTTGTGAATCAAGATGTAAAAAAAACATTCATTTTTATGCTTTCGTGTATTACGCTCAGATCCACAGATTAATAAGATACAACCCCAGGCATACAAAATGTTTAATACAGCTTACAGAGTGATGGGCAGTGTATATGTGCAAGTGGAAATATAGCTGTAACATTGATTTCTCATTTGATGCAATCTCCCTTGGATCACTCCACATAAAATAATTACTAAAGATGAATAATTATATTATAACTCAAAACTAAACCTATGCGCCCTAAAATATTGATGACGATGTCAATGATGATGATAAAAAAAGTCACGTTGCAATATATTATATATATAACTAGAAAGGGAGTTATCTCGAAAATGAATCTGCTACAATTACGTTAGGGTGAGGAGGAAACACCTTATCATTCCATTTATATTTCCCATTAACTTCCATGGTCTCTTTATATTATCTGACACCCGAATATGTAACTATATATCCTACATATGTCACATAATATCCGTAAATGTCTGTATGTATTCAATACCGAAGTTCTCAGTGCATAAAGCGAGGGAAGTTTTAACTTTAAGCAATATAAATAAAATTATACTTTGAAATCATTATTAGTATAGTATTACATGAAAATCCATTAGCTAAAATGTTGTAACCTTAGAAGGTATAATGTACCTAGAGTCACATTAGGTATGGGATACATCTGATATGTATAGACGTTTTTTATAACAGGTTTTATCCCTCAGGGAATGTACCTACGTAGGAAGAAATCTGAGATTGAGACATACATTCCCTTAGGATAAACCCCGTATGTATGTATTTACAGTACCTCAAGTTCATGGTTCAGTCTAGCTTGTACTGGGTGGAAATAAAAATTGTCTGTGGGCTAATAAATCTGCATTAAACTGTAACAGAACTGCAATCAACAGAAATGCCAAGGAAGGAATTAATTTACTTTTATAGAAGGATCGTGTTTTATAGACTATTAATACAGATAGGTTAGCTGGATGTCCATATATACAAATTACTTTGCTGGTATTTGTCTGACATTGTAGTTATCTAACACAAGCTCAGAATAAATTATTTACATATTTTACAAATTTTATTTGAATTCTTAGTTTCTAGAGTGTATAAACGAAGGCTTTAACTTGTGAAAGGAAACATCAACCAATGTCAGTTATTGGTTCAACCTGTCATTTTCTACTCCAAATATAGCAAAAATATAAAATATTGCACATTAAAATGTTTCAACCTCTGTTTCGAAACTGAATAAATAATCAGATCATAATAGTTATATTGCACATGTGAACTATCGTGACTATGTGCGCAGTCTACAATGATATTTACCAAAATATTGCAACAATTTTCCAGTGACATCTATCTAAAATAAAAATGTTTGTCAAAAATATTTTTAAACAGTTACAAGTTCACTTAGTAGTGGGTAAATAGTGTCATTTCACATTTTCATTGTTTTCCTTCAAATGTCCACAAGACATTGTGAAAGTAATCTGAATTCAGAAAATATCAGCATCTTACTTTTGATTGGTCCAAAGTAATGAGTAGTACAGTCCTAATATACGATGACTGTCAATTTGTGTTTTATAGCTTATCAACATTCTCCTAATAAAGATGTTCATCTTATATATGCATCTGGAGAAGTTTCTATACAGTATATACTGTAAGTTACTCTTTATTTCCTACATTACTATATTTCCTATGTTTAAGTTACTCTGTCATCTATTTTCCTACTTTAGAGAACACACAGCTGAAGAATTTAGATATTCTGCTTCGTTTCTTTATTGATATCAATTGATTGTATTCCTCAACCTTATCAAGGTATGATACTGGAGGCCACCTATGTTCCTCTATATATTCAAGGTTACTGCCGACAAGTAGAGGGAATTTTGGATGGTTCATAAATGAACTGTAGTTAGTAGCTATGAAATGTAGGCACCATTTGGCGAGCTGGTGAGCATTATGATCCTGGAAAAGGTTACAAGGTATGTTGTTTCATTACATCAGATGTCTGAGGGAGATTGACAAGTATGTTAAGAAACTTCAATGATGAAAAATAAGACTATATTCTTCAATATATTTAGTACTCAAAAATAATGTTTGAACACTACACTGAAAATTCAGTTTTCAATTTTCATCCACAATAGATGAATACAGTGTATCATACTTGTACATGGTTTTACTATATTTCTCTTTTTAACCCACCTGGCAAGATATTAGTAGATCTATAACATCAATGTCTGAACTTTCAATCGACTTAGCCATTGAATGCTCAACTTCTTTAGTGATGTACAGTTCACATAGGTTGATTAGTCTTGTCTGACAATACTGGTTGGCAAGGACGAGGATTTCAATGGAGTCATTCTCCTCGATGGGGGAGTGATCAGTGTAAAGGTACTCCAGTAAGGCAAGAAATGTTGCTAGACTTGTCCCACTAATCTCAACCTGAAAAATTAAAAAATATTTGTTTTTGGTTTAATCCTCCTATTACAGTATAGCATGTGATTTTGGTACCATACCACAACTTATTTTTGTACTTTGTGTATGTGAGATAACAATAAGCTTGGGATAGCATTGTGGAATAGCAAAATACCTCTGTGCAAGATCCCTGTGAGGTCTCAGTATAATGACCACTAAACATTGCAGCAAAAACTTCACATCTGGTCGTTACCACTGTTTTATGAGCAAACACCTTGGTACCTGGAATATACATAGACATACACTGAGATAATGAACAAAAATCTCAAATTACATTCATGTATAAATTATTTATATTTATATGAAGTGCAAAAAAGTTGGAAACTATAACAATATTGTGGTGGTGCCATAAAATCATGCCAATTGTAAAAAGAACAATGGCAACGCCAAAGCGTAGCGAATCCCATCGAACAGAAATGGCTGGCATTTTTACAAACGAAGCGCAAATATTAAAACAAAACACCAGAAAGGCCACCATTTTCAAAATGGTTGCTCACTAGCCAAGTTGTCATCAGAAGAAATAATATGCTTTTAAGTAGCCACCTCTAAAATCTTTTGAAAAATCGCACACGTACTTGTAAATACTTTCAAAATGGCCGACTACTCCCCAAAGTTTTATTAGACAATGTGCCATGCTTAAAGTATTCACATATCAAATACGAACAAAATCGCTCCACTACTTTTCGAGTTATAGTAAAATATGTTAAATGGTGGCCATTTTTCAAAATGGCCACCTTCTACCAAAAACGTCATTAGAAATAGACGTTGTTCCACTTATAGTATTCACATACCAAATATGAACAAAATCGCTCCACTACTTTTCGAGTATTAGTAAAATACGTTAAAATGGCGGCCATTTTTCAAAATTGTTTTCAAAATGGCCGCCTTCTACCAAAAGTGTCATAGGACAGTGTGCCATGCTTATAGTATTCACATACCAAATATGAACAAAATCGCTCCACTACTTTTCGAGTTATAGTAAAATACATTAAAATGGCGGCCATTTTTCAAAATTGTTTTCAAAATGGCCGCCTTCTACCAAAAGTGTCATAGGACAGTGTGCCATGCTTATAGTATTCACATACCAAATATGAACAAAATCGCTCCACTACTTTTCGAGTTATAGCAAAATATGTTAAAATGGCGGCCATTTTTCAAAATGGCCGCCTTCTACCAAAAGTGTCTTTAGACAGTGTGCAATGCTTATAGTATTCACGCATCAAATATGAACAAAATCGCTCCACTATTTTTAGAGTTACAGCAAAAATCGTAAAATGACGAGTAAAGGCCGCCATTTTTCAAGATGGCTGCCATGTGCTTTTTAATATCTACATTTGTAGCATTATTTATGTCCTTTATAATTTTTTTTACATTTAAAACATATTGCTATTACAGTTTTACATATTGCACCTAAATTACTGTAAAATCGTCACTAACGGACGGACGGAGGCGTTCCCTATATCCCTCCGAACTTAGTTCGATGGGATAATAAAACAATCCTATATACAAATACAATACAATACAATACAAATATTACTTCCTGGTTGCATAGTTTGAGAGTAAAAACTTATTTTATGGGATGATGGCTACCTTCAATAAGGAAGACAATATCTGCCAATAAAGGTTTGTTCAAGAACATCTTCTTCAGCTTTGCCTCTGTTTCATGATTTAGGTATGTCCCTATACTTGGATTGAGGAACTCCATGTTCTGCTCAATGTTCTCGCATATGGTCACAAGCTGGGGTAGGTTGAATGTGATTGCGGCATGCTTCAGGTCATGAAGGTCATCTGCGGGGGTCTCATCTTTCAATAAAGGGACTCCTTTAAGAAGAAATACTGGTAGGTGATATCTTCTCTAAGTTAATATATTTAATCATTAAATGCTTTACAGAAATAAAATAAAATTATATCAAGCCAACTGATTTTTCTGCATAAAATGCATTGCCAGAACAAACTTAACAATAACTATTTACGAATTTGAATCCAATTATCATTATACCTACCTGTATAGATAAACTCTAGAACATGTACAAATGCCTCATAGGTGATATCTTCTCTAAGAGTAATAATAGTGTTATCATTAGAATCGTGACACGCATTCTCCAAACCTGGCACCAACTTAGCTGCAATTTTCCCTGAAGTATTATCATATTTTACAGGCTCTAATTGGTTTATCTGAAAAATATGCACAACAACATCCTAGCAAACTGGACTATACATAAAGCTCATCACATAGCAGCAGTCGTGTAACAACCTCTATAGTGAACTAATTTGATATGTTTGCACAAAGTTGATGTTTTGTCATTACAATTCATTTGTAGCATTTGATTAAACTTACTTCAAAGTCTGGCGTTATATTGATTAGTTTCCTGAAGGTTTCCGAGGCAGCACAAAGGATGATTTTATGAGCAAGCAGCTCATGGTGGCCAACTTTGAATGTTACATCTGCATATGAGGGATTCTTTAGTAGCTTGAGCCACTGTTCAGCAAATGTAGATGTTTCTATCTCTGGGCAAGGTACTTTTTCTTGAGAAGTACAATTCCATGTAATGTATACATATATAATATTATGTGATATGTATCTATAAAATACTGTTACAGATCCAAAATTGAATTGAAAAAAGTAAAAATTTAAGCTCAAACAATAAATTAGTTTATATTATCAATCAATGTTATCAATTAACAATTTTGTGAAAATGTCCATAAATTATTTATATTCACAATAAATGCAAGTATTACTCTTTATCTACACTCTAGGATACCACGGAAATAAATATCTATAGCTCAATAGCTATAAATGAGACATAATGTTGCAGTTGTCTCATTCTTACCTGCAGGAGGCATGACAGGTGGGATTGGAAGGCCCTTCTTCTTCAGTCTGGTGTGTCCCTTATGAATAACAGCCAATCTCCCCTACAATACAAGTGTATATGTAATATGTATGTGCACAATTCTTATTTCAAAAGTCTTTATTCTACTTATCAATCATATTTTGCTTTTTAAGCCCATGTTTATTATAAATTGTGGATTTCTTTTAGTCAATGAAAAAGTTACTGAGTGGGATTCAAGAAGAAACAAAAAACATGTGTTTTGAAGTACAAAATTATCATTTCTGTTAGATAAAAACAGAACAGATGAAATCATCAATCTGGGTCCTGGGGTCATAAAAAAGATTTAAAACCCTGATGATTTAATGATCAACCCTGTCATATGCAAAATACTCCAACAGACAATGTCATAATATAATTTTTGTGATCATATTTCATTATGTCAAACATCAGAAAAGTATTTAAAACCGCACTCTTAAATACATATTACACCTACATTGAGCAGTTGAGTAAATCCATGTATTTTACTGATTCTAACTTACAGCTTCAATGAAGCAATCTTGAACCCCATCTTGTGTTAGAGCACTGACTTCTTGATATCTGCAACCCAGTTGCTGTGCAAGATCCTCAACCTCTTGAATGGACACTATGGGGTTGCCTTCATGGCTGGGGCAGGTACGAAGATCTACAATAATATATACATGTTAGAGCAAACAGTCTAAGAAAGGATAAAATTAAAATTCAATTAAAAGGGTGCATGATTTAATGACTGATATACTCTGAAATTATGGCATGTGCATTAAACTGGATGCACTGAAACTGCAGTCCAAAAGACGACTATGTTAGGTGTTCAGTTTCTTGAGATTATCTATGACTATATAATATATATATATTCGCTTAATTTTTGCAGCTATTTAATTTTACGGATTCAGGACTAAAGTTTAATTTGGCAAATCCAGGACTGAGCTTTATCTTTGTTCTGGCAATAACCTTTTCTTCGGGTCATGCGTACTAATTTCAGTAGGCTAGTTGTATTGCACTGAGATCCAAGTAATAATGCTTACACCAGTGAAATGTTATGTAATATTAGTTTTAAGGAAAGCAATCTCAATTCCCATTGTTTAGATTAATAAAGCTTTGTTCAGGCCCCAAATTTTAATTCCAGAAGCGCACTGCATGCACGAAAATTCCTAGGAGACTTTCCAAAATACATTCGAAAATTGGCGGATTTTTATTTGGCGGATTTTTTCAATCTGCCAATCCGTCAAATTAAAATGGTAGCCTAACTAAGAGTACGTATCTACAGTAATGACACTAAGAACATTGTAAAAATATATTGCAATTTTTTCTCACCTGATTTGCAGCCAACAAGCATGAAGGGTGTATGAGGACAATGATGTTTGATCTCAGGAACCCACTTCTCATGTATGTTTTCAAATGAGTCAGGTGATCCAATATCAAAGCATAGGAAAAATACATCAGTCTTGGGGTATGAAAGCGGTCTCAATCTATCTGCATCTTCAGGAAAATTGGGCTGAAATAAATAAATATTCTATATTTTGTGGACGTGGTTGTTATCTACATTGTTATTTGATGAAACAGGCAGTGTTTATTTTCTAAATTCTGAAATATCACATCAATTATGCCCTCTACATTTATTTATTTTATTTTATTGACCAGTGGTGATTGGTAAACAAACAAACAAACAAACAAACAAAGAAGCAAACCAAATATTCATTACCGGTCCAACAAGTGAATCAAAGAGCTGAATATGAAAAGACTTTTCATCAATCAGCATGACATGTTCGTAGTTATCAAACATTGTGGGAATATATTCCTTTGGGTAGGACTCTGTGGTGTAAGTTATTAGTAAGCAGGTTTTCCCTGCTCTTTTGTCCCCGAGAAGCACAAGCTTCACTGTTTCCATTTTAAATTTTTAGGAAATAAGCTGCTTTAGATCAACTGATGGAAACATTTTCCTACAAATAACAATGATGTATTTGTAAAACATATATTTGGAGTAGATCTGTGTTGGGTAAACTCTGTAGATTGTTTTACTGTGTTGTCCAAGCTACAATTTTGTATCATATTCCTAACATTGCACGATCACTCATTTGATTTTTATTATGGAAATATTTAACTCTGTTTTATCAATAAACAATTAATTCAAAATATTATAAATAAGCATTAAAAATCTGAATCTCAGATATACACATCAATTACAGAAAAGTGAAATAAAATTGAATTTTAACTTACCTTGATATCTCATACATTCTCATAGTTCCATATTTATATGTTTCTCTGTGCCAATGAGATGTTGCCTAGCTGTTATATTACAACCTGAAAAAGAGAATGACTCAAGAATGTGAGCTCCACATTTTAGATTTATACTCACTTTCTAAAAATAGCAGCCATATATTTTAAATTATAAATAGACATTAGCAGACCTGCCAAGTCCTAAAAACAATCATCTGATTAACAATTTTGTCATCTTGGGTACAAATTGTGTTAAAATTTTAACTTTCAAAATCTTCCCAACTGTTTTCAAACCTATAGATGGATAACTATTTCATACAGTGTATCATACTCGCTTTAAATTCAACAGACAACTGAAATTATGTTTATTGTCTTTAGCATCAGATAACAACATTCATAAGGTATGAAATATTATTTCCTCAATATAAGCATTAAAAATCAGAAGCTCACAGATTTACACAGCAATTACAGAAAAGAGAATTAAAATGAATACCTTGATCTCGGTGTCATATTAGAATTTTCTCTGTGTCAATGAGATGTTTCCTGTTACACAACTGAAAGAAAAAGAAAACAAGAAGTGATTAACAATTTTGTTATTTTCAAATCTTGGGATATACAAAATGTATGCAACTTTCCAAATCTTCCATTTTCATAAAAGAAAAAGTCTCATATTTTCTGGTTGAAGAAATATTGATTCATTTTCTAAATCAAATCTCCCATTACATGATAGGTTGGCAGGTATGTGTCTGAAGGAACAAGCTATAAAGACAAAAAAAACACATGACACAACAGTGTGATTCATAATTGAATCAGACTGTGGATTAAGATTATTTCATTCTTATAAAATCATGCTAACTCTTGAAAACAGAAGTAAACTCGCAAAAGTGAACAATTATGAGAAAACACAATGGGATTATAAGTTTTCATGGCAAAATATTTGGACTCCAGATTGTTTTGCCGAAAAGAGCTGGTTTATTGATACTTTCAAAGTTTGTCCATCATTTTGGGTAAGGCTAACTCTAGTTAGTTTCATCCTGCTGTGGACCAATGGTTATCCCATTTACAGTAAATCTTTTTCACATTTAAAGGCCCACTTTGCGTATTTTCAACGTTTTTGGGCAAAATAAAGACTTACATTTGAATAGTCATAGTATGTCCATTGTCCAATGTATTGATAAGAACTATCTTTCATTTGACACCAACAACACCTCAAACGGACCACATCAAAGCTTACAATAAATTATCAAAAGATATTTTCGATCTGTCAAGTTTTATATATCAAATATTTATCAATGTCATTGAAAGATGGCAAAGTTGTTTGTATTACATGATACATTCATTTTTATAGAAGTATCACATCAACAGTAACTTAAAACATGCACTTTGTTTAACATGTGCATGTATGTCTAAGGATCCCTGAACTTCAAATGCTTTTTTCTCTGTGAGTTATTTTTTTCTTGATTTAATATTAAAGCAAATCAAACTTTGTCTCATATTTGAGCGAGTGTGTGAGTAACATGTTTCAATGATTATTTTTTCTTTTTTCTTCTAAATTAAGTATAGTGGGCCTTTAATATAAAAAGCATTCTTACAAAAAGTCATTATCATGCAAAAAGCACAACTGACATCATGAGTTTAAAAGAAAATCAATTTTGGGGTTTTAAATTATTATCCCATCATTTATATAAAAAGGGGGCAAAGCAAGATGGCTGCCACTTGATATTAGAAAAATCAGAAAAATTACATTCACCCAAATAAATGCCAATTAAGTTATCAAATAATACCATTCAATCATCTACCAAGAACAGTAAACAATGCTTTGGAGGATGTGTAACAAACTTGTGTAAATCATTAATTTAGTATTTGCACTTGAAATCTTTTTAGTTCTTTTGTATACAGGTATGCATTGTCTTTGATAATTCAATAATATGATTGTGTAACTGAGTTGGTTTTTCATACTTTACAATTTTCAATATTTTATAAGTCAATATCTTGACTTATCCTTTTAAGAAATGAGAAATTCATCTTCATTAAAGATGAAATGTATAACAGACTGAAAACTGTCTTAAAGTAAAACTAGTTCATATATTTTCCAAGTTAATTTATTCAGTTCAATTTAAATCCCTAATACATTTTAGTAGGCTTACATTTGTAAAATTAAAATGTAACAATTGAAAGAGCATTTCAGCTATAAAATTAAAAAACAACAATACAGTAAAATAATTATATACAACATATGTTATCTAATACTGCACAAAATGTCATTCAGGTAAAACTTCCTGTTCTAACTTTAGACTTTCATAAGTCTTTACATATACATTGTAGTATAAGCAAAATGGTAAATATTTATTTCCATGGGCCATTTTTAATCAAGGATGTTTTATGATAACTGAGTTCAGCATTTTTCCCTTTTGGCATAAAATGATATGAATGATTTGCATAGAAAAATCAAAATCATATACATTATGCCAGTCTAATGTTGACAAAGGTTCAAAGCATGATATCAATTGATTATCAGACCCTGATAGATATACACGTATGTCCAGTTCTGTCAACATACAGGGTGATCATAAATTAAGAACAAAAGTGCTCTAACTATTGTAAATATTTATGAATCTGGTTCATTTTATGATCACCCTGTAATTACTACACCCCCAATCCGCAATGTAAAATCACAGTACTGTACAGTGCATTCAGAGTATGGTGTCGTACAGCGTTCTCGGTACCGTACATTAATAGCCATCACATTAATCTATGTAATTCATGGCTAGTTTTTTTTAAAGTATACATATACACATACATAATCTTAAATAATTAATGCAAATAGTACTTTGCTTTAGTTCTATTAAAAAGTCTATACAGATTGTAAACACTGCACATATTAAAGACTTTCAAAATGTCAGTTTTAAAACTGATTGAATACTAAGATTATGCCAATTACACAAGGTAATTTAATGCAATACATGACTTAATTCAACATATGGGAACATATGTCTAAGACTGTTCATTGCAAAATATTGCACAGAAACACAACATGCTCAGAAGAAAGCATTCTGATTTCACAGATATTTTTTGAAACTATATGCTTGACAATTTCATGTAAAAGGTCAAACAAAATATATGACAACTTTCAGTCTGTCTGTCTTCAGTCAATCTGCAACTATCCTACATTCTCTTTCTCAATGTAGACGTTCACTGCCATAGCTTTCAGGTAGCTGAATTGAAGTGTAATGTGGAGAAACTGATGCATCTGGAGAATGCACATCCATAACTTACAATACATCATCATCTATCTTATCACTAGGAGAACAAAGAGCTGAAAAATGTTGATTTTTTGCCTCGTTTCTTCATCAATTGATTGTACTCCTCTACCTCATTGAGGTAGGACACTGGAGGCCACCTATGTTCCTCTATATATTCAAGGTTACTGTCAGCAAGTTGGGGGAATTCTGAACGATTCACAAATGCACTGTAGTTAGTAGATATGAAATGTAGGCACCATTTGGCTAATTGGTCAGCATTGTGAAACTGAAATAGAATAAGAAGATAAATAGACTAAAAAGAACTGATGTATTGTTGAAAATGTTTCAAAAGATTGAGAGCTGTATTATTGGCAATTAAGGCAGACATATTGAGCATCTCTTTTCATAGATTTCTTTACTGTTAATTCATAAATTCCAGATTGAATGAAATATGTCATCACAATCAAAATCTTACAGTTTAGTAAAACATTTAAAGTAGTATGAGTAAAATGTATTAATATCTCAAATGCAAGCCCTTTAAGTTCCCATTAATATTGGCATCTTACAAGTTAAGTCCGTTGGATGTTGTTGTAATGAATGTGTTAAATTTGTATGGCCCATCCTTTTTTTTACATAAAGCATCATAATATTGAAATTTGTTTTCAGATTTATTATTAATTTCAATATAAAAGTTGCACCTTACCTGGCAAGACAACAAGAGTCCTATAACATCAATGTCTGACTTTTCAATTGACTTAGTGACTGAGCGATCGATTTCTTTGGTGATGTACAGTTCACATAGGTTGATTAGTCTTGTCTGGCAATACTGGTTGGCAAGGACGAGGATCTCAATGGAGTCATTCTCCTCTATGGGGGAGTGATCAGTGTAAAGGTACTCCAGTAAGGCAAGGAATGTTGCTAGGCTGGTCCCACCAATCTCAACCTGGAAAAGTTTTAAGAATCAATTGTTTTTGGAAGAACTATTTTCTGAAAGTATGTGTACCAGGGTTGATCCAAAAGTTTTCCTCTGCTTGCTTCAAAAAGCTTAATCTGAGTGTTTGATAAAAACTTCATGTGATTAGGGTCAAATATCCCGATCACAGTATGTTAAATTCTAATCAATAGAATTTAGAGCTGAAGATATCTGGATGAAAGTCTCCAATAATCCTCACCAAACATTTTATGGTCTTTAGCAAAATTTATATTTTTGAATTCACATTACTGACTGCATTTCAAGCACAGCATGTTCAAATGAAGATACATGTGTATTGAATTAACCAGCTCAAAAAGCCCTTACATGTATATATGTATGTGTGATCATCTCTTTAATAAGTGAACTGCTTAAAATATAATGTTTTAGAAAATACCTGTGTGCAAGATCCCTTTGAGGTCTCAACAAAGTGGCCACTGAACATTGCAGCTAAAACTTCACATCTGGTAGTCACTACTGCTTTATGAGCAAACACTTTGGTACCTGGAACACATAAAGATGACACGAATAACAAAAAAAGACACACAGCGATAAAGATTGAATTTGCATCACAAATACCCACTAGGCCTATACCAAAACAAGAAACCATACCATTGGGCATTTGAAATGAACCCTTGAAACAGGTTTCTTAAACTTCTTGGTAAAGATTCATTGAAAACTTTAGATTAGTACCAAGAATATTATATGAAATTATTACCTTCAACGATGAAGATGATATCTGCCAAAAGAGGTTTGTTCAAGAACATCTTCTTCAGCTTTGCCCCTGTTTCATCATTTAGGTATGTCCCAATACTTGGATTGAGAAACTCCATGTCCTGCTCAATGTTCTCGCATATGGTCACAAGCTGGGGAAGGTTGAATGTGATTGCTGCATGCTTGAGGTCATTAAGGTCATCTGTGGGGGTCTCATCTTTCAATACAGGGACTCCTTAATAAGAAATACATGTTGATATGATGTTTGGAAACAGGAAATAACGTATTATCTTATTTCATATCAATTTATTAAACTTATGATGCGTTTCACATTTTAGAGTAGGGTCAATACATGGCTCAATACAGATAATTACATTAATCTCTTTAGCAAAGATTTACATCATGTATCGCACACTTTAAACACAATTGCAATACCTGTATAGAAGAACTCCAGGACATGTACAAAGGCTTTGCCACTGATATCTTCTTTAAGAGTTATAATGGTGACATCATCAGAATCTTGAGACACATTCTCAACACCTGGCACCAACCCAGCTGCAATCTTCTCTGCAGTAATATCACATTCCACAGCTTCCAATTGGTTCACCTGAAATATGCAGAATTATGGTTGAATGATACATCAAGCCCCTAGCCAGAAACCCCCCCTGGCCAAAAATTCTTTCAAAATTATGTAGGTTTTCACCATTCTGAGCACTCTTCAAGCTTAGGTGATTTTGGGCCAAAGTTGTCAAATTAAGGTAACCCCCTGGAATTTTTTGAAAAAAACAGACCTATACATGCAACTGATTGATGACATTTCGTATGCGATATATTTCTAGTTTAATGACCCTATTGCGATTGGAATGTTTCTAAGCTTATGTGAATGCTGCATCAAGACAGAAGACAGTGGAACGATCACTACAACGACCAATGTAACATTTCACTCAGTATGGCCATTTAATGTCAGATGTCTGAAATAAGGACTGTTTTCCTATACTCTGCACATAATAATATTTGCACTTAGGCCATTTTTCATTACATTTAAACAAGTGAGGTCAAATCAATAGGGCTTACTTCAGAGTCTGGTGTAATATCAAGCATTCTCCTAAAGGTCTCTGAGGCAGCGCAAAGGATGATTTTATGAGCAACGAGCTCATGGCGGCCAACTTTGAAGGCTACATCAGTATTTGATGGATTCTTTAGCATCTTGTGCCATTGGTCAGCAAATGTAGATGTTTCTATTTCTAGCAAAGGTGCCTTTCCTGAAGATGTATATTCATTATATTGAGCACTATGTTATTATTACATGGTCGCAGCTGTAAAACCCAATGGTAACAAAAATTACACAATGTCCAGTTGAAAAAGTTACACCATTTAAAAATTTAAAATGATTGACTTTCAAGGTATTTATTTTGTTATAATGTAAAATCTTACCAGCAGGGGGCATTACAGGAGGAACTGGCAGATTTTCCTCAGTTTTTCGGGAAAAAAGACTGAAACCCTTCTTTTTCAATTTGGAATGTCGCTTGTCATTCACGCACACTCTCACCTTTAAAACATGTTGATATATGTGTGATTGTAAATTTAGACTACACCCTGAAGAGTTAAGAACATGCAAATTTGGGGATTCAAATCCTATGACAAATTTTAATAAATTAAAATGTCTCTACAATCTTTATCTTATAAAGACTTTGGAGAATTTAAAATAAAACTTTTAGACATTCATGAGAATTCACGGTTACGTATATCACTGTAACATTTAGATTACATTAAGACTATCATACTAGCCAAAGTGGATTACACTTTTCTCAGCAAGAGATTGTAACCTGTACCATGGGTACAGTTCTGTTGAAAGCCCATGCCTGAACCTGAGGAATAGGTGGTAAGGCCCTTAACTATTAAAAGGACACTGAATTTGATAAAATTGCAACTCACTGCTTGAGTAAAGCAATCCTGTAGGCCGTCTTGTGTTAGAGCACTAGTTTCTTGGTATTTGCAGCCTAGTTTTTGCGCAAGATCATCTGCCTCCTTTCTGGTGACAATGCACTTGCCATCTCGGGTGGAGGAACGCAGATCTAGAATTATTAAGAGATTTATATGAAATATAAATTCGAAACAAACTTTGAAACCTTAATAACCAATTTATAGCATATTGTGAATCTTTCGGGGGAATTCATATTTGAGATTATTTCATAAAGAATAGATTGGCAGGCAAATTCATGTTGCTTGCAATTTTGTCATCCCCTATTATATAGATCTGATTCTGCCTTTAAGTTTAGCACATGTTTCTTTTTTCTTACCTGATTTGCAGCCAACAAGCATGAAGGGTGTATGAGGACAATGATGTTTGATCTCAGGAACCCACTTCTCATGTATGTTTTCAAATGAATCAGGTGATCCAATATCAAAGCATAGGAAAAATACATCAGTCTGGGGGTATGAAAGTGGTCTCAATCTATCATAATCTTCCTACAAGTATATTTCATAACACTATTTAGTATTCCCTCTAAACAATAAGCCAGGTCACATTAATAGTGACAGTATACCACACATTACTATGTAAGTATTGAGCAAGTATGATTTTTGCGCAAAACAAGCTTCTTTAATTCTGTAATTTGAAGTGATGTTTCCAAATGTTATCTAACATGAACAATTTTTATATCTATAAAAAATAACTTTGTAGTGTAGACTTATGTCAAACACAATGTACACTCTCCCCAATAAGTTTGTCCACTGGAATTGTGGAACATAAACAGGCTTCAATAAGTGACCCAAAACAGGGACTTCCAGTTGCCACGGTTACGGAGGAGGGGGGGGGGAATATGATTACCTGGCCAGCTGTATCCCAAAGGCCAATATTGTAAGCTTTGCCATCAATCACCATGTTAGCACAGTAGTTGTCAAAGACTGTAGGGACGTATTCACTTGGAAAACTATTAGTGGTGTAGGATATCAGTAAGCAGCTTTTACCAACTCCGCCATCTCCAACCACCAATAGCTTCAAATTTTCCATCTTTAATTTTGTATACGTATACCTGAAAAGAAATAGAGGTTCTTATATGAGTACCTGTGCAAGATCGTCCATTCTTGATGAGCTTTGATAATTCTTCTTCATCGAGTCGAAGACGAGATAAAGAAACATTATCAAAGCGAGTCAAGAATGGACGATATTGCACAGGTACGAGTACAAGAAAGTTTTTCTCATATGACTCTGTATTATGCTATATTTTCACCATTTTGTAATAAAACTTAGTGAAAAATAGCTACAAATTAATTGAACTTCATCTTTCAATTGTTATGACGTCATAACAATATTGAAGAAAATACATAGATACACGTGGCAACAAAGCCCCATTGTTATGACGTCACAGCTAAGGTTTGTAGAATTAGCATGGGTACGGTGTGTACGGTGTGTCCGTTGCCATGTTGTTGATGTTTATAGACCAGTGATGTCACAATTAAATGTCATCTTGCACGTGTGACTTTTTAGGATGAAAGATGGCAATATCTTGCATGGGGTAAAGATGGCTGTATCTTTGTTAGTCATATGAGAAATCTATTTAGTATACACAGAGACATTTTAGACAATATTTCACAATACAAAGAATGCTAAAGGTGAATGCATATATAGAATGTGTATGGGACAGTAACAATATGGTCAAGAGAAAATATTGTTTAACGAATATGTAAACAAAACAATATGTACCTTTTTCTGTTTACACATGGTCCACATTTACTCGGTCTCTAGCCAAGTTTGTTAATTATGGAATGGGTCATCCAAGATATATATCCCCAGGGACAAAAACACAAAATGAGCCATTCCATCATGGTAACACATGGTCTTGAATTGAAATAACCTCAAAACGTGACGTCAATAATGACGTTCATGGACCGTATTGATCTGACGTTATTTAAATATTCAGCAAAACGTCGATCGATGGATGGTTGAATTTCAACATTGTGGAAATGGCTTCAAAACATTTGTGAGTCAAGGAAACGTTACAAAGACGTCAATATGTTCTCACTAAATCGGTTCATTACCGACGTTATTTTAAAAGTTAACGTTGTCAAAACGTTCTTACGATGTGAAATAACCTCAAAACGTGATGTCGAAAATAACGCACATGTATCGTCCAGATCCAACGTTTTAAATAAAATAATTCCTAACCCTGCTAGGAACGTTAAATACCCTGTCACCCGGTTTTTTACACAAACCCTGGTTGTAGGCATAAGTCTTGCAATAGATAGCATGTGATGGTCTTTTGATTTCTTATTTTTTAGGTTTTACTGACGAAATAAAACAATGAAATGGGCTGTAGGATGAAGAAAACAAAACGTCCTGTCAAAATATGTAGGCCACGTGCAGTTAGTGTAAACATAAACAAATAAATTATAAATGTAGGTCAGATCATTGCAAACCCGGAAGTCACATTTCTACAACCTATTCACAGAAAACATTGCTACTAGAATCAATGTAATACTTACCTAGATGTTCCTTAAATAATCAAGATTCCGTAGACGTAATTCTATGTTTCAACGCAACGTATTCGAAAGTATAACTGTGAAAGTATAACTGAATACATTTCATATTTTCCATATCTATATACCCACCTTTCTAAAAATAGCAGCCAATCAGATTTCGAGTTATAAATAGACATTCATTTTTCCTAATAAACACATCGAAATATTCACCAATCGATAAATACTATCATGTATTATTATAAGAATAAATTATTGTTACTTGATAAACGATATAAAGATTATCTAAAGATTATATAAATATGCATATCACTCTAATATTCACTCCGTATTCATTCTGCCAAAATCAAAAACATGTGAAAGTTCAAAACATTGTTTACATTTCCATTGAAGCCGGACTACAAATCAAATAAGATGGCTAAGTACTGCTTACAGTATTGGGAGGTATTTGTTTTTCTAGTTGTGTAGTCTCGTAGATTAAAACGAATTCAATTGATAAATATGTCACCATAAATAAATCCTATTCCTAGGATACAAGTTGATGGGGAGGGGGGGGGGCATAGATTGTGGGAATTCCTACTACATAATCTTAACTGATTATATTCTCCCGTGGGGGTACATTCTTCTAGCCCTATAGTAAAGCAGTGGAGTAGCTAGGATTTCACTGGGGGGTGCAGTAATGCAAATTTTCTTTCAAAAAATGTCATTGCTTACTGCTTACACAGCCCATTTCACACCCATTTCACTGTTTTATTGCATCAGTAGAAGCCCAAAAAACAAGAAATCAGAGGACCATTGTGCAATAATAAATGGAAAAGTATTTTCTTATTGTACATGAATGACAGTTGTATATTTCAGATTATTTAGTTTTTTGTGCAATAAGCCTAGCATTTCAGCCATGTTAATCTTTTTGAAAATAACATGGGCTCTGATAGAGCCCATGAAAATACTATGTCTAATGCCTGAGGGTTGACAGGGCAGTATCTAATTCAATAGAATGAAGTCTGTTACTCCGTTTACTTAGAAATTTTTTTTTGAATAGTTTTAATGTCTCCACCAAAAAGTGGTGACATACAGTGTTATGGTCTCCATTTGTTTGTGATGGTGGTTGGTGGTTGGTGGTTGGCGTCTTTTAACAAATTCTTACAACTTCAATAACTTTACAAATATTGTTTAGACTGACTTCAATTTTTTTCAAAATCATCTAAAAGTTCTCAGTTGTTCAAATCTGAATTTAGATTTGACCTTCAATGAACTTCTCAAAGTCAAAAAAGGTCAAAATGGTGTTTTTTAACTTTCCTAAAATTGACCATTTTTTCAGAATCATTTACAAGTTCTCATAAGTATAAATCTGACTTGTGATTTGACCTTCAATGACTTTCTCAAGGACAAAAAGGTATTTTTCAACTTGCTTCAAATTGACCATTTTTTCAAAATCATCTACAAGTTCTTAAAAGCTCAAATCTGACTTCATATTTGAGATTTGACCTTCAATGACCTTCTATAGGTCAAAAAAGGTAAAAAGGTCTTCATGCAATCTCAAATCTGACTTTAGATTTGAGATTTGACCTTCAATGACCTCCAATGACCTCCTCAAGGTAAAAAAGGTCTTCTTTCAACTTGCTTCAAATTGACCAATTTTTTCAAAATCATCTACAAATTCTTAGAAGTTCAAATCTGACTTTAGATTTGAGAATTCAATGACCTCCTAAGGTCAAAAAATTTTAAAATGGTCTTTTTTTAACTTGCTTCAAATTGACCAATTATTTTTAAAATCATCTACTAGTTCACGGAAGTTCAGATCTGACTTAAGATTTGACCTTCAATGACCTTCGCAAGGTCAAAAATGGTCAAAAAGGTATTTTTTCAACTTGATTCAAATTGACCAATTTTTCAAAATCATCTATAAGTTCTCGGAAATTCAAACCTGATTTTTAGTTTTAAGACTTGACCTTCTCAAGGTGAAAACGTCCAAAAGTCTTTTTTCAACTTGCGTCATATTGACCAGTTTTTTTCATAATGCCTTGTTTTCTCATGCCAGGGGCTTTGATCAGAGAGATATTATATGTTTATCAAACTTTCATATTTTTGGTGATTTGTCAGAAAATTATTTTTTTAACATTTCTTGGCGATTTTCCAATAATTTACAAATCTCTTCAAAGTAAGGCTATATTAAACTCAAATTGAAGGGATTTTGGAGTAGATCACAATTATGGTATCTTTTCTGATTCGTGCCTCAGGAAATTCAAGATGGTCACCAAATTTGTTATTCTGCCAATGTCTGTCTTTTATTATCTTATAACTAAAGGTAGAGTATAATGTATGGTAAATAGAGGCCTGTCAACCTGGGAACATCTAAAATGATTGACTTACAAATGTTGAACATCTTCCTTCAAATTGTGAATACCTTGGGGTTGGAAATAGGAAAATTTGAAGTAAATGCGTCTCATATACGCGCTTTGCGTGAAAATTGTGAACGTAGAAACATTTATTTTGATGTTCATCTCCTGAAATATCTTTGCTTTACAATAATCAGAAAAATGCAGATATGAGTGACATATTCTGTCACGCCAAAAAAAAATGGGAGTGACATCGATTTCTTCAGCAAATACGCAAATTGTGGGACAGTTGAACGGCCTATAAATATTACATTGTGACATATTTAGAATAGATTGCAAATTTTGTATCATTTTTCTGGCCTAAGAAAATTCAAAATGGCTGCCTAATGTGGGATCCCAACTATGTCATTGTTTTCTGTTGTAAAGGATGTATTGCGAATTGCACTGGATATTTCACCAAGGAAATTTTTATTCATTTACATAGATCTTCTCCAAAATTGAAATGCATTTGAGTATTTTATTTCATCGATGAGACCATTCTCAACTTTTTTTATAATATTTGCATTTACATGTACTCCAATTCTCCCATTTCAGACTATAAAAGAATTATTCCACACCAACACAGAATATTCAGATCAAGTGATTGGGATTGAGAAGGTGATCAGGGATCTGGTTGACAAGAGAGAATTGCTGCAAGAAGAAGGTGCAGATCCTGAAGCTGTTGAATGGATAGTACATTGCTGTTATACGTGAGTATATATAAGGGTTATGTACTGGGAGGTTTTGGATATTGGGCTTTATCCAGAGGGAGATATGCATATCTACCTGAGGGACCGAAGGTAGATGTGGATATCTCACGAGGGATGAACCCAATATCCAAACCGACCGTACATAACTGCTTTATCCTATACCAAGTAGAGTTTTCAGTGAAATTACCGGAAGCAGGAATATATGCACCGAAACGGGAAGATATGCACTGAAGCGGGAGAATTGGCGGGAGATATGGAGGTTCTGGATATGGAAACCTCAAAATCAGGATACGGGATTCTTACCAACTTATCTCCCTTAAACTCAACTTGGCATAGGATAAAAGTTGTTATGTGAATTATATTGCTGTTATATACGTGTACCAGCACATTGATGTTAAATGTGAGCATATCCTATTATATATAAGTATACTGCTGTTTTATGAGTTTATTGCTGTTAAATGTTAGTATATTGATATCCCCCCCCCGAGTGATGCAGAGATTGGTAAGAGATAAAGCTCTCTTAAAAAAGAGGATAAGTATTAAATAAAATAAAAAATAAATAAAAAGCTATGTAAACATACTACATGTACTGTTATATATGATCATTGCTGTTATATTGAATGAATATATTGCTGTTATATGTAAGCATACCCCTCGGTTAATATGATATATATTGACCCTCAGTATAACACCCATGAACCTTTATTTATTCCTCAATTAATACAATTTTTCTTCCAAAATAATTGAGCTGTAGTCTGTTGGAAAAATATTGCATTGAATCGTATCCACTCCCTTGGTTTAAGTTAATTCAATTTCATTATATATGATGACTTTGCTTTATTACATTGTACATGGATTACATTCCAGATATTGGGCACGTTTAGTGCTAGACAAGAGATGGTTAGATGTGGATGATGATACCAAGTGCCGCCTCATGGCTATGCTAGCTGTATCCTCCAAAAGACTCCCTAGTAATGAATCAATCTGGCTTGCTAGAGCATCCATACTGGCATGTAATCCATGGGGGGAACCTACCCTTCAACAGATGATGATGTTGGACCAAAAACAAGTTGACCTGCAGAAAGGTGAATATCATTGCTTAAAGCAGATATGAAATGGTATTTTTAACCGCTAAAGGAATCAATATAATTTTTGATAAATGTATTTGGACATGTTTTCTCATCAGTAGTGTGAAAATTATTTCACTCTAACGATCGTTATAGCTGCTTAATAAGCAATATTCAAATTGGTTGTGACGTTATTGGCCCCCACGTGATCTCTCACTGGTCCCCACGTGGCCCGCTTTGGTGCATTAGATCATGACGTCATAATGCCAAAATGTTTTGTTATTTGTTTACAAAACAATCATATGGTTGCCGTGATGTTGTGATTACTAAGGAACCAATAAACCAAAGCTATTTTGTTACTAATCACGTGGGGGCCAATTTGATTCATCAGTTAGTTTTATTTGGTTATCTATGACCGTTTGCAGTTATCTAACATTTATTTTATAATCATATGGCTATCGCAATAACTCTACATTGGGCTTACAATGGAGAAAACCGCATTTTTGCAGCTGCAAGTTGAGAAAAGCTATTTCAGTTGTCCTTTAAGGTTTTCAAAATATCTATCAACCTACCTGTTTTGGGCAAAATTTTGATTTTCTGACAAAGAATATTGAATTAAATTGGTTTAAAAGGATCATGGAAAAACGACCACTTTTTGTGCTGCAAAATACCACTTCCAAAAACTATCCAAACTGTAAAACTACTATTCCTTCTGTTAAACCTATATTTACTACTGTAAAAACTACCTGATTGCTCTAAGGAAATTACATTCTGAAATTTTTCACAAGTCTAAATATCTGAGAAAGGTTAGAATCGAGTATGATTTTTAAAAGAAAGATATGACAAGGAATGATACGAGTCCAAAATGGATATTATTGTAACAATCTTTGGGAAGTTTGTTCCACCAATTCTGATTCTCACTTTTATCAACTAGTATAAAAGAATTAAGGATTTTTAAAACCATATTTCTTGATGTAATTTTATATTTAGATTTCAAATATGATATCACCTTGAATAAATTTTGATATCAAATTTCGGTGATAACAAATTTACAATGGATTTATGAATTATCATTGCTTTGAATGTTACACAAATGCGCTCCACTTTGATTTCTAACCACATTGAATATATGTTCCAGCAATACAATATATTGCAGAGTCTGATGATTACATACTAAAGATAAGAGTTGAAATATTGATTTTCGATGGCTGCTACAAATATGCTTGGAATCTTGTGAACTGGCTGATGAAACTTTACAAGTTCAAGTCCAGCGATTATTTCCAGAAAATCCACTCTCTGCTTTACCTACGTCTGTGTGATGATGAGAAAATTGAACAGTTTGTAAGTTGCACATTTCTGTTGATAAGCTCCATGCAGTTATTGAAGAGCATGAATGGCAAACACATAAACAAATACCATGTATATATCTGAACAAAGTTTGAATAGAAATATAAAGGAGCCATCAAATCAATTCATCCATCTGTCTGTCCATCCATTCATCAATTAATCCATCTAACTCAATTTGGTTCTAGCCCACTGCTCAAGAATGAATTTCAAATATGGCTGATCAATTCAAGATGGCCACAATTTTTCATTAAAAAATGAAAAGGTTAATTATTAATAATATATTGAGCAGGATAATTGAGTTGCTATGGTATTAACCAATATCTAGTTTTGCATGACCATGAATTGTATTCTTTTCCTCTTAGACTACCTGTAATAAAGAAGACAAAGATACACCTGGGAGTCATGCATCATCTACCTGCATATATACACCAGGATTAATCAAACCTCCAACATTTATATACAAACCAGAAACAACAGCATCTACATCAAGTGTGAATGACCTCAATATTGATAAAGAGATTTGCAATAGCCTAACAGACTGGAAGGAGGATGTTGATAGTAGTGGCTTGGATCATATGTTTGCTGACATATCTATCTCACCTGCAGATCTTGAAGTAGAGTCTTCAACCAATGCAGAATCCTCAATTCAAAATTCTATAATTGAGTCGAATAATGTGAAAAATCATAGCATTATAGTTGATTCTCTCCAACCTAAGTACAAAGACAGGATAACTGATGACAGCCTTCACTCTGAAGATGTTAATGCTGAACCCACATTGACAAAAGAGGAACAACTACCAACAAAAGATAGTAACACTAGCTGTTCTGATGAGCACCTCTCTGCAGAAAGCACTCCTAATGATTCTTATAGAGATCTTAGAATGATGGATTCTGGTATTTATTCAGACAAAGAAACTACACAAATAGACAGTGACGTTGACCACCATGATGAACATATTACACTTCCACTAGAAGAATGTGAAATGATTGATGGTTCAGGCAACATTGATGATCAACTTCCACAGACTACAGGAATAAAGAATGTTACCTCACATGTGGAGGAATGTTATGAAAATAAACCTTCAAGTAACTCAAAAGACAACATAGCTCTGATATGTCCAATCATGAAGGATAATGGAGTAAACACTGGGGAATCATACACAGTTTCTAATATTTGTTCAATTAGTGATGGGAGGACTATGAATACCCATTCTGATGCTTTTGATATAATAGACCATACTACCGAAACTTTTAAAGGTGAAGTCGCCAACTCAAACATGATTGAGGTATCAACTCGTGGGGAAAATCTGCCAATCACGTCTTTCGATGAACAACCCCAGAGTGTGCAATCACCAGATATCCCATGTATGACAGGAATAACAGATGACAAAAGAAGCAAATCCCCAAAGAATGATGAGGTTAATTTGGATAGGTCTATAACAGCTGTCAAAAGTGGCTCTTTAATGAACCATGTAACAGACGATAAAACTGGATTTTTAATGAGTGATGATGCTGAAGTATATCAAAATAGAATAGGGAGAAAAACTGACCCTCCAGGGAATGATGCTAATAAAACTACATCTCCAATGAATGATGTTTCTGATGTAGATGTAAATGTAGATGCAACAGCTGAGAAACCTGGATCTTCAATGAATGCTGTTTCCATTCTTGATCTTGACGTAACAGCTGACAAAACTGGATCTTCGATGAATGATGTTTCCAATGTAGATGCAATTATAACAGCTGACAAAACTGGATCTTCGATGAATGATGTTTCCCATGTAGATCTGGATGTAACATCTGACAAAACTGGATCTTCAATGAATGATGTTTCCAATGTACATATAACAGCTGTCAAAACTGGATCTTCGTTGAATGATGTTTCCAATGTAGATGTAGATATAACAGCTGACAAAACTGGATCTTCGATGAATGATGTTTCCAATGTAGATCTGGATGTAACATCTGAAAAAACTGGATCTTCAATGAATGATGTTTCCAATGTAGATCTGGATGTAACAGCTGACAAAACTGGATCTTCGATGAATGATGTTTCCAATGTAGATCTGGATGTAACAGCTGACAAAACTGGATCTTCGATGAATGATGTTTCCAATGTAGATGTAACAGCTGACAAAACTGGATCTTCGATGAATGATGTTTCCAATGTACATATAACAGCTGACAAAACTGGATCTTCGATGAATGATGTTTCCAATGTAGATCTGGATGTAACAGCCGACAAAACTGGATCTTCGATGAATGATGCTTCCAATGTAGATCTAGTTGTATCAGGAGATGAAACTTGCTATGCAATGTATAATGTTGCTGAAGCTGGTCAAAATATAGCGAAGAAAAATACCTGCTCAACAATTAATGATGCAAATGTAGATATTACAAATGGCAAGACTTGCTCTCCGATGAATGAGGATGCTGATGTAGATCTAGATAAAACTGATGGTAAAACTGACTTTCTCATGAAAAATAATGATGTAAATCTTACAAAAGATGAAATTGACTCTGAACTTCTAGAGAATGATAATGATGAAGCTGAACAAAGTCTCGATCCTATGAATGATGAAACTGACCCACTGCTCCCTTCATCGAGAAATAATACTGATTCAAACCCAGATGACTTGGAAGTAGAGTCACTTATGTTAAAAGGTCAAGAATCAGTTGATTCTAGTTGTAAATCTGTTGATCTTGAATGTAAGGAAGTTGTGAATTGGAATGATGGGGAGATCAGTTTCAAGGGAATCCTTCCTGAAGATGCAGATTCCTATTCCACCAATGTTAACCTGGATGGCACATGCCGTCCATCTGAGTCCTTTGACTTAAGAATGACTGCTCTAAAAGATGGATATAGTGAAAAAAATATTGAGGTTACTGAAATTGAAACTGAGCCACCGAGTGTGAGAAATACATTTGCAATGTTTGGGAAACAGTGTATACCAAATGAGATTTCAAAAGATCGGGAATCGGGGCAGAAAACTAGTTCTAAAGAAGCAGTAACTTCCATAGTTGATCACAAGGATATGAACAACAACACAATAGAACATGAATTTATTCCTCAAAAAGAAACAAAATCGACAACAATAACTGAGAACATTGATTCTAGCACAGCGAGCAAAACATTTCAACCAGCCATCAGAAGTGATATTGAAAGTGTAATATCATCTGGGAAAAGAGACATATATACTGATGGAGAAGCAAATGTAAAAAGTATGAGAGATGAGCATTCATCTATAAACAGCATGAAAGATCATGGACTCTCTTGTTCCCAGAAACTTCCAATTGAAGTAAAGATGAATCCAGATCGCTCGATTACTAGGACGATTTTGACATCCGATATAAAAAACAACAGACTACCAATGGTAAGTGACAGCAGGGATGATGTCATTATGAAAGATGCCTATTCAAATGTGAATGCTAAATCACATATACAATTTGAAGATAACAGCACAACATTACCAGAAGGTCTAAGTCAAAATACTCAAGCTGAAAAACATATCGCTGGAGTTGATACTGAGATAAATAATGTTGGTTCAGAAAATATAAGTCCTCTCTCATTCCAAGATACACTTCCCTATGACACGGATCATTCCAGATCATCAAGCCGGATTTCTAGTTTCAGTCTAGGAATAGAGCCTGTTGATGAATTGGAAATATCTTCCCTTACAAAGGTGGAAACCATAGATTCTCTGCCAGCAACACAATTCTGTAAACCCCTTACACCTTTAGAAACAAAAATACCAGATCACATATGTGATTGGGTTATTGAACATAGAACTAAGGCTGACCATCCTAAATATGGAGTTGGAATTGAAACTAAATTAAATGATGACCTCATTCAGACAAAACAATCTATAGAAAATCTTGTGTCTCCAAAAACAGAAACTAACGATGAAGATTATATTCAGTCTAGCTCTAGTGGGAAACCATTCCAATACCTAGTGCAACAGAAAAATATCAACAAGCCTATTAAGAAAACAAATGTTATTAAATCAAACCAGTATTCAAGTAAGACTTTATCACATAAGAAGCCCAAGTGCAAATGTCAGTACTGTAACAAGTGGATGCCTTCCGAATGTATACTAAAACATGAAGGACTTTGTATAATGAGACCTGATCACTCAAGTGAGACAATTGTATATAATGATCTCATTTTGTTGGACACTATGTCTGATGATTCTGAAATCAAAACAAGTTATCAGGAAACTACAGAAAATAAAGGCATTCCTGTTTCAAAATCGGCTGATACTCAACTATCCTTAAATGTCACTCCAGGTATAACAGACACCATGCCATATAGATCGAGAGCATCTGCAACAGCTACACTTGAACCTCAAATTGAAAGTACTTGTGAGAAGAACCCAGATCCACCAACTGCTTCTCCAGACATGGAAAAACCTGCAGACTTCAAACATGCTCATTTAGAATATGATAATGATATATCTGAACAGAAGAATGAATGTCAACACTATTCAGAAGCACTGTCATCGCCATATGGATCTAAAATTGTACATGCCATTGCTGAAGTTGAGAAAAACAACAGAACCATTTCAACATCCATTGATGAGCCTGATTTGAAACATGTGAATAACATACATGGTTCATTAACTGGAAATATTCAACAAAAAACCATGAAAGAAAAATGGAAAGCTTCATTTAAAGACCTCAAAAAGAAATCATATACATCAAAAGGAATTAAAACCGTCAAAGCTACCGAAGATAAGAGCTCTATCTCAAGAGAAGTTAGCTGCAATTATTGTCGCAAAAAGTATGCCAAGTCAATCATTCAAAGACATGAAGGCTATTGTAGAAATGCTGCAAAGACATATTCTTTCAAATTCAGCAAAAGGAGTCAATTATCAGAAGCAAAGTACAAAAGAATGAGCTCTTATACATTGTTTGAACAAAGGCTGAAGCAAACATCTACAACCAGGTCCAGGAAATTCAATGTGCAAAATCAAGACAAAGCTATGAAGAAGTACGAAGATGTGGTCGCACAGAGCCATTTCATGGAGACATCACATGGTGATCCTACTCAGCAGTCCATTGAAATGAAAGGGCATGCTGAAATTGATACAACTAAGAAAACTGTTAATAAGTGCTGGAAATGCAGAAGGAAATTCTCTGCCCTTGCTGGTTTGAAAATACACTTAAAATGTGGAACTTGCACTGAAAGTAAAAAATGTGAAAATCTACAAATTGACAGCAATACTAAAGGAGATGCTCGCGTTACAAAAGCCAACACTGTCAGCTCTGAAAAGCAGTGCTCTAGATGTCAAAAGAAATTCTGCTCAATATCCAATGCAAAACGCCACATGCGTAATAGATCTTGTGATAAACAAAAATCAAAACTTACGCTAAAACTACTGAGTGGTGAAACTTGTCAAATATTGACTGATGATGAAATAACATCAATGTGTCAGAATGAAGAAGATCCAGGAAATGAAAACTTAGGAGTTGCTGCTAAACAGGAGGGCAATACCCACAGTACACCAATGCAGAGCCTGATTAATGATACAGAACATACAGAACATGATGAAGTCGCAGATCAACCTGCGGTGTCAACACTATTGGTATGTTCTAATATTTTTGTCAGTATTAACATAACTGTAACATTTACTTTTATATAACTGCAACATTTACTTGTCTGTAATATATCATATAAAAATAGGAAAAAATATTCACTGATATTCTAAAATTGAGAACTGTTTTTTATACCACCACAAGTGGTGACATAAGCTCTTTTGTGGATGGTGTTAGGCAGTTGGTTTTCAGCATTCAGTGGTTGGTGTTTGGCAGTGGTTGGTGTTTGGCAGTTGGTGACTGTAACAAATGGCATATGGTGACATTTTGCTTGTATAACTGATTGTTTTGTCACTATCTAGAAGTATGGTGGCATTTTGTCATGTTTATTGTGGGTTACATTATATCGTAGGAACCAGACAGCGGTGAGAAAAAATGGAGAAGTTCTCAACTGAACAGGAAACAAAGGCACAATGATTCTTCCAGAAGATTGGTTAGTAGATTTCATTTAAGACTGGTATCTAGTCTATCATTGTCTATAGAGAATATTACTACATGTACAGACGGACTAATTTTTTCGATACATGTGTTTAATGCAAATAACATAAGAACTGATTCGTATGTTAGTTTTGACCAATAGGCAACTCCATGTAATTCCTTAGCAACCTACGTATATGTACATTGGGCTGCACTGTTATTATATATAGCATATTAAATATGTTACAAGTTGCAAATAAGTTCGCAATTAAATGGGGGTTTAGATTTAGTGAGAAAAAATCCAGTATTATGGTCGTAGGTAAGAAAATTGATAAACTTAAACTTTGGTCTTTGGGAGATCTAAAATTAAATGAGGTTCAAACATATAAATACCTAGGAATTTTTATTGATAGGTCCTTAAAAGATTCTTGTCACATCATTGACAAACTTGCGCCAAACGCGGTCAAGATGAAAAACCATAGTTCATATACCCTTAGTAAACATCTCAATGCTAAGAGGATTGATTTTGGGAACACGTTATATACAAGTAAATTTCTACCAAGCATCTTACATGGGTGTGGTGTATGGGTTACAGATACAAAAGTGATCAGAAATAAACTTCAGTCGATGCAATATAACGCAGCGCGAGCAATTTTCAATATCAAAAGCACTCCGGCATATATTGGCGCTATAAACGAGCTAGGATGGACTCCTATACATTTTATTGTGCTGAAACGACAAGTTGAATACTTTTTTCATCTTTTAGGCAAAAGTGAGAATTCTCTTATAAGCAACCTCATTGCAGCTTTGTCACATAGACTTAAAAATAATAAAACCAATAGCTGGAAATACATTGAACAAATGGATGACATTCTGTCCTCCATCGGTTTCGATGGCATAAGTCATGATTCTGATGAAATGATTAATGAATACGATAACAGGATAAGGGAAGAATGTAAATCTTATACTAAGAATGAAATTGATCAAAAATCATCCTTATCCTTTTATAGTACACTTTCCACCAGAAAAGGACTTCAAAACTACTTTAGAAATGACTATGACTTTCAGGGCGCAAGGATAAAGTTCCTTGTGAGATTAGGAAAGTTCCAATTAAAAAGTGAAACATGTAGATGGAAAAATAAACTTTCGGACCCCAATTGCAATTTTTGTACAAATATGATTGAAACGGTAGAACATAGACTTCTACTCTGTCCCCACTATAATGACCATCGTAATGTGTTCTTCAAAACAATTGAAAGCAAAATTCCATCTGCCCTGAGTGAAACATTCTTCGCGTCTTCACCTGAATATAAACTTCAATGGATTCTAGGTGATGAGGCTTTTAGACTTGGGGGACAAGATTTAGGTTCAACATTTGACACAGTATCTAAAATGTTTTTACTTAAGATGTATTAGTTATTTAGTATTTGAGTCGGATAGGAAACCTATTTTAACCATTAAAGTTTTAGTGCAACCTTAAAGATTCTTTAGACTCAGTTTTAGATATATTATGTTTTATTGTAAAGACGCACCTTTGAAAGTGTGCCGCTGATACAAAAGCGTAGTTCTGAATAAATAAATAAATAAAAAATAAATAAATATAAGTTGATATATAATACTTTCTTTGGAGTCATTTTGTAATTGAGTTTCCTCCTCTGCTTTATTATTTGTGTTCTTCAATTGGTGGATTATTGACTGCTTCTACATCTGGCAAACCATTTGAAGTGTCAAGTGTAGAAAATATACACTGATACACAACCATCCAAGATCCTTTACATTTTCTCTTTTGTAGGAATCCAATGTGCCTGAACATAAAGAGCATAGATATGAACAATGTGTTGATGTAGGCTGTACTGCTTATACAAATGAATCAACTTCTATCAGTGGCCAGCTGCCTGCATCCTCCTCAGTATCAGAGGTAACCCTTGTATTTGTTTTGAAAATTAACAACAAAGGCATTGTATAATTTCACTAGAGTAAAAATCTTACACAATTTCAAAAAATTCAAAATTTTAAAATTCTTGTTACCGATCACTTTTATAGTTTCATTAATTTGCTGGTCTCACTGCTCTATCTTCCAAATCATATTGTAGAAAGTATGTTGTAGGGTATTCAGTACAGAGTACCCCCATAAATGTGAGGTTGATTTTCCAAATCACCACTGCAACTAATTGTGTATTGAAACCAGAAAATAAGGTGGGTTATTAGAAAATTCAGCTTTGTTTCAACTACTGACAATGTTTTTCAACCGCAAGATTTCAATATGATTTGAAAAATCAACCCATCATTTATGGCAGTAGTATGGGGGGGGCTGAGCTTGATGCTACAACTATGGTGATACTGTAATCATTCTGGGCAACATAAGGCACTGCGAGTCGAAGAAAATCAATGAATGTTTAAAACAAGACAAAGGGTGTTGTATTTTTCTGCAGGAATCTGAGTCTGATGTGATTCCCCTCCAGACACTTTCCCAAAGACTACGCAAGAGTACGAACAAGGGAAGAAGAATATCTGTTGATGAAGCTATAGCACAATCCTGTGAACAGTGTACAACTGATGGAACTGCTCAGGTCCGTGTTATGTTTGTTCCAAGCTAGTCAACCTCAAATATAAATTAATTCAAAATTTTGATTGTTAACTTTGAAATCAATTGCCTATTAGCTGTTAACAATCCAGTTTACCCAATCCAACTCTGTATTAATTCAATTCAAGATATGCCATGAAATATGACCATGGAATGGTGTTTTCTGGATAGAATATGATTTCAGGATGCCGCAGATACACCAGAGGTACCACTAGTGAAGCGCTTACGCAAGCGTACCAACAGTGCTTCGAAAAGCACAACACAATAGACAGACTATGAAAACATTGGAACTTGGCGATGAAGTAGAAGACTGCACGTTTGATAGAATTCTAACGCTCTCCAGATAATATAGGGATCCGAATGGGCAAACTGACTTTGTAACTGTTTTTGTATATGAACATAAACAGCCTACGAAACATGATGAAAATGATCCCTAAGTGAATCAAATATGGAAGGACAAAACTCAAATCTTATTGTACCATGCAGACCCATATTCCATGGGAATATAACATGACTATAAAGAGGGAGATTGGAATATGCCTCTATGGAAGCGCATGATTTAAATAAGGAGAGCATGAAAAAGCATGATATTATTAAAAGCCTGATTTTAAAGCATGTTCGCCTTTATAAGAGTGAATGAATCTTGTATATGTATGTAGATCTGGGGTATGTTTTTAGGAATGAAGCACAAGGATGATATAAATCCTTTCTTTTTCATTTATAAAGGGCATTTTGATATTTTGTGAAAAAAGCATGCTATTGTGTATTGAGCTTTTGCTAGATCAAAATTCAATATGTTATATGAAAAAGAATATTTAAAAAATACCTGTTTTTGACAAAAAATGGTTAAAAGAGTGAATTTTTTTATTAAATTAATCTTTATGAAACATTGTTAAGCTAATGCACATGTTTTGCAGAAAACTGCACATGAACATGTGGAGTTATGGAACAAAGTTGTTACAAGGAACTAATTGAGAGGGGGGCAGTTAACTCTGTGTATCATAGAATTACACATTCAGATACAAGTTTAAAAACATGTGGCTTAACCTCCCTAATGTTGAGACAGTGACAGTGCTCCTGTAAATATTCTTGCCATGCAAAGCATTATTATTGTTATTGAGGACACTTTTTGGTTGGATTGGATTTATTTTCAAGTTAATGGACCCCATTTAAGCCATTGTTTTGTGAAGGGAACTTTTGGCGAAAATGAGTTATTTGTGCATTATTTTTTTGGGATCATCGCAACCCCATTCCCCATGAGTGTGAATGGTGCAATCAGGAATCAAGCATTATTACATGTCAAATATATACATGTGTTTGCAATCATGTAGAGTAATTTTGGTAAGCTAGATTGTTGGTGCTATCTAATATAAATGTACATGTACATATAGCTTGATTATAGCCAAATGATTTTTTTTTTATATTGTGTGTTTGCATTGTTTTCTAAATATCTTATTTTTTGATTGTGTAATTGAACATGCTTGACCAAATGTTTTACAAACTGTAATTGCTTGAAATAATTAGTTTTATATATTAGATTAATAATTTAAAATGATAAGTCTCTTAATAGCAATGAAAATGTCCACCAAATAGAGTGTGACTGCACAATGTACACTTATATGTATATCTGATCAGGTTGTTGTTCAAAGTTCACGATTCAGTATGTCACCTCTATATGTCACTTTGTCTAATTGTATTGTTTAGTATATTTTTGAAAGTGCCTTATTAACATCTAACGGTGATCCGATAAACCATTAATAAGGAACAGACAAAGAAACAATTAACAATCATTACTAATGAGCCAAACGGGTTGCTCATGAACACCAAAGGCAAGGTATAGTAGAGTGAAAATATCTCAACATATAAAGTAAAACCTGTATAAGTGAAACATCTTTGGTACATGTGCCTATGAAAAGTGCTCCACTTGGGAGGTGCTACCTTAAGCCTTGCCACAAGAATTCAAGCAAAATATCAAATGATTTGCTTCATTGGAAGTCCCTCCCCAGTGTGAGAAAGTACCAATGGTAGTGTTTTTCACCCCAAGTGGTGACATATTGTTATAGTCTCCTATTTTATTTGTGGACCGTGTTCTGCAAATGGTGTTCTCTGTTTAACTGTGGGTGTTTGGCATTCTTCGGTCAGCATCTGTAACGAATGGCAGGCGGTGACATTTTGCATGTCAATGCCTTGTTTATAAGTAAAGCTAGGCCCAGTGGGATGGCGTTAAGCATTGTCTCACCTGAACAAACTCAGGTTATAGTTATTTAGAATGCTCAATTTAAGAATATTATTTTGTACTTGTAAAGTTATATATTACATTGTAATTCATGTAGATTTCAAATTTGATGCCGTTGTGATATAGCCTTTATATATGTAACCTTATCCAGTGTAATTTGTTGATCTCATTGTAAGGTCTAGTCAAAAGAAGTTCTGATCATACCACAGGTTTTTGCCATGTTGGCAGTTATTAAGTCATAATCTTTTGGGACAACTCTCGAACTAGAGACCGTGCCATGTTTAAAATGGTGCATTGGGCAGTGATGTCTATTAATCTGACCAAAATGACTTCATACTTTTAAAACCATGCATTGCAGAAATATGTATATACATGTAAGCTCTTACCTCATTAGGTTTTTATGTCACCACCAGAAATGGTGACATATTCATAGTCTTTTGTGGCTGGTATTTGGTGTCTGTAACAAATGGCAGGTGGTGACATTTTGCATGTTAATGCCTCATTGAATTCCACTGTCTGTCATGTAACTTCAAAGAGCAATTGTTGTGAAAAATAACATAATAGAAATACAATTTGATTGTGATAGGTACACAAATATTTTTATTGTACCTGTCACAATTAAATTGTATGTCTGCCATGTTATTTTTCACCAATTGCTCTTTGTTGAAGTTATGTGACAGACAGTGCTATGGTCTCCAACATTTTTATGTGTTCAGTGGTTGACATTTGCCAATTGGTGTTTTGACATCCAACATCTTGTAACTAATTCAATCATGTTTCATCAAAACATTAATTATTGGAAAATATTAAAACCTTTGGAGTGAGAGCCATCTATTTAACAATTTCAAAACTTATATTTTGTTGGCCAGATTAAAAGGCATCAAATCCCGACATATGGGAATTTATTGTACTGAAAGAAGCTCTTTCCCACACAAATCACATGTGTATAGTTTGTACAAGGTAACCCAAAACAACAACCATAATGTCATACTTTGAAGAGATCTGAAATTTAATGTTAAATGGAAAAATACAATTTTTGGTGTTTCTATTCTTTTTGGGTCAGAAACAATTTTTGGTGTTTCTATTCTTTTTGGGTCACCTTGTATTTATCTTATTTCCACCAGTGCCTGTTTTCAACTTAGCCAAGTGAGAATAACTTCAACTATTGTAATTAAGGTTAATTGTGTTTGAACAATATAGGATATTTTGTAGTTATTAATTTATTTATAATTTGTAAACAATCATACATAAATTATTTTTGTACCACAGATTAATAATTTTGTAAGCATTATATAGTACTAGTTAAGTTATTTGTTGAAAATAAACTGTTGTTTTTTCTAAAAAAACATTTTTTTGTTGAAATATCATTTTTAGTGCTTTGACTACATTACAAAAGTATGCTTGACTTTTGGAACATCCATATACTTCATTTACCTAGCATCTGCAATGGACAGACTCAAATATATTTGGAGAGAAACTAACCAACGTTAGATGCCAGTGTCACCTACTTTCATAAAAATGGAATGGTATGTTTTGTCCAATCTCATATGTAGCCAACCTTTGTATATGTCACTATGATAATATTATGTTGTAGTGGCATTACAATTTTGGAATAAAAAGAAGACATCCCTTTTCAATGAGCCGAGACATTTGAATTTGAATTTTTTTTTAAACTGAAGTACATAAATGTTCAAATTCACAAGAGTTGAAAGTGTTGAAAAGGTTTTTATGTCACCACCAAAAGGTGGTGACATTGTTATGGTCTCCGTTTTTTTTCATGGCGATCGGTGGTTGGCAATTGGCGGTTGACGATCAGTGTCTGTAATAAATTCCAATTACAACTTCCAATAACTTAACAAATACTGTTTAGACTGACTTCAATTTTTTTCAAAATCATCTACTTGTCTCCAGAAGTTCAAATCTGACTTTATACTTAAGATTTGATCTTAATGACCTTTTCAAGGTCAAAAAAGGTCTTTTTTCAACTTCCTTCAAATTAACCTTTTTTTCAAAATCATCTACAAGTTATCAGAAGTTCAAATCAGACTTTAGATTTGAGATTTGACCTTCAACGACCTTCTCAAGGTCAAAAAAGGTCAAAAAGGTCTTTTTTCAACTTGCTTCAACTGACCAATTTTTTTTCAAAATCATCTACAAGTTCTCAGAAGTTCAAATCTGACTTTAGATTTGAGATTCCACCTTCAATGACCTTCTCAGGGTCAAAAAAGGTCATTTTACAACTTGCTTCAAATTGAGTAATTTATTTTTTCAAAATCATCTACAAGAATTCTAAGAAATTCAAATCTGACTAAGATTAAACTCATAATATTGTGAGCAACAAGGTGGTGACATTTTGTCATGTTAACGCCTTGTTTCAAAATTGTTGCCATTAAAAATAAACTTAGTGAATACCATGGATTACACTGTTGGATTTTTAGAAAAACATGCAAAATATATAACTAGAAAAGGTAAGAGGCTAATTATATAGAATGTTACATTTATCTATGTTACATTTATTTATTCTTACTCTTTAACAAGTAATCCCACAAAAATATTTGGTTAAAGAGGAGAGAAACCCCCATGCGTCAATTGATGACATATGATTTCCTCCTTCGCGTACCTCCTTTCATGGAAGTTCTTACCTTCCATCTTGGTTTTCGAAGTTTTCAAATTGACCTAGTTTTAAACCAATCAAGGACTGACTCGCTAAACCAATCAGCGACGATGTCATCTCAATACAGATTTACATTATAAGCGTATGTCATCTTTCCAACCCTGGGGTTTCTCCCCCTCTTGTTGAAATACATTGAAATGAATGATCCAATGACAGAAAGCACCATCCACATTTGAATGATTTAACAGATTACATTAAAAATCAGGATTGTTGTCAAATAAAGTAAATTATTTAGTTGGATCAATCTAAGAGAATGAAATTACCCAGGATTCAAAGATACATGACAATGAATCCTGGGTTATTCCCCCTCCTGTATGATATTTAATTTTACGACAATGCATTGAATAATATTGCTTTAAATAGATAAAGTAATGAAGGTAAAATCTGTGAGCATAATTCATGATACGAGTCTCTTTTCTTATTTCTTCAAAAGATCAATAAATAACAAGAGAAATGTTGTCATTCAATGTCGTGAATGGGGGTGTGTCCCCATAAAGTAGTCGTTTACCAGCAGATAAAAAATGGCAAAACCGACCAAAATTACTGGTGTAGACATCAAAGATATTCGCTTCCCCACGTCACTGGGAAAACATGGATCGGATGCAATGGTAAGATAAGGTATCATTTTACATTTTGGAGAAACTGTCATCAAAATCGGAGAATGCATTGTTCTTCAATTTAGCAAGGAGGATTGGCTCCCAGAGTGCACCACCGATATTCTGTCCCATATATGGGTATGTCGTAATACAAAATTCGAATTCAAACAGCCGCCATTTTGTTCACTTCAACATTTAAATCGTGAATTTTGGTCTTATTTCCAAACGAAAAATTCCAAAACTCACAAGAAATGATCGAGATATTGGTTCGAATCTTTTGAACTGTTTATTTTGAATTTATAGCAGGGGTGAGTTTTCTTCTGTGTTTAACGTCGCAAACTAGAGCGATTTGGACAATGAGCTTTCGCCCACGATAGTGCCCACCAAGATGTGGCGTGATAACCTCGCGCGTATCAAGATTGATCCATTGGATTTTCGAAAAAAATTGTACTACCCTTGAGAAAATTACTTCTTATTTCATTATTATTGGGAGATATATAGAATGTTATATACGAGCATGGAGCTATTGAAATTGGGTTTCTAAATCATTAACATTCGTAATATAGTATTCAACTATTACACAAATATCATTGTTTAAAGACGAGAAATCAAATTCGCCGACATGTTTGTTTACATTGACAACACTTACTTTAACGATAAATTAGACCCCTTTAACATGAAAAAATAATTTCAATCTTTTTTGATTCAGAAAGCCCACATCATAAGCTTATTTTTTCGCTAAATAATAATAGTATTCGTCTCCTAGTTTTCTTCATCCAGCCAATAACAAAATTATTTTTCGATTTTCCGGCATTTTGTATTGGTCTTTGACGGAGAATTAGAAGTACCTTCTTTAGGTTGAATCGGCCAAAACATACTGTAATACATTGTAAACAATCACAATCGCGATAACATGAATGAAATTCATCATAATATTCAAGGTACACGACGAAAAATATCAATTGCGTACATTATCGGACAGACTTTTCGTTTGCCGTCAGGTTCGTTTTTCACAATAGGGTTGTCCATTGGATGCGTTTTCGTCTAGTGTGTATATGACGTTTTTACCGGGGATAAACAAGGAGTATGAACTAGATGGATCCATTGGTCTCTCCAGTCTTTTGAATGAAAAGTGAAATATCAAAGGATGTAACTTATTACTATTCTGGAAGTATATGCTGATTTTTTCTATATTTAACTGATCCGCCCTTTATTCTCACGTTATCGTATATCCATCTACACTCCACTCCAAGTTTTGCAAACTTCCCTATTAGATTACTCTGGTTGATTTTTAACATAACATGCAATGAACACTTTAAATAAGCAATGCGAACACTTTAAATAAGGGTGCCATTGTTTACTAGCTAAGTCTTCAGTTCAATTTGTGGATATTCTCATACCTCATATGTTATCTTAAGGGATATGTTTCTTGAAAAAGCATAGTTTTGACTTTGGAGACATATAACTTTATAAAACCTGAAAAATTATATCAATTTTTTTAAAAAAATAAAGTTTGTTAAAACATTTTTGGTTTACATCTGGATGACAATTTTTAAAAATGAATTTAATTTGCCATCAATTTGCAATCTTTTGTATATAAAATGAGAAAAAATGAAGTTATACTAGGAAATTATATCAGTTTAGATTTCCAGCCCAAGCAGTTGTTCAAATTAAAGCCAAACTTTTGAAGGGGAGTGTAAGTCTTGGCAGCACTTTGGTTTTGATTATCATCTGATTTTACAAGCTGATTTTACTATCTTGTCAGTTGTCATTGTCACTATATCTCTGTTATAATGATGTAAGTGTAAAAACAATCATTTTACAAGTTTTTAAGGTTAAAGTTCCACTTCTTTATTTTTCTTTATTTTGATTATTCCTCACATAGGTAAAGGTAGAATCAGATCAAGCAACAAACAATCTTTACTTATATTGTTTCAATTCTAGAATATATTTGGGTTGCATATGTATCTCACACTTTATTCAAGGAAAACTAAGATTATTACATACAGAGTGAGCCAAAAAAAGGTAACCCAAACAAATGTATGTAAATAACTCAGTCATTCAGCATGGGTTCAAAATCATATTTGGCACAACTAAACCTTAATCAATGTCATTGGTCTGTCCCTTAGAGTCACGATTTTATGGTCATCTACAAAACATGGTCCAAATGCCGAAATGACTGACTGGACATAAATCCCACCAGCTTTTTATCTTTGGGTCTATTTTTTCTACACTAACAACCCTTGAAACATTGAAACAAGAGATAAGAAGGAAGATGAGAGCCATAACACAAAATGTTTATGCTTGTGTTGTGAACAAGACTACGCCCAATACGTTCAAGTTGGCCTCCAGACTTGACGCCCATATTTTATGGCCATAAAATCATGACCACTAGAGATACAACCAGAACAACGGCAACGCCAAAGCGTAGCGAATACCATCGAACACCCATGGATGGCATTTTTACAAACAAAGTATATAGCAAAAATGGCAGCCATTTTTCAAAATGGCCGCCTTCTACCAAAAGTGTCATTAGACCATGTGCCATACTTATAGTATTCACATACCAAATATGAACAAAATCACTCCACTACTTTTCAAGTTATAGTAATACTTTAAAATGGTGGCCATTTTTCAAAATGGCCACCTTCTACCAAAAGTGCCATTAGACAGTGTGCCGTGCTTATATTTAATTTAATTATTTATTTACCTGTATTTAAACAGAGTGGTTTTACAAACATATTTACATTTGGTAACATCACACAATTAAATAAAAAGCTTCCATTTTAAATGGATGAATACTGTTTATGTTTTATAGGACATTGGTTCTTTCAAGAGTGTCTTTATAATGTAATAATCAACTGTCCAACGTATTCTTTCAGAATGTTTGATATAGTATTCACATACCAAATATAAACAAAATCGCTCCACTGCTTTTCGAGTTATAGTAAAATATGTTAAAATGGCGGCCATTTTGAAAAATGACCGCCTTCTACCAAAAGTGTCATAGGACAGTGTGTCATGCTTATAGTATTCACATACCAAATATGAACAAAATCGCTCCACTACTTTTCGAGTTATAGTAAAATACGTTAAAATGGCGGCCATTTTGAAAAATGGCCACCTTCTACCAAAAGTGTCATTTAACAGTGTGCCATGCTTATAGTATTCACATACCAAATATGAACAAAATCGCTTTACTACTTTTCGAGTAATAGTAAAATACGTTAAAATGGTGGCCATTTTTCAAAATGGCCACCATCTACCAAAAGTGTCATAGGACAGTGTGTCATGCTTATAGTATTCACATACCAAATATGAACAAAATGGCTCCACTACTTTTTGAGTTATAGTAAAATACGTTTAAATGGTGGCCATTTTTAAAAATTTTACATATTGCACCTAAATTACTGTAAATTCGTCACTAAAATGGCCGCCATTTTGAAAATCGGCTTTCAAGCAGACATTCTACTCCCATAGGGTATATGTGTACAAAATATGAACAAAATCGGGCCAACGGTATTTGAGTTATTGCCCGGACGGACGGACGTATGTACGTACGGACGGACGGACAGACGGAGGCGCTCCCTATATCCCTCCGAACTTTGTTCGATGGGATAACCACTGAAAACTTGGTATACTAATACATTGGACAAGGCTTGTTGTGCAAAATATGACACTAAACCCATGCAAGGTGACTGAGTTATTGAGATTTGTTTTGGTTACCTTTTTTAGCTCACTCTGTATTAGAGCTCTTTTTTCAGTTCTACGTCTCTTCTTTGTCACTTTGATGTTTATTTTAAATCATATTGTTCTAAGTCCAAGTGTTACATATACTACACTAGTAGATGATTTTTTTTTTTCCAAGGTGTATTTAGGAAGATACTGTGAATATGTTTCTTCTTGATTTTCGGGAGATTCCTGTCATCTATTCATTCCCCAGTTCCCTGATACCTGAGCGATGAGGGATAATGGAGCATAATGTGTTGTTATCTGAAAGCAAATGAGGATTATTTAACACATGTAGGGTAAAAGAAAGTCTTAGAAAATATTGGAAGACCAAGTAAAACAGACCAAGATTTTTCATTAAATTTATTAAATATAATCTAGAAATTATTGTTTTTAGTGATTTTTAGTGGTAGCCCCTTTATATTTATGGTTAAAAAATCAAAACATGAAGTTCCTTGTAATCATCAGTATTTTATTACATATTTTATAGCTTTAAATAATTTGCTGGGAAATTTATTCAATTTAATATTAGAAATTATATATTCTAAATAAGAACATTTATTAAGGATGGTGTGTCAGCATTAGCAGCTGACTTGGTTCATTCCTCAGGCCTAGTACACATTACAGGTACAAAATTGAAGTTACAGGATTTAAAATAGTTATGGCACACTCGTAAATATAGTACACATCTCACACATGTACAGGGTAGACCAAAAAAGTCCACATTTTTGATTTTGATTTTGTAATATCTGCTGATGTGTTCCATAAATCCATAAATTATATATCATTAGGAAGATAATAGAATTTCCAACAAAATGATTCCTAAAATATGAATGGCTATTGGTGACTCTATGATAATTTCTAGATGTGTTGAACTTGTTTCATAATATTATATTGCTTAATCAACATTTTTAGGTTTTTATATACCAAGAAAAAGTATCGGGGTTGTTTGTTATCATTGTATAGCTTTAAAATAATCATAGAATCTATTTTTATGCATTGCAGTTTGTTATTAAATAGATTGTTAGAGACATTGATATTTGCAAAGAAAATCAATTGAAATTTTTCCATAACCCGTAATATATTGAATACATTTCCATTATTTCCTCTTCTGGAGCATATTATTGCATTGTTTGCCATTTAAAATCTCAGTTAAGTTTGGTAAGTAAAACATCATTATTGACCAAAATTCTACCGATGATTACAAGGAGTGTTCATGATATTATTTTTAAATTATACAATATTATCAAGTTTCATAGCTTCAAACAGCTTTGGAGTCCAAG